TATATTCATATGGTACTTTACACTATTATATGTTTATCATTTGTTTGAAAATATGATGGGTTGGTTCACTTGATTTTTTTTTTCTATAAAGGCACAAAATGGTTTGAAGGCCCCCTCCAAAACTGGTGTTGAAATTTAATCCCCAGTTGGCAGTGTCAAGAGATGGGTTCTTTGGCCGGGCACGGTGGTTCACGCCTGTAATCCTAGCACTCTGGGAGGCCGAGGCGGGCGGATTGCTCAAGGTCAGGAGTTCGAAACCAGCCTGAGCGAGACCCCGTCTCTACTATAAAAATAGGAAGAAATAAATGGCCACATAATATATATATATAAAAATTAGCCGGGCATGGTGGCGCATGCCTGTAGTCCAGCTACTCGGGAGGCTCAGGCAGGAGGATCGCTTGATCACTTGAGCCCAGGAGTTTAGGAGTTTGAGGTTGCTGTGAGCTAGGCTGACGCCACGGCACTCACTCTAGCCTAGGCAAGAAAGTAAGACTCTGTCTCAAAAAAAAAAAAAAAGAGGTGGGTCTTTAAGAGGTGACTATGTCTTGAGGGCTCTGCCCTCATGAATGGATTAATCCATTCATGAATTAGTGGATTAATAGGTTCTGCTGGGAGGGGACCTGGTGGCTTTATGAGGCGGGAAGAGTTGAGCTCGCAGGTTCGATGTCAGCCCCTGGCCATGTGATACACTGTGCTGACTAGGGACCCTTCAGCGGGTCCCCACCAGAAAGAAGGCTCTCACCACATGCACCCCCTTGACCTTGGGCTTCCTATTCTCCAGAACTGTAAGAAATAAATTTTATTTCTTATAAATTACCCACTTTCAGTTATTCTGTTATAAGCAACAGAAAATGGGCTAAGCCACCAATGCAATTCTATGAGGAAAATGGGAGGTCTTTATATTAATAATAAATGTTGTTGGAGCAATTGCACAAGCAGTTGTTTTAGCTTTCCCACTCAGGCCCAACTTAAAATTCATCCCAAATTAATTTTTGTATATGGTGTGAGGTAGGGGTCCACATTAATTTTCTCTGTATGTCTATTGTTTCCACCTCTGGCACTTATTCTGGGTAACTCTTGGAGCATTAGTACTTTATTTATTTATTTATTTATTTATTTTGAGACAGAGTCTTGCCTTGTTGCCCAGGCTAGAGTGAGTGCCGTGGCATCAGCCTAGCTCACAGCAACCTCAAACTCCTGGGCTCAAGCGATCCTCCTGCCTCAGCCTCCCGAGTAGCTGGGACTACAGGCATGCACCACCATGCCCGGCTAATTTTTTCTATATATATTAGTCGGTCAATTAATTTCTTTCTATTTATAGTGTAGAGACGGGGGTCTCGCTCTTGCTCAGGCTGGTTTTGAACTCCTGACCTCAAGCAATCCTCCCGCCTCGGCCTCCCAGAGTGCTAGGATTACAGGCGTGAGCCACCACGCCCGGCCAGCATTAGTACTTTAGTCTCCTCACCTGTAAAACTGGGATGATCACAGCTCCCTCTCATTACGGAGAATTGTGGACGTTGAGGTAATGCATATACAGCATTAGAATAGCACCCAGGCCATGTTTAACACCCAATAGTTGTTATTAATTTCTCTGAAATATGTAGTCATGTTAAGGGCGTATCCACCATTCCCATTTTATTCAGTAGTTCTTTTGTCTGTTTATTTTTATCAAGAGTGGGTGTTAGCCAGTCATGCTGGCTCACACCTGCGATCCCAGCACTTTGGGAAGCTGAGGTGGGAGGATTGCTTAAGCCCAGGAGTTCAAGGCTGTGGTGAGCCATGATCACACCACTGCACTCCAGAAAGAGGGATCCCATCTCACAAAAATAGGGAATGGTTGTTATATGTTGTCAAACGCCTTCTCAGTCTCTTTGGAGATGACCGTGTGATTTTTTTCTTCTCTGGTGAGAGACAAGATAACAGCAGCATTCATGGACACACTAAGAGAAGACCTTCCTTGCAGGACTGGTGTTGGCTCCACCAGGATAGGTAGATCTCGTTACTGTGCTACTGGATTCTCCATGCTAATATTTTATTTAGGAGTTTGCATTGCATCATAACACAATAAGTCTGTGGTTTCCTTTGCCAGGTTTGGGGTCAGGGCTACACTGGCCTCACAAAGTGGATGTGGAAAATTTCCTCCCTGCCCTACACTGTGGGAGCTTAATTGACAGGAAATGTCTCTGATCCTAATGGCAGAACACACTTAACCTGTGGAACTTTCCAGAAGGGTGTTTAGGGTAGGCTAGTGTTCTGGTGATGTTCTCAATTTCTTTTGTGATCTTTGATGTGTTTAGACCTTTACCCCTTATTGTTGAATTTCATTTGTCACTTATGTTTAAGTTTGCCAGAGATAGGAAATAAAAATACAGGATGCCTAGTTAAACTTGAACTTCAGATAAACAACAATATGTTCTATGTCCCAATTGCAACCGTATTTATACTGTCCTAGGAAGTCAATGATTTTGTCCATGTTTTCAGATTTCTTTGAATAAAGGTAATCTTTTATAATACTTTCAGCTTCCTCTATGTCTGTGGCTATTTCCACATTCTCATTTCTTATTTTGTATCTTCACACTTCCTTTGGTCATACCAATTCACTAGCTACTAGCTTATGCATGAAATTTGTTTCAAAGACCTGTTTTTTTGATTTCAGATTTATCAATTTCTACTTCAGTTGTTCCTGACTACTTCATCCTCCTTTCCTTATTGTTCTTTATTGATTCTGACTTTTCTTTTACCATCTTCTAAGTTAGATGCTTTATTTTGATTCTTATGATTAATGTAACTATTTAAAGCAATGAATTGTCCTCTGAGCCCTGCATTAGCTGTGTGTGTAGGAGCTGGTCCATACTGATTGCGATGTTATCAGAAGACGTTGATCATTTGGTGTTGATTTTCTCTGTGTCACAAGATGTGTAAGAGCCAGCTGTCTCTGGTGGGGCTGGGGCTGCACGGTGGCTGGGGCTGCTGTTGACCTGAGTGGGAGGTGGGCAGGGGCCGGGCTGAGCAGGGAGGGAGAGAAGTGGGCTTCCTGCAGGGGCTCAGGAGCCAAGGAGGGCTCACACGACCTCGGGCAGGAGCAGGTGTGCACCTCCAAGGCTTACTGCCGTCATGAGTAGGGAGTGGACTGAGGTGGCACCTCCAGCAAAGAGGCTGTGGAGGGATAAGGAGATGAAGCCAGGACAGACGGAGGGTGGGAGTGCTCAGTGACTAACGTGGGGGTTGGAGGAGAGGTGGGCCCTGGAGAGCTTCCTGCTGCCTTGGGCTGACCACTGTTGGCACATGGAGTCCCAGGTGCCCGTGGACCCCAAATGCTCCAGAGGTGCTTGGGTGGCTGGTGGGTTGTGTGGCTCTGTTGCTCCACATAGCCAGGCCAGAGCCAGGGTGGGGATCCATCATCAGCTCACAAGTGGTGACCAGGCTCCTGTGGTGGGTGACAGCCCAGGCAGTGCACCCTCATCCCCAGGTGAGTCAAATTGGGCACCATGGAGCTGGGGTTGCACCCTGATGGGGCAAAAGAGTTCCCTTGCCTCTCCTTGACACACAGGGACAAAGATGCCACGCCCAGGGAGGGCAGCCACCCCCCAGCGGCTGGCTAAGCCATTCACAGTAGTTGGGGGCTGATTTTTGGTCTAGAGCAGTGGTTCCCAGCCAGGGTGATGTGGCTGTGTCTCGAGACAGTTTGGTTGTTGCATCTAGTGTGTGTGGTGGGGCCACTCCAGCATCAGCAGGCAGAGGCTGGGAGCTGCCCAGCACCCCACGTGTGCAAATGGCCCCACAAAGGGTCATTTCATCCCAACTGTCAACAGCGCCGAGCGTGAGACACCCTGGTCAGGAATAGGAGGTGTCAGGCTGGAGAAAGCTTTCTTTTTTTTTTTTTTTTTTTGAGACAGAGTCTCGCTTGTTGCCCAGGCTAGAGTGAGTGCCGTGGCGTCAGCCCAGCTCACAGCAACCTCAGACTCCTGGGCTCAAGCAATCCTCCTGCCTCAGCCTCCCGAGTAGCTGGGACTACAGGCATGCGCCACCATGCCTGGCTAATTTTTTCTATATATATATATTAGATGGCCAATTAATTTATTTTTGTTTATAGTAGAGACGGGGTCTCACTCTTGCTCAGGCTGGTTTTGAACTCCTGACCACGAGCAACCCGCCCGCCTCGGCCTCCCAGAGTGCTAGGATTACAGGCGTGAGCCACCACGCCCGGCCTTGCAAAGAGCTTTTTAGTAGCTAAATGTGGCACCACGTGCTCCAGGGTGGAGAAAGCTTTCTTGGGTCTTGGTTTTTTTTTTTTTTTTTTTTGAGACAGAGTCTCACTTTGTTGCCTAGGCTAGAGTGAGTGCCGTGGCGTCAGCCCAGCTCACAGCAACCTCAGACTCCTGGGCTCAAGCGATCCTTCTGTCTCAGCCTCCCAAGTAGCTGGGACTACAGGCATGCGCCACCATGCCTGGCTAATTTTTTCTATATATATATATTAGATGGCCAATTAATTTATTTTTGTTTATAGTAGAGACGGGGTCTCGCTCTTGCTCAGGCTGGTTTCGAACTCCTGACCTCGAGCAATCCGCCCGCCTCGGCCTCCCAGAGAGCTAGGATTACAGGCGTGAGCCACCGCGCCCGGCCGGGTCTTGGTTTTTGTTCAAGCTTTTACTGGCACAGATGACAAGGTCCAGAGGTGGCCCTTGGCCAAGGGCCCCAGGAGGCGGGGACAGGTGTCCCAGGCCACACTCCTGCCTTCCCACCAACACGCAAGCTCCAGGCCAGCCACATGGCTGAACGTTGGCAGTGCCGTGGCCGGAATAGAGTGTGGGGGGTGCTTACCTCTGCCCACAGGTGGCTGGGCGAGGCCTGGCCTGTCTGTAGGCCTCGGTTTCCCTGCCTCCATGGTGGTACACTGTGGAACTTGGCGCCTGCACCCCACTGAAGACTATCCGGGGATACCCCTGCCCCACTCAGAACTGCTGAATCAGGCCATGCTGTGGCTTCCTCTTTAATCTTGGGCTGGGGGATCCACATGTCGGGAGGGTGGGCGAGTGGCCTGGCCAGAGGCCTGCGGAGGGACGGGGGGGGGTGGGCAGGGCCACAAGGGGCCCGGGGAGGGGGTTGGGTGTGAGGCTCAGCCCCCGTCGTCCTCCGTCTTTGAGGCTGGTCCCCGCCTCTTTCGGTCCCAGCTGGACCGGAGAGCTTGGTGCCCTGGCCACATCCCGCCTGGGCGCAGGACAGATCTCGAGCCGGTCCCAGCTCTGGGCAGATTGCTGTTTCAGTAGCCCGCGGCCTCCCCACGCTTCCTCGCGTCAGATGCGGCGTAGACGCAGCCACCCTCCTGGGACACGGCCTGCACCACGTTCAGGAAGTGGGGCCTCGGGGCCCGGCTCTGGCCGCGTTCTCGGAGCCCCCTCTGCACCTCCTGGACAAGAGAGAGGCAGGTTCACGGAGGTGAGGGGCCCGGGCAGGAAGTGGGAAACCCACCAGAACGCGCGGGGAGGGCGTCCCTCGGGCCACAAGGGCGTCCAGATGCAAGTTCCCTCTGCCCTCGATGGAGCACACCAGGCCCTCAGCACACACAGGTGAGTCCGGTGGCTCCTGGAGAACTAGACCGAGAGGCCCCCGACTTTGGGGACCTTGAGAGCGAAGCCTTCCAGAAGGCTGACGCTGGGGCCTTCGGAGCCCTGAGTCACCCCTGCATCAGCAACTGCCCAGCTCAAGGTCACTCTCCCTGCCGGGGTCTCCCGCCCAGGACCCCAGGACATTGAGCACAAAGAGCCCCTGCCAGGTGTCCAGGCCCCTGGACAGGAGCTCCACCGGGCCACACAAGACCCACGATCTCAACACACAGATGAAGAGACTCAGGACCTCGGACATCCAGGAACACAGCCACCAAACCCCTCAGGGCCCGACACCTCGCAAGTTTAGGGCCGAATTGGAGGGTTCGGCTAGAGAAGGACCCGAAACTGCAGGTCCCATTCACTCCGAACACCCACAAATCCAAGGAAGTTCAAGCCCCGGCTGGAGGCCCCGGCCGTCCCAGAGTGGAGTACGTGGGGCACTGCAGGCTCAGGCCCCAGACCCGAATCTGTGGACTTTGAGGAGATGAGAGACCAAGGCCTTAGACCTACAATGTCGGTTTCTAAGATACTAAGTACCTTGCCCCGGGGTTACAGTCCCCACACTACCAGTCCATAGGGGCAAGAACCCTGGCACGGGGGACCCACGTTTCTCCACACCGTTTTGGACTAATGGGCCTAGAACCTTGCCCCTCTGGGCCTGAGATTCCAGAGACCCCTGGGTACCAACTGCAGTCTCCAGGACAGGAGCTCTGCCATCAGGTGGCGCCGCACAACCTGAGCTGCTGCAGGGTGAGGCTTCGGAGGCCTGCGCTCTCGGCGGCGTCTGTGCCTGACGTCCCCGTCCCACGGCACCCTCCGACTGGAAGGCCGAGATCCTCACTGCCGAGGCCAGAGCTGGCCTTTCGGTCCTCAGAGACTGCATTCCTTGGAGTCTAGTGGCCCAACTCCAAGACCCTGAAGATCAAAGACCCTCCCTGCCCCCGTCCCTGGGCCTTAGTGCAAAGGTCCTTGGAGACGCAAGGTCTCCAATCCAGAGTTTAGGGTTTTCTCTCTGGAAAGCCCTAGATCTGCACAGCTGACACTCTGACTCCCCAAGGGAACTGAGGACTTTGGGTTTATGGGAATCAGTCCCCAGACTGTTGTCTCTCAAATTCTCAGAGTTTAAGTAAGGTCCTCAGAGCACCAGGTCCTGAGAATTGATGTTTGCCAAGTAAGGGCCTTCGGGCGAGGGCTGAGGAGGACAGGGTAAGAGGATATGCCCGGATCCTGAGAGCCTACAGATACAAGGTCCCTGGAACCCGAGGACACCGAGAGGGACATCCTGCCACTGGGAGGACTCTGAAGAGGGAGAGAGGGCCTCAGACTCCAAGAGTTTGTCTAATAGGCCAAGGTCTTAAGACTAAGGTTCTCAGGGACTAAGCCCCCTTTGGATGAAAGGTCCCCAGTCTATGGTCTTCAGAGCCGCAAGGGCCATGGAAGGTGGCCTTGAGACCGAGAGACGCTCATATGGGAAAGGCGCTTCGAGGACCTGGAACCCCAGCTAGTTGCACTGACCTTGGGTGCAAAGTTTGGAGCCTTCAAAAGCTGTCAGTCTTTTAAATAGATTCTAACAAAGACACCCACCAGGCCAGAGAAACCCTGAGGAAGCTGACCACCTGTCTGGGGACAGAGGGGAGTCAGCCAAGGGAATTCAGCTCCTGGGCTGTGGGCTTTTGTGGAGGAACCAAAAAATGTTTATAAGAACCAACACTGGCCGGGCGCGGTGGCTCACGCCTGTAATCCTAGCACTCTGGGAGGCCGAGGTGGGCGGATTGCTCTAGGTCAGGAGTTTGAAACCAGCCTGAGCAAGAGCGAGACCCCGTCTCTACTAAAAATAGAAAGAAATTAATTGACCAACTAAAAATATATAGAAAAAATTAGCCAGGCATGGTGGCGCATGCCTGTAGTCTCAGCTACTTGGGAGGCTGAGGCAGGAGGATCACTTGAGCCCAGGAGTTAAAAGTTGCTGTGAGCTAGGCTGACACCACGCACTCTAGCCTGGGCAACAGAGTGAGACTCTGTCTCAAAAAAATAAATAAATAAATAAATAAAAAAGAACTAACACCAACCCATCCCCCAATGCCCCAGAATAAAATCACTCTGCAGACTCCCCCAGGAAAAACAACCTCTGTTAGGAATAAACTCACAAATGTTAGTTGCAAAATCACACAAGGAAGCAAATCACCACGAGGGAGGGCCTGAGAGGCCACAGCCAGGAAAACTAGCCTCCAAAAAAATGGTGTAAACAGAGCAGAGACCAAGGTGCTTAGGTCCTCATCCCAGGAGAAGTGTAGACAACACCCTGCTCTCTGCCTTCGAGGCCACAGAACTGCCCTGGAGGCCACTGACCACTTCCCCCATTGAGGGATTCCACACTATGGTCCCCAAAGCAAACTGTTCCTGGCCGAAGACACTGCATAGCTGAGCTCCTCCCAGGGGCCTTTGAGCAGCACGGACTGGGTGGGGGTTATCACCGCGTAGTGGTGACTTGGATGCAGCCTCACCTGGCTGAAGTTGGGCTCGTACGACACATGGCCCTCGCTGCCGACGTGCAGGATGGGGGCTGCCACGGCCGTGCTCAGGTCAAAGCCAAGCCACAGCTTGTTCACGATGGCCTGGGGGAGAGCACGGGGGTCCAGGGAATGTGGGGGCACCAGCTGCCCTACACCAGCCCTCACAGCCCCACCCCAAGGAGAGTTGCCCAGAGAGGGGCCACTCTAGCCAGGAAGCCCCAGGCTCACCTGGGCCACGGCAGAGATGATGAGCTCCCCACCAGCCCCACCAATCACCAGCTTCGACCCCTGGGCTTCATTAATCAAGATGGAGGGGACCATGGACGACGGGGGCCGTTCACCTGGAACTGAGGGCCAGACAGGTGCCCCCTGCAGCCTTACTTCTGAGCCAACACCCACCCTGCCTCCTCTCACCACTGAGCAGACAGTGGCTCAGTGAGTGGGCGGCCCACCCGGCATGCAGCCCGGCCCGGCCACCTTCCCTCCGCTCCCCCGCAGGGCCCCTGTGGAACCTGGCTGGGAGCCCCCACTCTCACCAGGTTGGGGGGCGGCGCCAGAGCCCGGGCGGCGTCTCCAGCACAAGTCGAGGAGCTCGTTGTTGAGGAGGATGCCGGTCTGCGGTGAGTACACCATTGCGCCAAAGCTGCACAGGGCAGAGCGGGCTGGGCCACCTGCAGGACCCTCACCTCACACTCGCCCTCCCGCGTGCTGGAGCCGCTGTCTCTCTCTGGCACCACCCAGGAGGGGTCCCCAAAGACCCACCTGCGCCCCCCACTAGGATGGCCTTCTGAGTGAGGCCCACGCCCAGGTTAGTCCTGGCTCAGGGCCACCCCAGCAATAGCTTTTTCAGCCAGAGATGTCAGGGGTGCAGGAGGGGAAGAAGGGAGAGGGCAAAAGCAAGGTGCTGCCCTGTGGGGTGAGCAAGGGGGGCCCTGGGGTGTCCGGCCATGCTGGTGGTGCCGGGGGTGCAGGCAGCGGAGCTGGGGGCTGCCTGCCTGCCCCGGGCCTCACGCACGGCGTGTTGATGGTGCTGGTGGCTGCCACAGCGCTGCCGTCCTCCGCCAGCACAGACACATGGGCCGTGCCCATCCTGTGGCCCCAGGGCCCGGCCAGGTGGTAGTGGCTGGGCTGGTGGTCCCCACGGCCATCGATCTGCTGGCGGACGTGCTGAGCAAAAGCCTCCTCCAGCAGGTCTCGGGAGGCGTTCTGGGACAGGCGGGCAGCAGGCAGGGGCAGTGAGGGCCCAGGTGGGATCCGCGGGAGGCCCTCTCCAGTCTGCCCTCTACCTGGTGGCCAGAGCGGCCTCCCTCAAGCCAGCCTGGGCCCAGGCCCTGCCCGTCTCCAGGCCCCTTGAGAAATGGTGCCACTGCTGTTCCTGCCCCATACCTGCCACCCCAGGGTCCCACCTCCCCCTGCCAGGCCTGCCCCTCCCTTCCTGCCCAGCCCTGGGGCAGGGAAGACGGCGCTCACCAGCCCCAGGCAACCTCACCTGGACCTCCAGGTGGCTGCGAGGGTCCCACAGCCGCCACCTCTGCCCCTCGGCAAACTTGAGCGTCTCCACGAGGTGGTGGTACATGTCCACGCTCCCCTCGGGGCTGGCCACCGACTCTGCTGAGAAGTTGAACCCTGGGGAGGAGGGAGGGCACAGGTGGGGCTCGCTGTGGGTGGGGTTGAATAGTGGCTCCCCGAAGAGGTTCATCCACATCCTAATGCCTAATGCCCAGAGCCTGAGAATATGACTTTATACAGCACAAGAGCAAATATTACCTTTAATGGCAAAGCATGTCAGGGATTTGAGAAGGAAAGATTACCCGAGGGGCCCTCAATGTGACCACCTGTGCCTTGCAGAGGCGGGGAGGCAGTGTGAACACAGAGGCAGAGACTGCAGCGATGCAGCCGCAAGCCAAGGCAGGCCGGCAGCCCCCGACACTGGATGAGGCTACGAAAATGGGCAGGATCAGAACGGAGTCGCTTTCATTTTTAAAAACCCTGACAAACAGAGCTGGGGAAGGTGTGAAGGCAGGGTTTCCACACTGTATTCCTGCCAACAAAGCCATCCCAAGAGACTGCAGAGACCACAGTGCCACATGAAGGCCACACGACCTCACATGAAACATGCTTCTCCAAGGAAACCTGCCCAGCCACTGCCCATCCACCCTCGGATTGTATTTGAGCTTTTTTTTTTTTTTTTTGAGACAGAGTCTCACTCTGTTTCCTGGGCTAGAGTGCCATGGCGTCAGCCTAGCTCACAGCAACCTCGAACTCCTGGGCGCAACTGATCCTCCTGCCTCAGCCTCCCAAGTAGCTGGGACTATAGGCATGCACCACCATGCCCAGCTAATTTTTTCTATTTATAATAGAGACGGTCTCACTCTTGCTCAGGCTGGTCTCCAACTCCTGAGCTCAAACGATCCTCCCGCCTCGGCCTCCTAGAGTGCTAGGATTACAGGTGTGAGCCACCACGCCCCACCTTCATTTTCTTTGAGAGCGCCCTGTTTGTTTGTTATGTAGGTTGACAAGGCAGAAAACCGATTCTCCCTTAGAGCCCGTGGAGGGAATGTGACCCTGTGAACACCTTGATATTGGACTTCTGGGCTCCAGAAATGTGATAGAATAAATTTCTTTTTTGCTTGTTTGTTTGGTGTGCGTGCGTGTGTGTGTGTGTGTGTGTGTGTGTGTGTGTGTGTGTGTGGGTATGTGTTTGAGACAGGGTCTCCCTCTGTCACCCAGGCTGGAGTGCAGTGGTATCATAGCTCACAGCAACCTCAAACTCTTTGGTTCAAGCAATCCTCCTGCCTCAGCCTTCTGAGTAGCTGGGGTTACAGGCACATGCCATCATGCCTAACTAATTTTTCTTAATTTTTGTAGAGATGGGGTCTCAGTCTTGCCCAGGCTGGTCTTGAACTCCTGGCCTCAAGGGATCCTCCCACCTCAGCCTCCCAGAGTGCTAGGATTATAGGCTAGAGCCACCTCACCAGGCAAGAATTCTGTTATTTTAAGTCACCAAGTTTGTGGTCGTTTGTTACGGCAACCATATGACACTAATACTAAGCTAGCCTTGGGCAGCCCAAGCCTGGGCACTGCCAGGACCCCAGGACAGGCTGCCACAGGCTGGACTGGCCTCATCCTGGGTGCACAGCCCTCAGCCCCTGCAGAGCCCACCTGCTCCTGCGCCCTGGGTCTCGGCTACCTAGCTGGGGAGCAGGGCTCGAGGTGGATGAGGTCAGACCCAGCAAAGCCCCGAATACAGACTGACGCAGAGGCCAGCCCTAAACACCACCCTGGCAGGTTCCCACCTCCCTGCCTTCGGCGTCATGCGTCCATTAGCCCTGCTCCTAGAGGGGACTGGGCTGGAAAAGGTAGGGGCCACCCATGGCCGTGTCTGGGCTTGGAGCTGGGGACCCCAGAGGGGCGGGTTCTGGTGGAGGCTCGGGGCCTTACCTCTCAGCACACGGAGGACGAAGCTGAGAAGGGCGCCCCCTGCAGGCGGTGGCGGCGAGTACAGCGTGTAGTCCCCCAGGGTCACCTGCAGCGCATCCACCACTTCAGGCTGGAACTCGGCCAGGTCCTGCAGGGTCAGAAAGCTCCCTGGGGTGAGACAGGGAGGGCTCCATGTACAGATGGGGAAACCGAAGCGGAGAGGGTTAGCCGCTGGCTCTCGGTCACACGATGGGGGTCCCCTCGTCCCCTAGCCTCGTAGACCAGAGGGTGACAGTGGGGGTCTGTGCACAGTGGCCTCAGGGCTGGGCCCTCGGAGCCAGGCGTTGGGGGTGGACAGAGGCCGGAGGCTGGGGAGAGGACGGGAGGGCGGGAGCTGGACGCCCAGGACGCCTGGCTGCGGGTGGCTCCCCTCTGCCGCCCGAACTCGCGGGGCCTCTGCTTCTTGGGGTCCTTGATCACAGGGGGCCCAGAGGCAGAAGCTGGAGAGGGGCCTGCCCAGGGCGGGGGCGCAGGACCTGGGTGAGGCTGACCTTCCTGGGCCACGTCCTCCAGCAGCATGCGGCCCAGCCTCCCTGTGTAGAAGGCTTCCGCACCCTCCATGGCCACCGTCTCCAGGGTGGCGGCCAGCGCAGGCCACGGGAGTGGGTCCTGAGGCCTCAGGGGCTCTGTCCGGTTGAAGAAGAGCTGCCTGGGGGGTCGTGCAAGCAGCCTCAGGGGGGCCTGCCAGGGATCTCCTGGGGTCCTCGGGACCCTGTGAGGGGACAGCCCTGGCCTGCGGTCCTGAGGTGCGGGGGGAACAGCAGGGGCACAGATTCTCCAGGAGAGGAGGGAGCTGACACCACCCACCCCGCTCACAGCCTGGCCCAGGGGGGCACGTTCCCCAGTGGGGAGGGTGTTCACCTGGGCCTATCCCCTCCCCACCCCTGGGACAACCCGTCAGTGGGCTGGCGGGCGGGCAGGGCGGCAGCAGAACCCTCCTGCCACGCCTCAGTGAGAGGGGGCCAGGGCCACGTGCGGATGGCAGAGCCCCAGTCCCGCCCCTGGAGCCCTATCACTTGGACAATAAAGCCCCCCAGTGTAAGCCCCTCGGAGTTAGGTTCTGCCACGTGGAGCCCGAAGGTCTATGGACTGAAACGGAGACGTACTGGCCATCTGGCCTTAGGGCCCCACACGCCCTCGGGTCAACCCGCCAGTGTGAGGAGAGACCAAGGCAGAGCTGGGTGCAGGCTGGGCTCAGACATGACGTGGCTTTGAGCCCGGGAGCCGAGGGGCCGCCGTGCAGGGCTCACCTCAGGCTGGACGCTTGCAAGGCAGGCCGCAGGATGCTGTGGTTCAGGAACTGGCTGAGAACGGGGGGCACCCGGTGGCCCCCTCGGAGCAGCGCGATGGTGGGCTGGAACAGCTGCGCCCAGGGCAGGCGGCCGTGGCGGCGGTGGGCCTCGGCGTAGCCGCGGAGCTCCCCGGGCACCCCGATCCACTGGGCCCCTGCACGGCACACCCTGCCCTCAGCCCCTGGCTGCCAGTCCTGCCCAGGGGTCCCCAGAATAAACTTTCTGGAGCCCCCGGCAACCACGTCCCTCCCTGTTCAACCTCCCTGGCTCCCCCAGCCCTGCACAAACTGGCCCTGGAGCCCTGCCCCGCCTCGTCCACTGAGCCTTCAGGGCATTGCCCAGCCAGGCCCTCTCCCTGTTATCCCCCTTCCAGAGGGCCCCTCCCCCAGGAGGACCTTCCCAGCCCTGTGGGGGGGGACTGCCCACAGGCTCCCAGCCCCCCAGTGCCACGGTGTCCCAGCTGTCCAGCAAGCACACTGTCCCTTCAGGGGGGTGTTCTGGTCAGCCCCAGTGGCCTGGTGGGTGAGAGCGGGACCCCCTCCTCAGCCTCACCTGTGCCCAGTGGCTGGGCCATGGCGCAGTGGCCCAGCAGGCCTGGGGAGGGTCTGGCCGGCACCGTCTCCCGGGCATTGATGACATCCACCTTCCCTGGGATCGGGTCAGAGCAAGCAAGAGGTCATGGTCCCCCCAGACAGCCCAGCCTACTCAAGGCCTCGGTTTCCCTCTCTGCATCATGAGATGGCCCCTGTGTTAACAGTCGGGACAGGAGCTGACACCCAGCTTGCACAGCCAATGTGAAGGGGGCAGGTGGGGACCTCTCGGAGCCCCAGGAAGGGGCTCAGGCAGCCGTTGTCCAGTGGTGTGGACAAGCTCATCGCCCCCATGGGGGTCACGTGGGGACCCACCTGTCGTTGCATTGTAGATAGTGAAGATGACCCCTCCGCCCAGGCCCATGCTCTGAGGGTTGACGACGCCAGTGCAGACCAGAGCCGCGATGGCGGCGTCCACGGCTGAGCCCCGCTGCTGGAGGATGGCTCTAGGGGACACGACTCAGTCAGTGGCGGGGCTCCCCTCCCCCGGCCTGCCCACCTGGCACTCACTGGGGATGGGGACAGGCAGGCAGCCCTTCTGCTGCTGCCAAACCCAGGTTGGGGCAGAGAGCACACCGGGCTGCCCCTTCAAATCCAGCTGCTCACAAGTCCACAGGACTCTACAGATTGCAAAGAGTGATGCCATTTACACTTACCTTTGCCAAATTCAGGGCATTTCTCAGTTTGCAAAGTCCTCCTGCTGCCATTATTCCCTAGGTGCTCCTGGCAGCACTGCTCAATTGCCACAGGCAGATCCAGGCCTAGGCCACCACTTGGTCCCTCCTGCTGGTCCCGGAGCCCACCCTAGGACACCACCCACCATCTCGCCAGAGACATCCTGGCCGCAACCCCTTCGAGGCGGCCCCAGGATCCTGCCCTGCCACCAGGGCACGACGCTGTCTGTCCTCAGCCTCCCCATCTGTCCACCGGCAGCAAGGGAGAGGCCTTTCACTCCGAGGCGTGGGCCAGACCGGCCTGTGTCCAGAGGACCCCTGTCCCTGGGGCACAGCCCGCCACAGCTCACCGAAGGCTGCCTCCTCCCGCACACCCAGGGACGCTCGCCAGCACCTCAAGAAGCCAGCGTTTAGAGGGGACACCAAGGCCCAAAGAGGGGTAGCCCTGGGTCCCCTGCAGATGACACCCCGTGGCACCTCTGGCCCCAGCGGCCCCTCAGCTCAGGTACCTGTGGCCTCAGGGGCCAGCCCATCTGGGATCCGTGCTGCCCAGCCCCTGAGCCTGAGTCCCTGCCCTGGGCTCACATGTGGACACAGAACCTCGCAATGGGACAGAGACACGAAGCCAGGGGCATGAAAGAAAGAAGACTGCTCCAGCCAGGCAGAAGAACGAATCTTTAATGAGGTTAACAGGCCGGGCGCGGTGGCTCACGCCTGTAATCCTAGCACTCTGGGAGGCCGAGGCGGGCGGATTGCTCGAGGTCGGGAATTTGAAACCAGCCTGAGCGAGACCCCGTCTCTACTAAAAATAGAAATTAATTGACAAACTAAAAATATATATAGAAAAAATTAGCCGGGCATGGTGGCGCATGCCTGTAGTCCCAGCTACTCAGGAGGCTGAGGCAGCAGGACTGCTTGAGCCCAGGAGTTTGAGGTTGCTGTGAGCTAGGCTGACGCCACGGCACTCACTCTAGCCTTTCCTTTCTGCAGGGGCTTCTGACCCCCCTGTGCCAGGTCCCTGGTCTCCTGCTGTCAGGCTCGGTCTGGGTCCTGCTCATGCAAGCTCGTGGCACACCACGCAGGCTCTGTGCTCATGACCCCAAATTCTATCTCCAGGCCAGTCGCCTCCCCTGAGCTCCACACACGCACACCCAGCTGGGCGCAGATGCCTCCCGTGGTGTCTGAGAAGCACTTCATGCTTCCTATGACCTAAAGTGCACTTTGATTTTCCTCCTATCCCTGCCCCTCCCACGGCCCCTCTCCCATCCTCACTCTTAGAAAATGACACACCCGTTCACCCTTTTTTTTTTATTTCGGCATATTATAGGGGTACAGATTTTAAGGTTTCAATAAATGCCCTTCCCCCACACACACACTGTTCACCCTTTCACCCAGCATAAACCCCGGAGTCATCCCTGACTGGTCACTTCCTTCTCTCCCCATGTCCATACCCACCGGGGAACCCGGCTGGCTGTACCTCCGCCGCCTCACCCTGGCCCAAGCCAGCAGCCTCTCCTACCTGGGCCCCTGCCCTTTTCTCTGACATTTTAGCAAACTAATCTGTTACATGTAAATCAGACTTACTGGTATTGGGAAACTATAATTCAGGCCAAACTTTCCACAGAGAACTAAAAAAGCCAGGAACATAGAAAATACTTGCTCAAAGGCATTGGAGGCAGTGAATTACAGGGCTGGAGAGAGGCGGGGCTGGCATTTGGAGCGGCTTTTCCCTCAAGGTGACTGTCCTGGAAGAGGGGGCTGAGAGGCAGAGCAGTGCACTTTTAAATTTTTTTTAAAGAGATAGGGTCTTAAAAAAAAAAGAGAGAGAGATAGGATCTTGCTATGTTGCCCAGGCTGATCTCCAACTCCTGCTCAAGCTTCCTCCCACCTAGCCACCATGCCCAGCTAAAGCAGTTGACACCCTCACGTGGCTGGGAGGGGGATGCTGACACCTGACGGTGGGGTCCTCACTGCAGGAGAGACAGCCAGAGACAGAGCTGCCTTCGAGAGCACTGGCACCCAGCTTCAAAGTGCCTGCCACTCAAACTGGGTGACAGAGATGCCAGAATTTCAGAATCTCAGCCTCAAAATTATTTCTAGAAATTATTATACAATGTTTTTCTCTTTTTTCTTTTGAGACAGAGTCTCACTTATGTTGCCCCAGCTAGAATGCTGTGGCGTCAGCCTCGCTCACAGCAACCTCAAACTCCTGGGCTCAAGCAATCCTCCTGCCTCAGCCTCCCGAGTAGCTGGGACTACAGGCATGCGCCACCATGCCCGGCTCATTTTTTCTCTATATATTTTTAGTTGGTCAATTAATTTCTTTCTATTTTTAGTAGAGACGGAGTCTCACTCAGGCTGGTTTCAAACTTCTGACCTCGAGCAATCCGCCCGCCTCAGCCTCCCAGAGTGCTAGGATTGAAGGCCTGAGCCACCACGCCCGGCCCAATTTTTTTTTCCTTTTTCCTTTTCTTTTTTCCTTCCTGACATGCACTTCCTAGAATATTATACAATTTTTATACACGCCCTCCAGCACAAAAATTAAAACCACCAAGCCAACGAGGAAATGAGACAACAGGAAGGAATCCCAAGAGAAAGCACAGACAACTTTAAAAAGAGCCACAGGGACAGGGCTCACACCTATAACCCTAGCACTCTGGGAGGCCCAGGCGGGTGGATTGCTCAAGGTCAGGAGTTCGAAACCAGCCTGAGCAAGAGCAAGACCCCCGTCTCTACTATACACGGCACTCACTCTAGCCTGGGCAACAAAGCGAGACTCTGTCTCCAAAAAAAAAAAAATTTCTTTCTATTTTTAGTAGAGACGGGGTCTCGCTCTTGCTGTGACTTTCAAACTCCTGACCTTGAGCAATCCGCCCCGCCTCGGCCTCCCAGGGTGCTAGGATTATAGGCATGAGCCACCGTGCCCAGCCAAAACTGAGAATGTTCTAAAGAGCCACCTAAACACATCAATGCAAAATTGCTCAAAGCCAGAGATAAAGCTTTTCAAAAGGGAAAAACACAGATTGCCTTCAAAGGGGCCAAAGCGGATTGAGGGCTGACTTCCCAGCAGAGACAAGGGAATGATGTTTACAAAGTGAGGAAAGAAAACGCCTGCCAACCTAGAATTCTATGCCCACTAACAATATGCCACTGCAACAGTGAAAGTGGAGCAAAGATATTTTTACAAATAAAGAGCAACAAAAGAGGTAAATGTGTGGGTAAATCTAAATGAATGTTATCGGTATAAAATTACAGTCCTATAGAAATGATCCTATCTTTTGGGGTTTAAAAATAAATAAAACATACTGAAATATTTATGGGTAAATTATATATCTGGGATTTATATTGAAATAATATGGGGCAGGGGGAGCAGAAGCGAATACACGTGAAATAGTGTGGCCGTAAGATTGTTGTTGGAGTGGATGAAAGATACATAGCCCTCATTATACACTTCTCTCTACTTTCTGTAGCTCCACACCAGCAACATAAATAGGTCTAAAGGACACTAAATGCACACAGACACATATAAGCAGACATATACTCACATATTTAAAGTACACAGAAATAATTGCATATAAGTCATTATGGTTCCAAAGTTTTACATAGGAAGAGGATAAACATACTAACTGATGTTAGACTCTGATAAATGAAGGATGCATGTTGTAATCTCTAAAATAATCTACTCTAGCCTTTTTTTTTTTTAAAAAGAAATACAGGATCTTGGCTGGGCGCAGTGGCTCACATCTATAATCCTAGCGCACTCTGGGAGGCTGAGGTGGGAGGATTGCTTGAGGTCAGGAGTTCGAGACCAGCTTGAGCAAGAGCAAGACCCCCGTCTCTAATAAAAAAGAGAAAAAAAATTAGCTGGGGGCAACTAAAAATAGAAAAAAATTAGCCTAGTGTGGTGGCTCTCACCTGTAGTCCCAGCTACTGGGGAGGCTGAGGCAAGAGGATTGAGTGAGCCCAAGAGGTTGAGGTTACTGTGAGCTAGGCTGATGCCACTGCACTCTAGTCTGGGTGACAGAGTGAGACTCTGTCTCAAAAACAAATAACAAAACTATAGACCTTTCTAGACACCAAAAGGTATACCAAAAAGATAAAATAAGTGATATATTTGCTTGTTTTTGTAAAACGAAGCAGGAATAATAAACAAAAAACAAAAAAAGGGAAAGAAATAGAATTTTCTTTGTTTGTTTTGAGACAGGGTGTCTGTTGCCCGGGCTAGAGTACAGGGCTGTCATCATAGCTCACAGCAGCCACAAACTCCTGGGCTCCAGTAGTCCTCCTACTTCAGTCTCCTGAGTAGCTGAGACTACGGGCACGTGCCACCATGCCCAGCTAATTTTTCTATTTTTTCTAGAGATGTGATCTGGCTCTTGCTCAGGCTGGACTTGAACTCCTGACCTGAAGCAATCTTCCCACCTCGGCCTCCCAAAGTGCTGGGATTACAGACATGAGCCATCTTTTTTCTTTTTAAAAAGAAACACAGGAAAAATAAATCAGAAACAAATGTCCATGGTCCTAAAGGAGCAAATTGGAAATGGAAAAGGTAATATGAATGGGACTAAGACCTCTGAGTGTACCTTTTTATATACTTCTGACTTTTTATTCAAAAATGAAATTAAAACAAAACAGATGAGGCCGGGTGCGGTGGCTCACACCTGTAATCCTAGCACTCTGGGAGGCCAAGGCAGCCGGATTGCTGGAGGTCAGGAGTTCGAAACCAGCCTGAGCAAGAGCGAGACCCTACTATAAATAAAAAGAAATTAATTGGCCAACTAATATATATATAGAAAAAATTAGCCGGGCATGGTGGCGCATGCCTGTAGTCCCAGCTACTTGGGAGGCTGAGGCAGGAGGATCGCTTGAGCCCAGGAGTTTGAGGTTGCTGTGAGCTAGGCTGACGCCACGGCACTCACTCTAGCCTGGGCAACAAAGTGAGACTCTGTCTTAAAAAAAAAAAAAAAAAGAAAACAAAATGGATAAGAAAAGTAAACCCTAAGAATCAACCTACTTGTGTGTTGAACTGATTCATTCAGTTGATTCATTCAGCTTGTATGTTGAACAACCATAGAGCAAAAGAATTTAATTAACTGTACATCTTCTTGGTATATACGCTAAGAACAGCGACACCAAAAACCCTGCAAAGACATGTTGAATTTTACCTAGCAGATCTGGTATCTGCCATGGTGCTGTGGCTGAAGTAATCCTGCAACCATTTCATGAGTATTTGGGGATGAAGCAAGAAAGTCAATGTGTGAATATCCTCAGCCACATCTTTCACCATGGCGACTGGTGGGACTGAATGCAGGAGGGGACGTCAGGAAGATCCCTGTGGTGGTCGATTTGAACTGGAGCTATCAGTCTGGACTCACGTTAGCTTTTGCTTTTGGTTTTTTGTTTTGTTTTGCTTTCACTTTATAAATATGTTTTTTCTGGCTCTGTGAACAGAAACAACCTGGAAGCAAGGGAGTCCCAGTCGGAACAAGCACTCCCAGCACCCAGAGCTTAGCTCCTAAAATACCTTCTCCAAAATTCTCGATTTCTGATCTGGTTGAGGGAATGTTCCAAGTTGATCCTGAACATCCCATGCTAACAGCAAGAAAGTTCTCCAACGCCAGTGAAGACATGTAGAAGAACATAGTTGCTGGCTTAAAGGGGCTCCCACTGGTCACATTTGTGACAATTTGAGCATAAAAAAGAATAATGGTGATGGATTATAACACTGAGTTAAAATAATAGGCTGAGAGAAGTGGCTCACGCCTGTAATCCCAGTACTTTGTGAGGCCGAGGCAGGAGGATCACTTGAGGTCAGGAGTTTGAGACCAGCCTGGACAACATAGCAAGACCCCTGTCTCTACAAAAAAATTAAGAATCAGTCAGGTGTGGTGGTGTGAGCCCATAGTGCCAGCTACTTGGGAGGCTAAGGCAGGAGGATCACTTGAGCCCAGGAGTTTGAGACTGCAGTGAGCTACAATTGTGCCACTACACCCCAGCTTGGGCCCCAGCCTGGGTGACAGAGCAAGACCTTGTCCCTAAAATTAAAAACAATAATAATAAGAAGAATCCACAAGTCACTAGTAATACCCAAAATGTCAGGACTGGGGAGGATCTTTAGGGACACCAGCTAATGAATGTGGAAGAAATGACAGATAGGTTTAGAAAATCCTGTTTTTTGCAGGCACACATTTATGTGTTCAGACAAGGATCAAAACAGGGACACCACGCCAGAAGACCATAGACCTCACCGTCGCCACACTCCTGTCCTGCTTTGCCCAGGCGCGTTGCTGGGTCCTCACGCACATAAACCCTAGGACCCTGCACGCAGGGGCCGACTGCAGCAGAAGGCCCCATCCCTGGAGGGATCTGGTGCTCACAGGGTGGGGACCGGCTCTGGGACTGCCCGCTGGGGAGGGAGCTTTGGTGGGGAGAGGGGGACCAGCGGGAGGAAGGAACCTGGGCTGCAAGTGGCCAGGGGTCCCCGCAGGGAGGGTTCTTGGCCAGGAGGACACAGCACCAGGCACCTTCCTGAAACCCCCGCCAGCCCCCCAGTAGAGTCCTAGGGTTGAGAGACCCGGTTCTGCTGCGGCAGCTGGGGTGGCCCAGGCTCCCTCCCATTCCTGCCTTCTTAAAACAGGAAGCAGGCCGGGGTGCAGTGGCTCACGCCTGTAATCTTAGCACTCTGGGAGGCTGAGGCGGGCGGATTGCTCCAGGTCAGGAGTTTAAAACCAGCCTGAGCAAGAGCAAGACCCCGTCTCTACTATAAATAGAAAGAAATTAATTGGCCAACTAATATATACAGAAAAAATTAGCCTGGCATGGTGGCGCATGCCTGTAGTCCCAGCTACTCGGGAGGCTGAGGCAGAAGGATTGCTTGAGCCCAGGAGTCTGAGGTTGCTGTGAGCTAGGCTGACGCCACGGCACTCACTGTAGCCTGGGCAACAAAGCAAGACTCTGTCTCACTCACACACACAAAAAACATACAAACAAACAAACAAAAACAGGAAGCAGAGGGAGTTGTATGTCCCCAAACACTGGGGACAAACCACACTCCTGCCTCACCGGGGAGGGTCGACGAGGGAGCAGCTCAGAGCAGAGACCCCAACCCCTGAGGCTCACGCACACGGCAGGGCATGCCATGGGGACCCCGCACAGAGACCCAGGGAGACAGGGCGGGTCCAGCCCCTGCTGGGAGACCTGTGGCAGCAGATCCCACTCCCGGGCCACATGCCCACCAGGGACCCTCCAGCCCCATTTGTATCTTTGTAACTGCAGGTCTGAGTGGGTGCCTCGTCTCTGCACGTCCTCCTGGGCAGGCAGGGGCACTACCCAGGGTGGCAGCTGGCCTCACCCCCTGGGAACCCCCTGGGGAGACCAAGCAGCAGCCGGCCTCCACTTGTCCCTGAGCTGCCATTCTCTGCCCGGAGGGAAGGGACAGAAAGCCCTGTTCCCTCCCCACCCCCCCAGGTCAGGAGGGGGAAGGGGTAGCACAAGCAATTAGGGCAGGGACAGATGGACAATGGATGGATGGACAGAGGAAGGAGTAAAAAGGCGAATGAATGAACAAACAGAAAGAGAAAGCCTGCTGGAGCGGTGTGGCCAGGAAGGGGACCAGAACACACTCTCCCCAGGGGTGTCTTGGGCCAGGCCCAGCCACACCCCGTTGCTTTAGGGCTGTCCCCCCAGTTCACAGAGCACTTGGACCTCACAACAGCAGGCAGGCACACCTTTGGGACGAAGACCCTGTAGCTGGCAGGGAGGGGATACTCGTCTGGGCTTCGTGGGCGGGACACAGGGGGCGGGGGTCCTGCCACAGCGGAAGCCTCCCTGGGGCCGAGCTTCCTGGACAAGGGTCAGGAAGCGCCAGCTGTGGCCCTGTTCCACCACACCCTCACAACGGTCTCTTGCCCTGCCCTGACGTGGGCAGGGAGGACGGGAGGGAGGGCACCAGGTTTCCCAGGTCTGAGAGACCAGAGATGTGGTCCCGGGCCAGTGGGGTTGCGGGGACTGGCCCTGGCAGCGCTATGTGTGCCCCAGCAGGCTAGTCCCCACATAGGGGGCCCCTGGACCCCCTCACCCACGCCTTGTGAGAAGACCCCAGCTTTGGAGAACTCACACAGCCTTGCTGAAGGGCCAGCGCCGGCCATGGGGCAGGCTGGCAAGACGGACCCCCGTATGTGTGTGCAAATGGGCCCTCTGAGCCTTGGAGCCAAGAACGGACTCATGCACCACCTGCCCTCCTTGCCATTGCTCCTGTTCAACCCTGGGCATGCCCACCAGGCGTGCAAGGGCCCTGGGCTGTGCAAGAGCTCTGGGGCTGCCTCCTTGCACGCAGGTCTGGCCAGTATAGGAGCCCAAACTCACATGGCCCTTGCCTCCCCGGCCAGCGGATGTGCACACACGAGCACACACACACGCACGCCTCCTCCACTCCCTCACCACTGGTTACAAAGTCTCCTGCCAAGGGCCACCCTCTAGCCTCTAACTCACCGTCCAATGTCCGAGCAGACCTTGGAGTCAGCGGCCACAGCAGCGTGGGCAAAGGCTGGGGGGCCGCAGCGGGCCTGGCGGTGAGAGAGGAGCACAGCTGGCATGATGACAGCCAGCGCCAGTCCCAGCCCCAGCAAGGCCAGGCAGACTGTGGTCCTGCGGCCCCAGGCCATGGCTCTGCCACCAGGGGCAGAGGGGCGGCCGGTGGGCAGACAGACGCTAGACGGATGGACAGATGGATGGACAAGAGGATGCACAGGTGGACTCACAGATGACTGGACAGATGACAAGTGGAGCCAGAGACAGACAAGCAGATGGACAGAGAGGATAGTACGTGAAGGATGGTCAGACAGAGACAGGGTCACAGATGGGGGGACACACAGACAGGTCTAAATAGCGGGCAGCGGACAGACAGCAGGCGGCTGGTGGCTGGCGGCTGTTGTGCTCTGCAAGCGTTCACTCCAGAGGCAGAGCTGCTCACGCCTCAACTTCCAGTTTTCAGCCGCTGCTTGGTCCTGGCGGGAGGCCAGCAGCCCAGCATCCAGGGGAAGTTTTTCTTGCCAAAAGGAGCCAGCTGCTGCAGTTAACTCCCTCACTGCTAGCCGGTCCCACGGCCGCTCCTGCCGGCGCCCACTGTTACCGCATGTCAACATGCCTGAGAACTTGGTGCCTGCTGCACCCAGGCTGCCAGGAACTGCCACGCCGCTCACCAGTTCCTGGCAAGGAAGGGAAAGCAGTGCTTGGACCACCTGGCTCCCTTCCCAGGGTCAGGCAAGGCTGCCCAGGCAGCAGCTCAGCCTCCACATCCAGGTGGGGCTGAAGAGACAGAGGGAGCCCAGATCCAAGCTGGTGTCACTCAGGACCCAGGTTCATGTCCCTGGTCAGCTGCAGCCTGGCCTGGGAGGGGCTCGAGGTGACCAGAAGGGGGGTCTCAGCTTCAGACAGGCAGACTCCGGAGCACCAAACACCCATGACTGAAAGACGCCACATGAGGAGTGCAGACAGGCTGTGCGTCCAGCCCTGGGCACCCAGCGCCCACTGCACCGTCTACCCCTGTGACCTGCCATCCTGGAGATGCAGCCATGAGCCTCTGGAGAAAGGGCTGCCCTGTCTGGGCTCTGCCCCACTGCAGCTCCGCCCCTCCCAGCTGCGGGGTTGTTTGCCTGTGTCCATCCTGCTGTTGCCAGGCCGGCAGTGCCTCCTCCACTTGGGACAGGAGCCTGGGTTCTGTCCTCCCCAGCCTCAGGAGCTGGGGGAGTAAGGACCCACTGAGGGCTTCCTGGGTAGGAGAACCAGGCTGAGCAGGTCCACAGGGGGAAGGGGCTGAGGGCAGGACTCCTCTGGTCCTGCACGGCCCCCACATGTCCTCCCCGCCTTCCCAGGTGGGCGCCACCTGTCTCAGGTGTCTGCCCACCTCCCGGCACAGCAGAGAAACCGAGGCCCAGAGACAGACTGTGTCCTCACGCTCAGGCCACACAGCCTGCCAGGCCTCCACATCCAGCCAGAGCCCTTGGTCATCCCTGGCTGGAGTGGCCGTTAGGGGCAGGGCTTCCCGTAAGCTGTTCCCACTGCTGCCTCACAGCAGGGGACTGTGGGCGCCTCCTCCTGTCCCCACCCAGCCCCCACACCATAGTGACATTGCTCAACCAGAAACCACAGTGCATTCCTGAGCCCTGGCCAGCCCACCCACCCACTGGTCTCAGAGGCCAGAGGCCAGAGCAGCAGGGGAGCAGGGTTGGGGACGTCCCCCTCCTCTCCCCAGCCATCCTGGCTAGAGGTCAGAGTGCAGAGGCTCAGGGAAGGGAATGGATGTCACACTGGGCCTGGTCTGAGGCACAGCCAGGGAGGCTCAGTGGAGAAGGGCCTTGAATGTCCTTATCCAATAGGTGACAGGGGAGGGGACAATGGGAAGAAAAGAGGAGAATTCAAGTCCCCCAGCCCCTGAGGTAGTCCTGGGCTCCATGGGGCCTGGGGACCTGGAGTGCACCCCCCAGTGTTTCAGGCCCTGGGATTCCCATGTCCAGTCCCCACTTCCCTCACTGCTGCGCAACCCAGAGCAAGCCCTGCCCTTCTGGCCTCAGTCTTCTCCCCTGAAAATGGGGCCATGGCCTTTCCTCTCAAGCCAACATAAGGCAGAGGTGACTTGCTCACTGTTCGGCCTCCATCTAGTCCCTGGGGACCCAAGACAGCCCCCCAGGGCTCAGGCTCAGACCGGGGTGCACCCTGCAGGCACAGAGCCCCATTTCCTGGTGGGCATTTTGGAAGCACCAGGTTTTCCGGCCTCCTGAAGGACAGTCCAGACCTGGCCTCACCTGGCCCCTCCTGGGCCCTGTGCGCACTGGTGGGTGACATCTGGTGGTGCCCCCGTCCCACCTCCACCAGCCCTCACCCCAGGTGCTGTCCCCCTGGGTGGAGGACGAGTTAGCAGACCCGAGGCAGGGTCAAGGGGCCGGCCGTGGTGGAAGACGCCTGTGTCCGGCAGTCCCCTTCTAGACTCTAGCCCCGCCCCTCCAGGGTCTGGGGACCCTGTCGGCTCCCTGTTCCCTGAGAACCAGGCCTCCATCTGGAGCTGGCCCCAAGCTCGGGTTTCACGCTGGGCTTGTGCTTGGAAAGCCCCCTGGGGCCTGGCTCTGACCCTCCTGCCAGTCCCCAGTGCTCAGACCTCAGCCGCGCCCGTCTGTCCGGGAAGGGTGAGCCAGGACACCCAAGGGGCTGAGGAGGCAGCGCCTAGTTCCCGGCAATCTGCCTCCTACCACCCGCGCCTAAGTGACCGCCGGGACTGCAGCGCCCCCTGGTGGCCGGTACAGGGTAGCAGCGCTAGAGGCTGTGCCTGGCAGGGGGGCCCCTGGGCTCTGCCACCCGCCAAGCTCTCCCCCTTCTGAAAACACTGAGGCCGGCTCCAGTGCCCACAGTGTGAAGGCCTCCGGATCTCACCTCTTTGTTCCCCCAGCCGACGGCTCCATTTCACAGACAGGACACTGAGGCCCAAAGGACGGGACCCCGGCCATGAAGGCTGCCCAGAGCCTGGCACAGTGGCCCCCATTTATTGCCCTGCCCCTCCACCCGCAGGGGAGCATGTCCCACAGGGCTTCCCCCCCGGGCTGGAGAGCATCTGGTCCCCGGGTTGCTGGTCTGCTTGTCGCCCTGAGCACTCAGTAGCCGGCAGGCTCTCCGCCTTTCCTGGAGTCCGAGGCGGCTGCCCAGCCACCAGCCGTGCGGACGATGGCTTGCACCACAGCGATGAAGGTGGGGGTGACCTGGGTTTGGTGGTGCCGGGTCTTCAGGGCCGCAACCACTGCCTGGGGGTGGGAGGGGAGGGAGAGGCCTCAGCAGAGCGCAGACACCATCCGAACCACACCGGAGTGGTCGTGGGCCTCACAGCCTGGAGGGCGCCATTTCTGGCCAAGAGCAAGCTGGGGGCACCTTGGCTTATTGGGATCCGCTGCAGCAGGTGGCTCGGCCCTCATGGGCCCTGGTGGCCCAGACGGTGGGCTTGAGGATCGTCCGCCCAGGCAGGACACCCACCATGTCCACTCCGTGATGGCTCAGGAGATCCAGGCTCCAGCCCATGGTGCCCTGTGGCCTCACACTGTGACGCAGCTTCCCCAACCCACAGCCCACCTGGTCAATGTCTCTCTCCAGTGTCGTGATGTTGGGCAAAAGCTGGTTGTGCAGCCGGGGCTCCTCCACGGCCCGCTTCACGTCGTAGCCGAACCACAGGTTGTGGATGATGGCCTGGCGGGGGTCGGGCGTGTGGTCAGCAGGGCCCGGGGAGGCAGAGGCGGGAGGGAGGGGAGGACAGGGGGCTGGCACATACCAGTGCGGTGGCCGTGGTGATATGCGTGCCCCCAGAGGCTCCCACCACCATCCGGACGTGGCCATCCCGGCCCACCATGATAGTCGGGCACATGGACGAGAGTGGCTGCTTCCCTGCGGCAGGCAGGAGGGGACACAGGTGCCAGTCAGCTACCTGCCCAGGCCACCAGCCCCCTCCTCAACCAAAGCCCCAGCCCCTTGAGCCCTACCCCATACCTGGCTTGATGAAATTGGCAGGCGAAGGAGGAACCCCAAACTGGTTGATGATGTTGGGAGAGCTGAAGTCGTCCATCTCATCGTTGAACAGGATCCCGCTGACCGGGGAGCGCACCTTGGAGCCAAAGCTGCAGCCCAGCCAGGTCAGACAGCAGTGCCCAGCCAGCCCTGCCCTGCCGGCCCCACCGCCCTCCCTCAAACTCACTGTCCAGAGGCCCAGGGCAAGCTCCCAAGGTGGAGCCTCAGCTTCCTACCATGGGAGGAGGGTTGGAGCCCCTAAAGGGACATGCGGGCAGCCCTGGCCCACCTGGCCCGGCCCTGTCCCACCCAGGTGGCCGGTGTCCCCTACTAGAGGTTGATGGTGCTGGTGGCAGATACAGCACTGCCGTCCTCCGCAACGACAGACAGGTGGGCGGTGCCCCCATCGTTGGGCGTGTAGAACTCAGGCTCGTAGTAGGAGGTCGGGTGCGTGGTGTCATCGGAGATCCGGGCCCGGAGCTGGGCCGCAAAGAACTCAGAGGTCATGTTGAGAACCACCTGCCGAGACCCCAGAGCTGGCCTGAGGAGGTGGAGGGAGGTGGGGAGGGGCACAGGGTTGTCCGAGCAGGTCTCAGAAAGCCCCCCGACCATGGCTCTGACCACAACCCTCCTGCCCCTAAACCTCCCGCGGCTCCCGGGCCCCAGGGTCAGGCCCAGCTCTGCACGCGTGCAGCCTGACCCTCTCGCAGCCCCATCTCTGCTGCTGCCCAGCACCTCCGAATGTCTGTCTGTCCCTCAGGCCTCTAGACTCTTGTCATGTTCAATCACTCATTCATTCATTCGTGCCAACATTTGTGGAGCTTGTGTTACGTGCCCAGCACTAGAAGGTCAGTGGGGGCCAGGCAGGCAGGCTCCTGCCCCCACGGTGGGAAAAACAAACTCAGGCAGAGGACATGCTGAAACAGCAAGCCAGAGAAGAGGGATTGAGAAGGATGGGTGGGGACAGATGGCCAGGGAGGGCTTCTTGGAGGAGATGACATCCTGAATGAGGTCTAAATGGTCCATGCCAAGGCCCTTGGGCAGGCGGAGCAGGCCTGTGAGCGACAGGCAGACAGTGACTGGGTTGAGGGCAGAGGAGGTTGAGAATACAGGCTGGCCCGTCCCGCAGTCCCACGAGGACTTTGGCCCTTGTGACACACAGGCGTGGGACAGAAGTGAGCACGCTGGGGGAGAGTTTCACAGGGGCCCTCCGGTGGCCATGAGGGGAATAAGGATGGAGGTAAAGGGAGGCGATGGCAGCAGGAGGCTGCTGAAAGCCACAAGCCTGGCCTAGGTCCCCAAGGCGCACCAAGGACAAAGCAGAGGAGGAGATGAAGGAGGCAGCAAGGAAGGGCCCCTGGAGGCCAAAGAATGTGCTGCAAGAGGGGTTTGGTGACACTCCATGGATGAACCGCCCAACCCAAGGGAAAGCCGTTTTGGCCTGAATCTGCCCCCAAACATTAAGACAAATCGAGGATTGGAACATTCTCCAGGGCGACTGCCCTGGGCTGTAAAAATCAGCGACACAGCCCAGGGGTCCACCGCAGGCTAGGGGACGACGGAGCCCGCACAGCCAACCGCAAGTGTGACTGGTGGATCCTGGGCCCAGAGGGCGCGGGCCCGGGGAGGTCCCACACGGGCGTGTGACAGGCCACGTCGCCGGACGCAGGGTTTCTGGCTGCTGTGGGGTGCAGGGTCCTCCCTCATAGGAGACACACGCCAAGTGTGACATCGGCAACTTACTGTCCAATCACTCAGAAAAGACACGGACATCGGCAGGCGGGGCGGGGAGCAGACAGAGCCCAGCAGGCTGGCCACACTGGGGGCTCCAGTGGAAGGGAGCAGGGCGGGCACTGATGTTTGGGGGTTTTTTAAGCATTTTTGTAGGTGTGAATATTTGCCAAATGCAAAGTTGAGGAAAGGGGGAGTGTGGTCAGCTGTGTGAGATGCCACCAAAAGGGGCCTGAAGGGGAAACTGAGGCTGGACCTGGGTAGCTGGTGGTGTGGGGGTGGCGTGAGGAAGAGGGGAGCCTGAAAGGAGAGAGGACGGAGCCCGGCCTTGTGTGTCCTAAGGGGAGCAGAGGCGGAAGGTTCTGGAGCAACAACAGCTGCCTCTGTTGCGGGAACGATCCGCTATAGCGGGAAAGCGGTCAGAGGCAGAGAGGAGCGCGGCAGCCGCAGTGCCCTGAGCCAGCGGGCAGGCGGACGGGCTGGCTGGAGCCAAGAGGTGTCTGGGGGTGTGCTGCGGTGGCTCCGTCCCCTCCACGAGACAAGACGCCAGGTCACTGGCCACCGGCGGCGTGGGGTGCAGCGTGCTCACCAGGAAAGAGAAGACACCGCTGGGCAGTCGAGGGCCCTCCTGCGTGACCGCCAGGCAGTGTGAGGGTCTGCAGGTCCACCCCCATGCCAGAGATGCGAGTGGGGAGGGAGAGACGTGAGGCCCCTCAGTGGGAGGGACAAGATGGGAACCTGTGGAGCTGGGGCCCCTGGCGGGTGAGTGAGGGGCTGCGGGTGGAGATCTGGGAAGTGTCAGTTCCTTGAAGTAACCAGAGAGCAGGTGGCCAAGGCCTCTGCCCACCTGGCCTCTCCCCCTCATCCCTCCTTCTCATCCCTGAGGGCTGCAACGCCCTTATGCATTCTTGACCTCAGTATTGACCACTCCAGAACCTTCCAGGCCAAAGGCACTGTGGCAGGAATGTGACCAGAATGGGAGGGCACTAATTGCCCACTGTCAAGTCTGTCTCCCCTGTCCCTCCCCACACTGTGAGCTCCATGGGGCAGAGACCAAGACTTGGGGTCACCAGTCCACGCCAGCACACAGTAGGCCCGCAACCAAAGTCGGTGGTGGGAACAGATCCACAAAGCAGACACAAGGCTGCTGTGGCCCCAGGAACCCACCTGCCGCCTCCACCGCAGGCCCTCGCCCATGTGGGCCAGCCCCTCCCCTTACCTTAGTCACATCGACAAACTTGGGGTCCCCCAGCAGGGTCCTCTTGGCGTAGGCAAACCGGAAGGCCTCCACAATGCGGTGGTAGGTGAGGCCCTTCCGCTCAGGTGTCTGCACGCTCTCCCGGGAGAAGTTGTACCCTGGTTGGTCACAGCCAGGTGCACGTTGGCAAGCTCCAGGGGTTCAGAGGGTTGACACCTCCCTGAGCCCCTTTGCCCACCCCGAGAGGGGGGACATTTAACAACCAACAGCAGTGGCCACTTCAGAAGGACGTTTAAGGATGAAATGAGGCAAGGGCTCCCCAGGCCTGTCCCGCATGCCTCAGCCTGAGGGCCAGGCAGTCTACGATGCCATGCATAACCACTTAGATGTACCAGGGATGCTCTCTGGACCAGGCCCTTGGCCCGGAACTCCCACACTCCTCTCCCTCCTGACAGCTCTTCTTCCTCTTCCAGCCCCCGGGCAGTGCCCACCACGCCCAGTCACTCTGTGCTACCTCCTGCAGGACACGGCGAGCCGCGGGGCAGGGGAACCCAGCGGTGGGAGGACGCAGGGCCCGGCCGCCAAGCGGAGCAGCGGTGGATCGCAGGAGGCGGGGCAGTGTCGCGGCTGCTCACCTTTGAGGATGTTGAGGATGAGTGCCAGCACGGGCCCGCTGAGCGGCGCGCTGGGCACGTAGAGGACTGTGTCCCCGAGGCTGATGTTCACCGGGTGCTCGATCAGCTCAGCGCGGTAGTTGTTCAGGTCCTTGGCCGTCACAATGCCCCCTGCAAAGGGACAGCTGTTTGGGTGGACACGGGGACGGGGCTGCACCATAGCAGGGCGGATGGGGTGCACCTCAGGAGGGAGCCCTGTCCACCTCCCCACCGGCCCATGCTCTCCTGGCCCCTCTGTCCCCTGAGGGCACTCACACCCACCGCCAGGCCAGGGCAGCCCTCAACCTGCTTGGCTGGCTGGCCTCCTGGTCTGCCTCCTCTCCTCTGTGGCCAGAGGGTCTTTTCTGAGTGGAGAATTCCTGCCCCCATCGCCCCCTGCTCAGCCCTGTTCTTCCGGAGTGAGTGGGTGGGTGGCGGGAGGCTCAGATCTCCAGGGAGCCAGCTCCGGGCAGACGGGGCACTGACAGCTCCAGCCTCGGGAGTGAAGGGCTACCTGCTAATCACCCTCCTCCACGAAACAGTGACACAAATGCCATGAAGAAGGCCACAGCCAAGCTCCCAGGCCCCTGCCCCATGAGGCCCCTCCTACGCCTCTCTTACCAAGCCGCCCTCAGCCCTGGTGATGCTCCCGGTGAGTCAAACTGCCCCTCCCAGGCCTTAGCCCAAGCTCTTCTTTCTGCTTAGAATCCTTCCCCTCTCTACCTAACAAAGTTATTGGCAGCTCAGCCACTCCCTCCTCCAGGAAGTCCTCCTGGATCCTCAGTCTACACTCTAGCACTTGCCCTGCCCGGTCCCTTCATTTAACCCACGGGGACTTCCTCTCCTGGACTGCATGGCCCGTCTCCGCCTTGACCCCACCAGGAGCTCCCGAGGGCCCAGGCAGGACAGGAGGGGCCCCGGGGCTCTGGGCCCCAGCTCAGGGTTCCCTCCGCGGGTTCCTCACCCAGGCCCAAGTCACCACTCACCAGCTGCCTGGATGTCCTTCACGATCTGTGCCGTGAGACTCCCGTTGTAGAAAGCCTGGGCGCCCTCGCGGGCCAGCGTCTCGTACGTGTCGGCCAGCCGCGGCAGGGTCAGCGTCTCCCCCTCCCGGAGCACCTTCCCGTCCCGGCAGAACACCTCGCTGTGGCGGGGGCTAGTGTGAGACGCAGCCAGACGCCCTTGCGCCCACCCACACCAGGGGACGGGGAACAAAGCGTGGACAGGACAGGCCAGTCTACGGGTGAGTGTCCCTGTCACGTGGGGCTCGGCCTCCTGGTGCCCCTTCTGGCCAGTCCAGCCCATGCCTTCTAAGTGTCCCCTGCCGCTCAGGACACATGCTGGCCACCAGTGTCTACCTTGGGCCCCAAGCCCCAGGCTCAGGATGTGTCCCTGCACGCAGCAGGAAGGGTCTGCATGTCCTCGACCCCCGGGGCGCCCATCAGCACAGGTTCCCGAAAGCAAGGCGCAGCTCTGCCAGCTGCTCATGGCCGCAGGGCCCCAGGGGCCGCAACCAGACGTACCACAGGACAGGCTGCGTCTCTATGGCGGCCCGCTTGCTGTTCAGGGCCGCGGCCAAGGCCTTGCCCACGGGGAAGCCCTGGCGGGCCAACTGGATGCTGGGCTGGAAGAGGCGAGCCCAGGGCAGCCGTCCGTGGCGCCGATGCGCCAGCTCGTAGCCGCGGATCTCCCCGGGAACGGCCACCGACAGCCCGCCTGGGGAGAGCACGCCACGTTAGCACCCCGGGAAGGGGACGGCAGGGTCTCTCGCAGCCACGTTCCCTACACATTCCCCAGATAGGGCCAGGGAGGCCAGGGAGGAAAGGGAGTTTTCAGCTCCTATCTGGGCTCGGCAGGCGGGACGGTGGAGGGACAGGGATGTTGGGCACGTGCTGAGGTTCACTGTCCCGGGATTAGTGTCTGTCTCCACAGGCGCCTCCGTGTCTGAAGTCCTGCGCCAGCCCACGGCCGCTCAGTGAGACTCGGGGGAGCCCAACACCCCCCGCCCCTGGCTCTCAGTCCCAGGCCATGAGGCCACTCGTCCCACAAGACTCGCCACAGCAGGCCCAGGCTCTGCCAGCCCCGGGAAAGGGCCCCCTTCCTCTCTCCTCTGTCCCAGAAGCAGGACCTGAGCTTTAGTCTCTGCCCTGTTCCCTCTCTGGGCCTCAGTTTCCCCACCTGACTATACACAGCTTTGCCTTCCAGTTCCGACTTTTGAGGTGCCCCAGATCCCAACAGAAACACCCCTGGGCCTGCCTCCCCTCCAAACCCTAGGGCTGCCCACTTGGGCACGACACCCTGAGCCGGACACTGACCTTCGTCCCAGGAAGGTGCAGCCAAGGCCCCGCCCCCAGGAACCCTCCTGCTGCCACTCTGAGATGACAAGTGCCACCTTGGCTACTCCCAGGCTTGGCAGCTGTAGCTCCAGAACCATCTCTGCCACCATGAAGCCGGTGCAGTTTCTTTTTCTTTTCTTTTTTTTTTTTTTTGAGACAGAGTCTCACTTTGTTGCCCAGGCTAGAGTGAGTGCCGTGGCGTCAGCCTGGCTCACAGCAACCTCAATCTCCAGGGCTCAAGTGATCCTCCTGCCTCAGCCTCCCAAGTAGCTGGGACTACAGGCATGCACCACCCTGCCCGGCTAATTTTTCTATATATATTAGTTGGCCAATTAATTTGTTTCTATTTATAGTAGAGACGGGGTCTCGCTCTTGCTCAGGATGGTTTCGAACTCCTGACCTTGAGCAATCCGCCCGTCTCAGCCTCCCAGAGTGCTAGGATGACAGGCGTGAGCCACCGCGCCTGGCCGGTGCAGTTTCTGAGCTGTTGATTCCTAGAGGCTGCAGTTTCGGAAGGTCTGACACCCGACACACGGTTCCCCCCACCTTAAAGAGTCCTCTCCCGACCTCAGGCCAGTCAGACTCTCACACCACCCTGCTGGGGCGCACCAGGGACCCCCACACTGCCAGACCCAGCGCCCCGCTCAGCCTCCCCTCTCTCCTTCCCAGATGCCCGCCTCACCGCCCGGCTCCTGCCTTCCCCCTCGTCCTCCTCTGCCTGCCACACCCTGGTGATCTCCCGGGCTCCCAAGTGTCTGCTCTGATCCGCTTCCCGCCAGCCCTGCCATTCTCTGTTAGGGCCACCCTGTCCTTCCAGGTGCAGACCAAAGACCCCAGGGCCACCCGGGACTCCACACACGAGCTTCACGCCAACCTGTCTGCACATCTGCAAGCGCCACCGTCCAGATGTGTGCAGCATCAGCCCTTCCCACCCCCTCGTCTCTGTGTGGGTCATCGCAGGGACCACCTGGCAGGTGCCACCTGCCTCCTGCCCCTTACACAGCAGCCCACAGGGCCTGTTAGCCACAGGCCAGACCACGCCCCCACGCAGACACTGCGAGGCCCCACCTCGCCTAGACGAGAGGCAGGGCTTCACGTGACCTGCAAGGGCCACACAACCCGGGCCGTTCCCTCTGACCCCGTCCGCCTCCTGGCTCACATGCTGCAGCCTCCCTGGCTCCCCGAAGGGCTCTGTCCCCGCCTGTCCTGCCTGGACCACTCACTCACCCGCTAGACAGCTGCACAGCTCCCCTCAACCCACCCCTGCCTCTGGGTCTTTGCTCAGACGCCCCCTCCCGCGGCCAGGTGCCCCTGGGGAGCCCCCGCCCATGGGCCCTCCAGCTCCGCTTTCTCCACAGTGTCTGATCGTCTCTCTCTTCTCCATCTGCAATGTCACCTTGACCACGCCACAGACTCCACCTGCTGTCTTTGCTTTGTACCCCGGCTTCCACAGTGGCACCTGGCACTTTAAGATGTGCTCAGTAAGTCCCAGTTAAATAAATGAAAGTCTGTAAAATGCCAACATGCTCATACTCTGAGCGATTTAAATTCTACACATTCTGAGAATCTCAGTGAGTGTAAAAAAAATCAAAGATTCTACATGTTGGGGAACACCCAAAGGGACCACTGAAAGGGCACTGCCCAGGACGCCTGCCTGAGCTGTGAGTGCTATGGGTGTGCCCGGCCCCTCCGGCCCTCCAGTCTGTGTCCATCCCGACTCCTTTGAGTGGCGCCCTGGGAGGACATCCGCTTCCCCTCAGCTATCTGGGGACTTTGGGGCCCTCCTCTCCACGTAAGGCCAGGTAAGAAAAGATAGACTCCACCCCATACTCTAGAGCCCTATCCCCACAGATGGAGGAATGAATGAACAAACGGGATGTCTGCTGAAAACGCAGGGTTTAGAAAGCCTGGGTTCAATTTGAGCTTCACCACCTCCCAGCTGTGTGACCTCAGCCCCCTTGCATGACCTCTCTGGGCCTCCGCACCCCCACCTATAAAATGTGAGTCAACATAGCATCCCCTCACCCGCAAAGGCACGGAGGGTATGGGGTCTCATTGGTGAAAAGCACCACGCAGGGTGCCAGCCCCAGCAAGCCCTGGCACGTGACAGCTGGTATCACAATAGGTGTCCCTGCAGGGCCTGAGTCGAAATAACGACACTCCTGCCCCTTTCCCTCCGGGGATGCTGTTGACCTCACAATGGGGGAAGGTGCTGGGGGCCGGGAGGGGTGGAGGGTGCTAGGCTGCTCCTGGGCTCCAGACGGGCTCGCGGCTCTGCACCCACCCCCGACTCACCATCCTGAGACTGCTCCGAGCTGTTGAACATGCTGGAGGAGGCCAGCCCGGGGGCCACCTCTCGGGCATTGATGACCTCAGCCTTTCCTAGAAGGAGAAGCAGGTAGGCAGGAGGACCTCCGCCGAACCCTCACCCCGCACTCGAGCCCAAGGGCCACCCTGCTGGCTGCCCCCAGCCCACAGCCTCCCGGCCCTCCCCGGGCACTCACGTGTGCTGCTGTCGTAGATGGTGAGGAACAGGCCACCCCCGATGCCCATGCTGTGGGCGTTCATGAGCCCCACGCACAGCAGGGCCGCGATGGCCGCGTCCACCGCCGAGCCGCCGTCCTGCAGCATGTCCCTGCACGGCACGTCTTGGGGTGAGAACCTGCAGGCTGCTGTCCCCACCCACACACCCTGCCACCCACCTGCCCACCTCTATCCGGCCGCCCTGCTCAAGGGAGGATGGACGAGGAGTCCATGTAAGTTTTTGTTTCTTATTTATTTATTTGTGTTTTTTGTAAAGATGGGGTCTTACTACGTTGCTCAGGCTGGTCTTGAACTCTTGGCCTCAAGCAATCCTCCCACCGTCACCTCCCAAAATGCTGGGATTACAGGTGTGAGCCACCATACCTGGTAAGTTTTTGTTTTAAAGACTTACAGCTTCCTCTTTTTTAAGCAAAAAAATGTATATGACTTTTGGGGGGAAAATGGGAAATTGCTATGCTTTATTAATGACTTTTTTTTTCTGTTTAAGTCTTTAGGTGGGAAGTTATTTTTATACACAATGCACGATAGGAGTCTAAAATAGAATCAAACAGTGGCGTTCATCCAGAGAAACAGAGATTCTTAGAACTGAGGAAAGGGGCCCTGCTGGGCTCTGAGAGACCCACGGCCTGCTTTCAGGGTCACGGTCCCCTTCCTCCCCCGACCAGAGGCTACGGTGAGGGTGCAAGGAAAGGACAGGCAGCTCCATGCACATCAGACACTGCCTGCCCAGGCGGCCCATTTACAGGTGGGAAAACTGAGTCTTGGAGGGGCGAGGGCTCACTTACATGGTTGCCCTCCAAGGCCATGTCTCCACGCCACCCCACAGCCTGCCGGGTCAGGCTGCCCCACTCACCTCCCAATCTCTGAGCAGCGCTTGGCATCCGCGGCCACGGCTGCCCTGGGGTACACATGGCGGTCAGCTTCCCTGGAGGTTGAGGGCAGCCAGAGGCAGAGGCCGACGATGACCAGCACCAGGACCACGGCCAACAGGCCCAGCAGCAGGAACCGCTTCTTCATGGCTCTGCCTCGGGGGTGGGCGGGGACCAGGTCAGGCTCCTCCCCCCAGGGCACAGTCTAAAGTCGGGCCTGTGCCTCCTTCCAGCCTCCCAGGACACGTGCGAGCTGTCCAGCCCCCAGACCTTTGCCTGGGCCAGGCCCTCTGCCGGGAGCTCCGGGCCCCTCTCTGCCCTCCCAAGCCCTCCCTGTGTGTTCGGGGCCCATCCTGGGAGCCCCCAGACCTCACCAGCCTCTCCTAGTGGCCGGGCCACCACTGCTTAGCAGGGAGCTCCAGGGTGGACAAACCTGATCCTTCCTGTGCCCTCCACCTCAGCCAAGAGCCTGGCACTGCCCAGGGTCCCCGCGTGGCCCCCCAGAGCTTGGGGCTCAGCTTCCACGGTCCCCTGCTACAGTCAGACCTGCTGGCCCGCCTGGGACTCACCGTGTGGCAGCAGATGGGAGCCCCAAGCCCAGCCTGGGAGGCGGCCTTAAGAGATGGGAGGGTCTGGCTGAGATGACGGGGTCTCCCTCACACGCTGCAGGCGCCCGTGGCCACAGAGTCTTCTCCAGAGACTCCCCACCCAGGCGGCCTCCACGTTCTCCTGAAAATCAAGGGGGTGTACCTGAAGCCACCGGTCCAGCCCTTTCCAGGGGGCTCCGTGTGAACCCTCTCAGCTCCTGGCTGGTTCTTCTGACTCCAGTTGAACTCTGGAGCCAAAGACGCCACCAGAGGCACACGTGATTCCGTAAATCCTCCCGGCACTTCTCCTGGGCGCAGCCGGAGAGAGTTCTGCACAGAGCAGGGCGAGGGGACAGGGCATTACTGCACAAGCCCAGGCTGCGGGCTGAGTATGCCAGGTGGCAATGGGGGCCGAGGGGATGCAGCCACCTGCTGTGGGGCCCGGGCAAGTTGCCAAACTGTCCCACCGGGGTGACAGTGGCACCTTGCTTGTGGGGGCGTTGTGAAGTAGGGGGCTGCGATGCGTGGCTGTAGGCGCTGGCTGCAGTATCGCCACGGCTGTACCGGGAAACGCCTAGGGCGGCCTGCACGGCACAGGCCTTTTGCTCACCGTGTTTCCCCATGGACGTCTCTCCAGGCTGCGCAGGGAACAGCAGAGACTCTTGGGGTCCCTGTGGCTGTGGCAGCCAGTGACAGGTGTGAGCCCAACAGGGAAGAGGGATGCAGTGACAGACGTCGGGGCTCCCCTCCCAGACCCAGTCCCTACAGAGGGCGGTGTCCCCAGCGAGCTGGGCTGGGCCCCTCTGCTTTGCTCGCTGTCCCTGTTCAGGGGCGCGTCTGAGCTCAGGGGCAGAGACGGTGTCCCAGAGACGGCTGGCAGTGGAGTCCCGTGCTCTGCCCACACGCGGCCAGCGTTCCAGACAGCAGTGCGGAAGGCTGTCCCCACCCCAGGCTTATTGGGCCTTGGGACAATGCGTGATAGCATTTGACCCCTCGTGGCACAGACCCCTCCACCCCCAGTCATGATGCAGAGCCCTGGAGCAGAGGGCCGGGTGGGTGGTCTTGCAGGGACCCCCACCCCACATCCCCCACATGTCCAGTGTCCACCGTGCCCCCTCCCCACCCTGACCACAGCAGCTTGGACTCAGGTGCCACCTGTGTCCGGCCTGGCCCACGGCACGCCGCTCCCTGCGTCCCTCCTGCCACACCTCCCCTCGGTCCTCTGAGAAGCAGCCGTGCGCCCTGCCCTTCTCCCCGGTCCTCGGGCCCAACAGCCCTGGAGGGGGGCCCGGGTCCACAGTTAAGGGTTCCTGACAGAGACAGCCGTGCTGGGAGGGCTGAGGGGCCTCAAGAGCTGGGCCACGGATGGTGGCATCTGCCACAGACACAGAACATTCCAATCACATATGGAGGGGTGGGGGCCTGGCCCTCCTGCCAAGGAAGCTCCCCCATCCCATCCACTGTGCCTGGCCATGCTGGGCACCCTGGGGACACAGCCTCATCTCTCTCGGGCTTGGGCACGTGAGCTGAGCCTCTCTTTGGGGCCCCGGGGTGAGCCAGCATCGACCTCTGAGGTCTATGCTCCAGCTTCCCCATCCTGCCATCTGTCTGTCCCTCTGTCTACCCAAAGGCCCAAGTGGGCTCCCCACGGAGCAGGGGGCACCCAGCAAGGCTGAGACGGCCAGGGAGCAGTGTGGGGAGGGGAGTGGCCCCACCGGCCCTGGCCCCTCCTCCCAGGGCAGCATGGAGGGCTGGCCCAGCCTCCCACAGGCAGATGTCCCCAGCCTGGCGGAAGACACCCTGCTGGGGGCCTGGGCTTCCATTTCCCACCCCGCCACCCCCAACTTCTCTCAAAGACTCACAGAATATCCAAACCCAGAGGCCTGGCTCTCACCCACATCGGTGTCAGGAGGGGAAACCGAGGCCAGAGAGTGGGTCGGGTGCAGCACTAGGCCTCAAACCCAGACCCCCTCCTGTGATGCTGGTGGGTGTACCTGAAGCCCGGGGGCGGCAGGGGCCCCGGAGGGCTCCTCTTCCTCAGAAGACGGCTCTGGGCTGCGCCCGCCTGGGAGGAAGAGGCAGACTTGTCCTCCTGGGAAAGTCCCGGCCACAGAGCTGGCTGGCCCCCCACTCCCAGGAGCGGCTGGAGCCACGCCTGCAGCCCACAGAGCCCTGCAGGGGGCCTCGGAATCGGGACTGGGATCTGGGGGTGGGCACCTCCAGGGGCAGTGGAGGCAGGAAAGGCTCGGGAGGGGCCGGAGGGCCCAGGGGCTTACCTAGTCACAGAGGGGGCAAGAGGCCAGCCGGGGCACACCCGCGCCCCTGAGGGGCAGTTGAAGGCGTCCGTGTAGGGTGTGGGACAGGCAGTCCTCTCAGAGGTCCCGCCTGGCAGAGGATGAGGAGGCTGACGTCACATCAGCAAGGAGGTGCGGCGACTCGGCCCGTCACCAGGTGACTAACATTCACGCAGACTTGGGAGGGCCCTGGGCAGGAGGTGCGTGAGCCTGGGATGGGGCTCCCCGCTCCCAGACTCAGTTCCCTCCGCCTGTGCGCCCCTCCAGCCAGTCCCAGGCTGGGGCCCCCTCTGGCTCACCCTTCCCTGTTCAGAGTATCTGAACTCAGAGCCAGACACAGTGTCCCAAAGATGGTTCCTGACACCAGACCAGAGCCCGAGCCTAAGGGGACTCACCACAGGCTGCTGCCAGGTACCGACAGGGAGTGGCCGGAACAGGCCCAGGGCCTCAGTGTCCAGGCTGGTTCCACCACCCACCCAGCAACGTTAGCACCCCACACCCAAGGGACCACCTGAACAGCCTAGAAAGGCAGGGCCCAGAGAGGGCCAGAGCTGCCCCTAGGTCACTCAGCCCAGCAGTGCAAGCTTGGCCAGCTGGTTTTAGCCCCAAGTCACTGCACGTCCTTGACAAGCCCACCAAGGAAGTCTGAGCCAGGAACAGCTGCGGGCCTGGCCCCAGGAGACCTTGGACATTGCTCCCCACTTCCCTGTGGCTCTTGTCTGCCAAGGATAAGGGTCAGAGACTCCCTGAGTCATGGCTCCCTCCCCCACTCCCAGGCCAGCTGTGCCTAGGGCACCCAGGAGCCCCTGCGGCCTCCATGGGAGGTCTGCCCCGTGCAGTAACACCTACTCCACGATCCTCCTTCAAGGCTGCCCCAGCTGACGGAAAGGGACGTGGAATCTGGCCAGGTTTCGCTGCCTGCCTGGCTCACACAGCCAGCACGGGCCTTACTCTGTCACCCCTGCCCTTGAGAGGGCTCTGGACAGAACCCACCAAACTCTCCCATGAAATCCTCAACAGCCTGAGGGTGGAGGAGAAGATGGACAGGGCAGGAACCAGGGAGCAAAGCCCCATGACCTGCCCCTGAGGGCTGGACATCAGACAGGGACGTCAGGGGATTTGGCCCTGCCTGAGTGGCTACATTCCAGGGCAGTCGGCTGGGAGGGGTCTGCAGTGGAGAGCCACAGGACTCTGTTCCTCGCCTGCTCAGCAGTTTCCTCCCTGCCTGAGGTGGTACAAGACATGGCAGGATCAGTAGCAGCAGGAGGGCAGGAGGAATGTCTGAGTGGGCAGAGGATGGCCCAGACCCCAACAAGGGACCTCAACAAGAATAGGGCCATAGATGAAGCCTGGCAGCAGCTGCAGGGTCCAGGGAGGGGAGACAGGAAGGGAGGCACCTAATCAATGGCCATGTCAACAGAGGTATGACCTACAGAACAAAGGAGGCTCTTCCTCACATGCCAAGTGTGTCATGTTCTGTCCTGTCCAGCCCTCCACCCACTGCATACAGAGAGGGGACCTAGGAAAAAATAGGAAACCATGTCACCTGAGGAAAGACTACAGGGCTGGGCAACAGGTCTCCTCCAGACCCCACAGCTCTTGTAGTGGGCACATGAGGAGGTGAGCTCCCCGTCCCCAGAAATGTGCAAGCCTCACTCCACTCACCCTGAGACACTGACCCTGAGCAGGGCAGGTTCCCAGGACTCAGCAGAGGGGAGCATGAGGAAGAGCTCAGCAGAGCAGCCAGCCCAGAGTTCCCCTGTTAATCCTCCAGCCCAGCTCAACGGCTGTGTCACTGCAACTCCAGAATCCCAAGGGTGAAACTGGGGCACAGCCCCAAACCCATTACCAGACGGGAAACCCAGGCTCAGGCAAAATCGATCTGCCCAAGGTCAGCTGGCCCCGGGAGGCATGCGGACCACAAGTGGGACCAGGACCCACCCACCCCACCCCTCCCGCCCCAGCCCAGAGCCCTCCCCAGGCCTGCCTCCACTGCGGGGCGCTCACTGCCACGCAGACCCGTGGTTGGAAAGTGCCTCTCACACTGCCCACCGTGGCCTCACGGGGTTGAGAGCTAAAAGAAAGATACCCCTTCCCTAAGATTTGATAAGCTCCACCTGCTGGAAACCTGTCGCAAGAGCTACATTTGACGACCACAAGGTGGCGGGCGCCCCCTGGAGTTGGGCAATGACCCCTTGCACAACCGACCCCGCCCCACCCCCATCCTCCGCCGCAAGCAGAGCCCAGAGGGGGGGCATGGCCCAAGGACACGTGTCCCCCAGCCCCCATCACAGCTGCATCTCCACTCCAGGGCAGATCCCCACCCCCACCGGCACCCCCACCCGGGGCTGACAGATCCTCCGGGGCCTCAGTTTCTCCACACTGCACTCGTTTGCTTCCAAGTCCACTTCCTGGGAGCTGTGGCTTCTTCAAGGGCTTCTTCTCAGGTGGCTCCACCCCAGCCCTCCTCCAGCCCCCTTACCCCTGGGCAGAGCTGGCCAGAAAGCCTGGGCAGGTGGAGTCTCAAGCCCACTTATCAGAATAGAAACACAGGCCCCGGATAGAGAAGCGGGGGCTCTGCCCACCTGTGCCATCCCTCTGTAGGACCTGTCGACACGAACCCCACTCCCACTGAACAGGCACATAAACTGAGGCTCCGAGAGGAAGAGGGGCGCCTCTAGAGTGCAGCCGGCATATGGCAGAGCTGAGAATGGAACCCAGGCCCTCCCAGGAGCCCCCACACTCGAGTTCCCCCCACCTACGATGTTCAGCAGCTCAGAGAGGGTGAGTGGTACTGCTGGGTCACACAGCGCTGGGGCACTGCCAGATGCACCTGGCTCACCTGACTTCCGGGCTGGTTGTCCAACTGCACACCCAAACCCAACTAAGTCCCAATCCCCTGCTGCGACCCAGCTCCGCCCCTCCCTCCTCCTGCGGCCTGGGGTGGGGGGAGGCTTTAAAGGCACAGGAACTGTTCCAGGTGAGAAGAGGGCTGGCTCCTGGTCCTATCCCTGGAGCTGTGTGACCTGGGACAACTAAGGGTTTCTCTGAGCTCAGTGGGGTCTCAAACCCCAAATGAGAGACCTGAACTCTGAGGGTGGGGCTGAATGAAGCTGGGATGAGATGGGGTGGGGCCCCCAGGTGCTGGCAGACTCCAACCTCTCAGCCCTCAGACCTAGGTCCACACATGGTCTGCTGCCTGCCAGAATCACCACCATTAGCATGGCCCTGGCTTCAACTCATTCATTCATTCACTCATCCATTCACCCATCCAATCTGGGCCCCTCCAGACTCTTCTCTCAAGGAGCCCAAGCCTGGCCGGGCAGGAGACAATATGGTCAGCCAAGGAGGAGGCACCCTGCAGAAGGGGCTGACACAGGATGGGACCCTGGGGAACCCCGCCAAGCTGGGACTGGCCTGGGGAGGAGCCGGCAGGCGGGAGGAAGCACTTGAGCCTGTGGCCTGCAAAGAGAAGCTTCTCCAGGAACAATGAGGGCTCAAGGAGGACCTCTTGACCTCCCTGGGCCCTTCCTGAGCCCTGAGGTGTCAAGGCCGGAAAAGAGGGTAGCCGAGCTTAGACCTTGAAGTCCAGGCCAGTCTGGACTTTGAGAGCCCTGTGAGGCTGGTGAATGTGTCACTGGGCCGGGTAACCCATTAACCCTGGCTGACTCATTAAGACCCTGGTGGGTTCCCATTAGCTCCTTGGCCCGTTCCAGGAAGGGAGCAGAAGGCAGGGGCCGTGGGAAGAAGGGAGTGCTGGTGGGGGCCAGCTGAGCTGGGCCCTCCGTGTTCTTGCTCCTTGAGGAGCCGTCCAAGGCCAAGCTGGCCTACAGCCAGGGGCAGCTGCCAAGCCAGCATGGGGGTGCCAGCCCTGTCCCAGTGCCTTTCATCTCCTAATCACCCCTGTTGTGCTGGCACCAGCAGCCCATAGCGCCTCGGGGGCCTTGGCCAGACAGGAGGCTCAAAGGGCCAGTCCCGTGGGAGGCTCAGCACCTGCCAGCCTCCCCTCTGAGAAATGGGTCCATAGTGGCCTCCAAGACCCTTTCTGTCCCAGCAGGCCTGGATCTGCCCCACCTCTGTATCTGGGAAAGTGGGACGAGAAGAGAGCTCCCGGCACAGGGAACCACAGCCCAAGAGGGAAGGGACCTGCTCAAGCCGAACAGGGCAGAACAATGTCCCATGACACAGCAAAGGCTGTGCAAACCACTTCCTGCAACTGCGTCTCACTGCAGCCTCCACCGGGCCCCACCCCACTGTCAGGTCCAGGAAGCTGACTGCACCTGAGTGCCAGGAATCGCCTGAAAAGCCTCGTGCCCAGGGGTGGGCCACCGTGAGGGACACGGCTGGCAGAACCATGACATCCTGAACTGCGGTCATGAGTTTCACAATGATTGGGCAAGGCGAGTGGGTCCAGACGCAAGCAGCACCTGATCCACGCTCCAGAACTGCCGGACAGCATCTCAGGGACCCCTGGGAACAGAACGTTGACATCATCCAGAGCATTTTGTGTCCCCTGGTTTCCTGCACCAGGGAGATGCTTGGCAGACCAAACGAAATTGACTTGGAATCCAAGCATCATAGCAACTTTAGGATGGCAAATGTTTGGTCTCTGATCTTCAGCTTACACACCTGCCCCAACAGGGAGCTCACCACCTCTAAAGCCACCAAGACTGTAGTTGGTTGGCAAGTCCATCCCAACATCATCCCCAGTTTGTCTCTCTGTAACACCTTCTGCAGGCTGCAAGGCCACAGAGCAGAGAAAGAGAAACAGGGGCCACCCCAGGTACTGTGGCTACCTGGCCACAGCCTGTCTGAGCCACCCAGACCACACTGAAGCGATGGAAGGAAGATCTCAGCTCAATATAGGGGCTGGTGTCACCCAGGGGTGGTGGGGAGGTAAGCACAGGCCACCTGCGGGCATGGGCAGAGCTCCCACGTCCCCACAGCCTGGCCAACACCCTTGGGTGCCATTGGCAGCATTCGCTATTCCGGCACCCACCTTTGATGTGAGGACAGAGGCTGGCACGAGGCCAAGTGTGTGGGCCTCCAGAGTCGCCAGCTCGTCCACGCCTGGGAGCATCCGGCTGCAGGGCCAGCCTGGCACCTGGTGGACCAAGTCCAACTCCCAAACTCAGAGGCAGGGTGGCATGGGCGCGGGCCCTGGAGTCCCTGCAGCCACTGATGGCAGGTGATGTGAGTGGCTTCTCCTTCCTGGGGAAATCTGCCCAACAACCTTCCCTTTCCTGGCCTCAGTTCCCTACCTGAAGAGCAGGGATAACTGGACAGTCGTTGGGCAGATTCACCGAGGTGGCTGCGCAGAATGCAGGGAGCACCCTCGGTCTGCAGCGCCTCCCAGGGTCTGGCCCGGCTCCGGCACCCATGCCTGCAGCTGCCTCTATCCCCGCCTGATGAGCAGCTCGGAACAGAGGCCCAAAGGCCTCCCTCCCCCTTCCTGACCACCGGCCTCCCTGTGGCACCGTCTACAGGTGGCACTTATCACATCACCTGGTAATTATCTGAGTCTGGGAGCTGGGAGGGGGGTGGGGAGGCTGAGTCTTGTCCGTTTGCCGGCCCCCACTCTGTCACGTGGCCTGGGATCCAGGAGAGCCAACCTACTTTTGTCTCCACACCTGTGCCCACCTGGCCACACACAACCCCTATGATTTCACTGATGCCAAAACCACCCAGTGCGGTCCACGCACACCCTGCTCGGTTCTCACCTGAGCTTTCAGGACCTCCTCTGCCTCCTTCACCTCCGGGTGCTGGGCTTAGGATGACTCTCAGCCAGGAGTCCGAGTCTGAGCCCTGCTGCCAACAGCTCCGACGCACCAGGGGGACGTGCCCAAACCTGAGCCAAGCAGCTGCCCTCCCAAACCTCCAACTGCCACGGTAGCCAGAGTCTAGCCCCAGGTGGCCGCCCCTGCGTCCTCACTGGTCCTGTCCAGCTGTTCCTGCCTCTACACCCCACTCCTGGCCACACTTGAACCCCCCAGTCCCCACGGGCCACCCCTGACCTGGGGACTCCTGGTCATAGGTTCCAGCCCCTCCGCTGTTTCCCTACTGTAGCCAGCGCTTAGCGTGCAAATCAGAGCATGTCCCTCCACACGAAAAGCCCCTCAAAGCCCCCTGTGCTGCCCAGCTGGCTCCTGCCCTTTCCTCTCGCTCCCGCCGGGACTCTGGGACTTTGCACAAGCTACTGCCATGGCCTGAAGCACTCTCCTTCAGACCCCAACTGCCACACCACCTCCTCCTGAGGCCCCTGCACCCCTTCCCACTCTTTGGGCCAGCTGCTGCCACGACTCCCTCTGCCTCAGTCTCTGCGGGATCCACAGCGTATCGCAGTCATCGCTGAGTGGGTGGGTGGTGGCAGCCGGTGGCTAGGTAGGTCCAGTGCAGAGTAGTGGAGGATTCATGAGTAAAAAGAGCTCGCCAGTGTGCAGCACTGCAGGGTGCTGGGCCCTTTCCCCGCTGCATCTCTCCTCCCACTGGACCTCTGCCAGATGGGCACTTTATTTTCCCCATTTTACAGATAGGGAAATGGAGGTTTGCAGAGACTTATCAGTGGGTTGAAGAGTGTCCCCCCAAATTACATCCACTTGGAAGTGCAATGTGATCTGTGATATTATATATGGGTTTTTGTCCACAGTTCCTGGCCCAGAACTCCCACAGCCCCTGTTACAGCCTTTTGCTATCATGTCCGGATGTCCGGGGAAACAGAATCTCTCTCTTGGATCCGCTGTCCTCTCACCTCCCCAGGGCAGGGCTCTAACAGGACTGTGGGTCCTAAGACCCTCACTCACAGAGGGTCCTGTCCCACACCCAGGAGGAAGGAGTGCTGCACAGCGAGGCCAGGAAGCATCTGAACAGGCCGTGCGGGGCCACCCCACGCAGGCTGCTAGTATTAGATCACACCCCTTATGTCCAATCACATGGCACCACGGTTGCCCATGCTTCCATCATGCCTACCCAATGGAGTCTCCATGAAAGGCCCAAGAGGACAGGGCTTGGGAGCTTCCAGTGGCTGAACAAGTGGAGGCTGCAGGAGGGTCAGCAAGACTCACCTGCCTGCCAGGAGGGCAGTGCGCCCGGGCTCCACAGGGACAGAAGCTCCAGTACTTGGGACCCTTCCAGACCTCGTCCTATGAGTCTCTTTATCTGGCCGTTACTTTGTATCCTTTAAAATATCTTTGGGCTACTGACTTTAAGTGATAAAGTATACGTGAGGAGAAACAAAATACAATAGCCTTTGTAATAGACCACTAAACGGAGCTCTGTGAGCCTCGCTAGCAAATTAACCCAAAGAGGGTGGTGGCGGGAAGGCCAACTTCAGGGAGTGTCAGAACTGAACTGGATTGGACTGGATTGGAGGACACCTAAGTGGCCTCACAGTGGAACCGATCACTTGCTTGGTGTGCCGGGGGAAAGTCCCACACATCTGGCCACAGAAGTCTTCTGTGTGGACTGCTGCCGTGTTGTGGCAGCAGAGGAGAAACCAGTCAGAGTTGGGTTTTCCTCACGTGACCCTCTTTGCAAATAGTCTTTACGGACATGATCAGTTAAGACGAGGCCAGGCAGGAGTCCAGTCACTGGGATCCTTACCTTACAGGAAGGCCAGGCAAGCAGACGCACAGACACTCAGGGAAGGCGGCCGTGTGACGGCGAGGCACAAGTAAGAGTGACGCAGCTGCAGCCCAGGAACGCCAAGGACTGCTGGGAACACCAGGCGCTGTGAGAGGCCAGGAAGGATCTTCCCCCAGAGCCTCCAGAGGGAGTGTGGCCCCGCTCAGACCTGGATTCAGACTTCCAGCCTCCAGAGCCAGGAGAGAATACATTTCTGCCGTTTCAAGACACTGCATCCGTGGGGACTGTTATGGCAGCTCCTTACCCTGCCTATGGTTACACACCCAACAAGTGGCAGCCCAGAGAACTTGAATCCAGGTCCTGAGCCTGTGCCTTTGACCACCCGCCATGCTCTGTTGCCTCCAATAGCCTCATTATGATTCCTGGCCCTGCAGGAGGTTGACAGCCTGTCCCTGTAGAGCAAGCTCTGGCCAAACTTCGTCCCCACAGAGTGTCCACCGGCTCCCTTCCTCCTGTTGAATGTTCCAAAACCATTCTGCATCCTTCTTTGCAGTGGCTCCCAGGAGGCTCAGTGTCACTGGGCTACTTGCCGAAGTAACATCAGTCCTCAGCTGGCCATTCTCCTGGGCTTGAACCATCCCACTGGGTAGGGACAGAAAGGGCTTGAAGGAGAAGGTCTAGCTTCATCCCTGGCTGCAGCCCTCCACCTCCCACCCCCATGCTGGACCACCCAGACCTTGGTTCACTGCCACTTCAACTGGGCCATCACATGAATGGCCAAGGGCTTGGGACACCAAAGATGTGGCTGTTGCCAACACCTATCTCCTGGAAGGTCCCATCAGGGCCTAAGGTAGGACTGTGTCCTTCCTACCTGACTCTCTGCCCCCCAAAGTCCCACCTCACTGGCTCCCTAAGGGTGGCAGGGCTGCCCTGAAGGACATGGGACAAGCTCTTGCACCCCCACACCAACCCTGGGAGGCTGAGAGGACAACACTGCAGTTCTTCTATCCCCCAGGTCTCCATAAACACAGCTCTGCTGCTCAGGGCAACTCCAGGCAGAGGGGCCAGCAGCCTTTAGCTAAGTACACATGGAGGCTGGCAAGGCGCACACACGGCGGGGGTGACAGGCGGGGCTGGGAGCAGTTCTCTGCTTCCATAGGACTCTAAGCACTGGGTGTCCCCCGCGCCACTGTCTACGTCCCCTTCAGGATGCCAGGCTCAGCCCTCCCTTCCTTCACCCCTCACCTCCCCCGCCCAGTCTTCTCCCATTCAAGCGGACAATGTCCAGGCCTGGCTCAGCCTCTGGGAGGATACAGTCAAGCTCTGGGAGCTCTCCCAGCTCTGGCTCCAGCCCTGAGGATGTGGGGAGGGGCAGGAGGGCTTACCAGGCTTCCTGCTCTGGGCAGGGGTCTGAGAGGTCCCTGGGCACTGGGGCTGCTGCTTAAAGCTCTGGCCTGGTCACCACTTCAGTTCAGTAACAGTTTAGTCCAGCGCTTTGGTCCTGGGGAGAGCAGGCAGGGCTGTCACGCAGGTTTGCCAGGGAGGAAACCTGTGGTGCCAAGGTGGCCCAGGACAATATTGGCTGCAGCGGAGGGGAGGGGAGGCTGCTGGGTCCAGCTGGCAGATGCCAGGGGAGAAGGCGGTCCAGTAACAGCCCCAACAGGAGTCGGGGGTCAGTGGGTAGTCAAGACATCCTGCTGCCCCTGCCTTGTCTCAGGGGCTCAGGCCACAGGCTCCAGCCACCATGCCCCCAGTCTCTGGGCAGAAAATGTTTAACTCAGAGGAAGGAGCCTGTCACCCCTCATTATGTGCCCTCGACAAGTTTCCCCTCACACCCCATACCCCTTCCTGCACACACGACCGGGCACCCTGTCCCCCAAAGCTAGACAGTCCTCCTTGCCTGTGGGAGTGGGGGCTGCAGCCCAGTGCCCCACCCAGGGAATGTGAGGGTCCTAGAGGTGGGGTGGGCAGTGAGGGGGCAGCAGGCCTCCCACAGAGACCCTGGACTCCTGCTGAGGGAGCCCCAGGAGGTGGGACACCCCTTGAGCCAGGGGTCCCCTTCACACTGCCGGCCTCCTCCCCTTGTCAGGCAGGACAACTGGAGCCGGGGGCAGATGCAGCCTGCCCGCTGCCAGCCTGCCCAGAGCCGGGCTTAACGTCTAACCTCACTCCCCATCCAGGCAGGGGGCAGAGGGCAGAGGGCCCAGCTCCACCCACCTGCCCAGGCCAAGCAGGAGTGGCAGTAAATATTTGTCAGTGCAGGAGTGTCCATGCAGGTGGACAGGTCATATACTGCAATTGCAGGGGAGATTCCTGAAAGCAGGTGCTGGCACTACCTAATGCTGGCAGACGCAGTAGAATTCCCACCCCGCCTGGAACGCTCTTTGCATCATCAAAGCAACTTATTCCCCGGTCAGCACTGGGGCCAGAGGGTTGAGAGGTGCCCAAAGTCACCTCGTCCTGGCCAGGCGCAGCGTTTCCCTGGCGGATCCAGCCCTCGGAACAGAGCTCCAGCGCCAGGTCCCAGGCGGGGACGGCCTCTTCCAGCGAGACCCCGATTGAACTCAGGAACCCCTCGCCCCACTCGGGGTGTAGCCTGGGGCCGGCGCTCAGCCCGCGACCGGGCGGGGGCGGGGCAGAGGCAGCCCGCCGCCCGCCCCGCGCCTCCGGCAGCTCCGCGCCCGCAGCGCGGCGGCCATGGGGGCGCGGCTGGGCCGGCGGGCCGCCCAGGCGGGCTCGGAGGCCCGGGCGGCGGCGGGCGGCGGGCCCGCGCCCTACGAGCGCCGGGTGCGCTGGCTCCGCGAGATCCAGTCCACGCTCCGCGAGCGGCGGCCGGAGCACGCGCGGCAGCTGCTGCGCCTCCTGCGCCAGGCGAGAGGAGCGGCGGCCGGGGAGGGCTGGGGCCGGGGGCTGCGGGCTTGCAAGCGGCCGGGCGGTCCCAGGGCAAGACGGGCTGCCGCGGGTGGGCTCCGTGTGGGCGAGAGGGCAACGGCTGCAGTGAGGGCCACGACTGCGCGTGGACGGGGGGCCGCTGAGTGTGTCCGGGTCCCTTGGCTTCGAGGTGCGCTGTGTGTGTTCAGGTACCCCTGGCCTGGAGCGAAGAGCCCAAGTCCAGGCCTAGGCGAGAAGGGAGGGGGCCGGGAGGAGTGGCAGGTGGGGTCAAATCATCTGGTATTGAGGGGCAGTGGGAAGGGGGCACTCTCCCCTCCTCCAGGATTGGAGAAGCACTGGACCCTGGAGAGAGGACCCTGGGAGGTGACAGCCTGGCTGGTCTGCGGTGCAGTCTCACCACAAGACACCATGCAGCCCAGACAGAGCCACAGCATCACCTGTCCTCCTAACAGACAGCTCATGCGCACTGAGCAGACATTCCCAGCATCTGTATGAAAAACCACATCTGGGTGGGCAGCCCTGGTCCCACACTCTGCAGGTACCCTAATCCCAGATCCCAAGCCCTGGGTTGCTCTAGGAGACATGGGTGCAGGTCCCATCATCACCACAGGGCAAGCCACTCCCCCCATCCCCTGCGGCAGCTGTCACCACCACATGCCCCATCCTATGAGCTGAAAAGAGCCTTGCAGATTTTGCACTGCAGAAGGTGGATGACTAGAGATGGGAAAACTGAGGTATAGGGAGAAGTGGTGAACCCAGGGCCCACAGAGAGAATTGGAAGTGAGCCAGGGCCAGAGCTCAGCAGCCCTTCTCCACCTGCACCCAGCTTCCTTTCTCAGCTCAGCAGGCTGTGGGGGAGGAATTGGCCCTGTAAGAGGAGCTGTCCAGACCTGTGGAAGGCAGGCTGGCAGGCTGTGGTCTGGGGCCTTATGGGTCTGCCCAGGCTCACCAGCCACCCTTCCTTCTTCTGGATCCTCCCTAGCTGGCATCTGTGGCTTGAACCACATTGAGAATGCAAACAGCAGAGCAGCACTGAATCAGCCAGATGCCCAGAGGCACAGATCTCTGGGATAGTGTCTGGAGCCCAAGGCACCAGACGGGCATTTTAGCTGGGAAATACTGGGGAGGAAAGGGCCCTCAGAGATCACCCCCTTATGTCCCAGAGGTTGGGATTTGAGGCCTAGCCAGAGGCCTGTCCTGCCCTATAACCTGCAGGGACCCTGCACTGTGGCCCATGGACACTCTTGCCTGGCCTGTCTTCCTGTGCCCAAAGTATGTCACTCTCTGGCTTGGGGAGGACCCACACAGGGTTTGAAGACCCCTCCTGGCTGTGGCTGCCCTGGCAGCTGTCAGCGTGTCCTCTAAATGGACCCTCTAAAATGGTGTTCAGCTCTACACTAGGCTTATGGGAGGAGACAGGAGAAGTCTGAAAAGTCGAGGACAGCAGGCAGGTCTGTTTGAGGGGCAGGAGAGGCTGGGCAAGGGGCCTGGTGGGCTGGGGAGGATGACTGTAGGGCACAGGGAATTCTGAAACTCTGCAGACTGTTCGTGAGTCTGATGTCACCTAACCGCTAGAGCATTTGGTTTAGCTCAGGTGAGTGTTTCATAGAGCTGGCTCTGGCAGCCCAGGTGTGGGCTGGAGGGGTGTCTGGAGACTGGGAGCCCTAGGAAGCTGTTGGGGTGTGAGGCCCAAAACTTGGCAGAAGAAGTGGGGAGGAGGAGACTGGTTGGGGGAGTGGAGAGGATAGAGGGAGGAGAGCTGGGTGATTCCTGGGCTTCTGGCCCCAGTGCCTGGGAAGATGGGCACGGGAGGCATTTCCTACCATTTCAGGGTGATGAATGAACACGCTGTCTTTGGGACAGCTGAGCTGGGAGAGGCCCAGCCCCACAGAATGGGTCCAACCTGTCAGCAAACAGATGGTGGCTGCAGCTCAGGAAAACTAAAGGATAGATGGGAAGGCACAGGGCCTGAAGGAAACGCCAGAGACAGTGGCATTTGGAGATTATAAGAGGAGTGTGAGGCCCCAAATAATACCCCTGGCAAGCCCCAACCCCAGAGAAGGCAAGGTGTCACAGCATGACACTTCGCCTCCAGGGAATCTGGATTCCTGGATCTGCTTATCACCTTGCCAAGGTCCCCCAAGGCTCCTCCCCTATCCTCATCTGAGGGGTCCACCTGCTGCTGGACAGTTGGCCCATCACTACCTGTGGAGAGACCCCAGCAAGCCTCAGGGAGGAAGACAGAGATGGGGACAGGCCTGAGCAGCATCTGGATGGCTGAGATGGGGCCTGGAGAAGGGAGGCCTAGCCGGCTCATTCAACTCTCTCCACCACCTGCAGGACCTGGGCCTCGAGGGCACTCTCCTTACTGACATCCTCTACAGGGACGTGGCCTTCCTGAACTTGGTGGACCCCATCTCCCATGACCTGCTTGTGAACCTGGCCCGGGACCTGCAGTGCCCTAAGAAGGTGAGGCCAGAAGTTTGGGGTCCCAGGCTGGGCAGTATGGTCGACAGGGGCCAGGAGAGCGCAGGGCTGGGGGGTGGGGGCTAAAGATTGCTATGTGGTCACTGTCACTCTCTGGGACTTGATGCCAGCTTCAGTATATTAGGCTGGCCAGCAGCTGGAGCACATGTGAGCTGTGCTTTGCTGGACCCTGAAAGTTACATGCTGGGTAGACCTGTTTTCCGAGCAGCAGCACTGTGCACCAGGCGTGGGGACCCAGGCAGGGGAGACTATAGCTGGGCAGAAGTCATATGGGGACCTTGTGGGACACAGACTATTCTGACAATTCCACTAAAGGAACTCAACACCCAGCCGCTGAGTCTCTGGGCCGGAAGAGAGCCACTCTTGGCTGGAGACCCTGTCCACTGGTCTCTGTCCTATGTAGATACCCCTGGGTGCTCACTGCTTCCCCCCAACAGCAGCTTCAGGCTGAGCTGGAGCCTGCCACCTGTAGCCTCCACCCACTGCTGCCCAGAACCCTGTTCTGATGGCACCTGCAGATGTCCTGCCATGAGCATCAACACAGCCCCAGCATGTGTGGCTGTGGCCAGCCACCAGTCCCAGACCCCTAATCATAGTGAGTTCCCCTCGTGAAACAAGTGTCCACTGTGGGCCCTGCCAGCTCCAAACTCCTGCATCTGTGTGCAGTTGGCACCAAGGATTGTGTGGCTAGCCCACGGCCATCACAGGGACCGCCAGGGCTTGCTGCCGCTGCGTGTGCTGCACGCTCCTGGGCTGCTCACAGAGGGACTGGATGAAAGGATGTGCTGGGCAGTGGAGCGTGCTCAGTGCCAGCTTTGTGGAACGCGCAGCGTGTTCCGCCCCAAGCTGGGCCTCCACGAGAGCCCGGTCAGGACCAGACAGCCAGGTGGCGGTGCTGTAAAGCATTAACCCCCAAGCCCTGTCAGCCCAGACCCAGGCCCCACAGGCGCAGTCTCGCTGGGAGAGTGAGAGGAAGAAGAACATGCTGACCTGGCTTGTTCCTACTCCCTGGGATTGGCGTCAGTGGAGCAGGGCTCCCTCGAGGGGCCTGGTCCGGCCTCCTCCCCCTGTGGCAAGTCCCCGAGGGGTGCTGAGGGTGGGCAGGCAGCCGGCTGATAGCCCGAGACGCTGGCCCTGGGCCTGAGGACAGGGAACAAGGGCCCATTGTCTGGGCTTCCTCCCGCCGGGCACTGCGGGCCTCAGAGCAGCCTGTCCAGCTCCCAGAGGGCAGCCTCCCCTGGCTCCCCGCCAGGCCACGGCCTGGGTGGGGGGTGAGTGGGGGAGGCTCTGGTGGGCAGCTCAGTGACCCATGATGCACAGCTGTGCACACACACGTACTTGGCTGCCCAGGCCCTCTCCCCAAGGCCCTGAGGGGGCGGCAGGGGCTCAGGCTCACCCTGAGACACTGCTGTCCCCCTACAGGACTATGAGCTCTGGAAGTCCTCGGACAAGATATGTCGGCAGCTCATCTACCACCTCACCCCTCACTCCAAGCAGCAGCGAGGGTCCAGCCTGTCCCGGAGGAGGACCCAGAGCTGGTAAGGGGAGCCCAGCCACAGTCCCTCCTCCCTGTCCTTCAGAGTCCCATCCCAGGGTGACACCTGCACTCTCCCCGAGAGGCTGGTGCCTGAAATCCCACGCTGGGAGGCCTTCAGCTTTGTCTGCAGGAGGGCTCCAACCTTGGAAGCCAGTCTGGCCCGAGATAGCAGATCCTCCCCAAGCCAAGCCACACTCTCTGTGTGACCTGCCTCTCATGTCCATGGGATGGTCCTGCCTCCTGCCTTTCACTGGCCCCTCAATACTTGGCCTGTCATAGGCTCTGGACCCAGGGTGACCTCAGCTGGCATCCTCCGCTGGATCTTTGCAACAATTGGGGAGGGAGGGAGATTCTGGGTCATGATTCCCATATTACAGGGAAGGAAACAGGCTGGGAGGGGCAAAGTGCCTTGCTCAGGGCCACACCCCCACCCCCAATTTTCCTGCAGCCCTTTGGGAATTCTTTGCTAATGCCAGGCTGCCTGAAGCCAAGGGCTCTGTGGCCACCCAATAGCTCACTCTGCTGTGGGCCCCTCAGTCACTGCATCCTGGAGTGACTCGTCCATGGAGCTGCATGGCACAGGCTCAGCCCCAGAACTGGCCACAGGCACCCAGCTTGGAGCTGGCTCAGAACGTCTGCCCTGACTGTCCCTCTTCCCTGTCCCACCTTGGGCCTCATGGGCCACGATCACCCTGGAATGCAGGGGCCATTCCCCCCATGGCAGGTGGGGGACCTGGAGGGGTGCTCCCTGTTCTTCGCCCCCCAAAAGCCCTACTCGCCTAGTATAGGCTCTGATCAGACAACAGGAGAGAGACCTAGAGGGGTGTGCAGAGGGCAGTGGGGGACCCTCCTCCATCTCTAAACTTTCCTCTCAGCTGAGAACACAGGGAGCCTCCCCGGGGCAGGCCTCACCCCACACTACCTGCCTCTCAGTGCCCTGAAGGCTGAGGGGACCATCCTGATACCCTGTCCCCTTGTAGGAAGTTTTCCCTTACCCTAGAGCAGCAGTCCCCAACCTTTTTGGCACCAGGGACTGGTTTCATGGAAGATAATTTTTCCATAGATGGGGCTGGGGAGGGCGGAGGGCAGCAGAGTTCTGTGGCCCAGTCCCTAACAGGCCACAGACCAGTCCTGGTCTGCGGCCTGGGGATTGGGGACCGCAGCCTAGAGGAACCAACTTCTGAAAGGGCACAGGATAAAAAACATGGGCTCAGGAGTCAAAGCACCTCTGTTTAGAGACCTGGCTCCCACCTTAGCAGAGCGTGGCCACGGAAGAGCTACTTCACATCTCTGGGCATCAGTTTGCACCTCTGTAGAACAGGACCGTCATCCCTGCCCCACTGGGTTGGTGTAAAGATCAATGAGGTAACAGCTATAACGGGTGGTGATGCTGGGCACACGGTGAGTTTCTATAATCAAAATAGTTCACGGAGCCCGAACGTGTGTGTGTTCAAGCCTCACAACAGCCACATCCCTTTTCATCAAAGGGGAAACCGAGGCTCAGAGAGGTTCCGAGCATTCCCATGGCCACCCACTCAGAGGGTGACAGTGTGAACCTGGCTTTGCCACACTGTAGGCCTGGGTTGCCCCGACAGGTCATTGTCCTTGGTCGGCGGGGCCTGCCTGGGGGGCCCTTGCTCAGTCCATCCCCCCTGCAACCCTTCCTTAGCCTCAAGAGCAGCCTCCAGAAGACTCTGCTGGCAGGAGAGACTGTGGACCTTTCGGGCATCCCACTGTCGGCGCAAGACGTGCAGCATATAACGCGCTACCTGGGCAGCCATGGCGCTGGGCTGGCAGTGCTGGACCTGAGCTTCACGGAGCTGAGTGACGAGCTGCTGCGCCTGCTGCTGCCCAGCCTGTGGACTCTGCCCCGCCTCACCCAGCTCCTGCTCAACGGCAACCGGCTGACACAGGCCACCGCCCGAGAGCTCACCGAGGCCATCAAGGACACCACCAAGTTCCCCACGCTGGCCTGGGTGGACCTGGGCAACAATGTGGACGTGGCCTCCCTGCCCCAGCCCCTGCTGGTCGGCCTGCGCCGGCGGCTCAGCCAGCGCACCTCCCTCCCCACCATCTACGAGGGCCTGGACCTGGAGCCTGGGGGCTGCGCAGCCGAGGCCACTGCCCATGCCTCCACCTGGGGCTCTGCAGCTGCCGGGACAGCCCCTGAGCCCCAGGCCTGCTGCACCAGGTGACTTGCCACCCACCTGGCTCACCACTGCTGACATACAATGCCCTAGAGTTCATTGGGCAGCAGGTGACAGAGGCCCAGAGGGTCCCACATGCCCCTAGAGGTCTAGTATAAGTGCTTGGCCTGGGATCAAGAGGACAGAAGGAAAATGGGCCCATAGGAGGGTGGGTGGACAGCTTAGGTTGGAGTCTCAGCCTCCCCCTTCAGGAGGGGCTCTGGCCCCCGCAATGTGGATCCCGCAATAAAGGGTGATGCCCCATCTCAGCCTTTCTGCATCACTGACCTCGGGGGTGCTAAGCGCCAGCTCTGCTGTGGAGGTGGGAAGAAGGGGTGGGTTCCCCATGGAGACCAAGGTGTGGTAGTCCTGGGGAGTCAGAGGAGGCCTCCAGGGGCCAGGCCCTCAAACCTGGGCAGAGCTTGGGCCCCTTAAGACAGGGAGCTGTGGGGAGCCAGTCGGGAGCCCAGGGAGGGACAAAGCTCTGCACAGAGCCCACGGGAGCTCATGTCTGAGGCCAGCCTGCCAACTCTCCCCAGGGCCCCTTAGGCTCGGGACAGGGCTGTGTAGACTCGAGGCGAGGGCCACAACCGACTCGAAGGAGGACTAGGTGCTCATCTCCCACAGAGCACAGCACTGCCTGCCCCCTCCAGGCCTCCTGTGCCTGGTAAGCAGGCAACTGTGCAGGGCTAGGACAAAGACATCAGGCCAGAGACAATGAGCTTGTGTGTTCTGTGTTCCCCTCAGGCCCTGGGGGACCCCTGTGGGAGAACATGCAACGGGTGGAGGTGGGCATAGCCAGCAACAGGGGGTCTTGTGGGCAGAGAAGTCCCAGGGCCTGTCCCAGATAGTGGGGACTGTCTTTCTTCCTCCCCAAGCACCATGCGAGTGGGTTCCCAACCAAAAGCCCAATGCCATGGTCACCCTCACAGCCCTGTGTGGGGAGTTGGAGTTCAGCCCAACTGGGAGACAGGCAGGGCAGACAAGAAAAGAATAAAGAGATGTCTGGGGGAAACTGAGGCACAGAGAGGAGAAGCCCCTGCTGGGCCAGAAGGTAAGGACTGGGGGTAGTGGGACCTGCTTTATGGGGAGAGACCTGGCAGCAGAGGGAAGCCCCAAGGCCAAGGCCAAGAAGGCAGGGACTCTGACCTTCCCTGACAGCTTAGGCACATCACAGCACATCCCAGGCAGGCCCGATAAATGACAGCCTGGGGCCAGAAAGGAGATGGCCTAAGAAGTGTGAGGAAGGGCTGGAGTTGGTCTGGGACTGGGAGGGAGGCAGTGAGGAAAGGACTTTCTTTAGGCCCCACCATTCTCACTGCTTTAGGTGGACTCCATATCGGAGGCTGTGGAAAGAGCGCAAAGATCCCTTCCTGTGATTCTCAAAGAGAAAAGGAAAAAAAAGTGTACTAAGAGCACACAGTTCTGCCCGGCTTTGGTCCTGACTCACGGTGGGACCTGGCCAGGCCCTTCCCTTTTCTGGGTCGCTCCTTTCTCTGTTAAATAGGGCTCTCAATGCTCCATCCTGGAGGCCCGGCCCCCTTCCAGCCCTCCTTGTTCCAAAGACAAGGGCTGCCCAGTGGCTCAGAAGCCACAGAAGCATTTCCCTGTGCCCCTACACTGGAATGGGGGTTCAGGCTCCCTGGAGCGAAGCAAAGCAGGGTGGACAGGGGGAGGCACCCGCAGAAAGTCAAAGAACAGGAGAGCCAGCCTTAGGCCAGGCAGGCCAGTAAACCTGTGACATGCAGGCAGCTGAGCTCTCCCCGCACCTCCTGTTGGAGAAATGCCAAGCTCTCTAGTCCCTTCCACCCTCCTCTCTGCCCACCACTGGCCTAAAGCCAGCCAGTATACCCTCAAATGTCACTGCCCAAAGATTCCTACCAGGATGTAGCGTGAGGACCAAGCCAGTGTCCCAGGCGAGCTCTAGGAGAGTCTAGGCAGCAGCAGATGATCTCAATCTCTCCACCTCTTGGACAGAGGCACACGATGCAATAGCCAAGCCGGAGCCTTAAACAGCTCAAGAGAAGTGGGGAAGGTCAGCCTCATTGCCATGCAGGTGCCCATAGCCCTTCACGGGGCCCTCAACATCCAGGCCTCACGACTACCAGCAAGGCCATCTACGGGCAGGGACATTGAGCTCCAAGGAACAGCGGTTTGTGCCTCATGCAGACTGGTGGGGCAGACAGCTCCAGCCTGAGCTCCAGACAGAGGAGGAAGCAGGTGGGCCTCGCCCAGGCCCATCCTCACCCAGGCCGTCTTGGAGGCAGACGGGCCTGGCCTTGGTCCCAGATAGTCACTTGCTGGCAGTGTGGTCCTCTTGGGGCCTGTTCCCTCATCTTGGGAACTAAGGCACATCAGGCCCCCCTTATCCGGCTGGAGTGATGACATAGGTTTTGGAAAGTGTCTGCTGTGGCAGGGAGGCGTTGGGCAGGCACTCATCAATGTCAGCAGGGCCTCCACCCAGGGCTCTCTGGGTGGCAATGGCAGGAGCCCAAACCTCTGGGGCTAAGCCAGGGCTGACACCATTTATTTATTTAACAAGCACTTTCGTAGCCTCTCTCTGGGCCAGGTACTGTTGTGATGGCCTTACCTCTGTTTTCTAAGTGAGTCAACTGAGGCAGGAAGAGGCTAGGTGACTTGACAAGGTCAAAGAGCTAGGAACTGGAGGAGCCAGGGTGAGCCCAGGTAGCCTAGCATCAGTCTGTGACATTAACCCCTGTGTGATGCTGCCTGTCCTGCAGCCACCCCTGGGGCTGGTCTGACCCAGAATTCACTTAAACGAGCAAGCCCCTTCCAACGAGGGCATTGGAGGCCAGAGGACCACTGTGGACCTGTTGTGGGGAACAGACCTCCAGCCATGCTATTCCTGGATCAAGACCAGTCAGGACTCCCACCCCACCCACCCCGGGCCTCAGTTTCCTCATCTACAGATAGGTGGGGAAGGGAGCAGTGACAATCCAGGTTCTGCCTTCCTCCAGGATTGTAAAGTGGGTTTGGAAGTACTTCCAAGGCTGGACAGAGCCCAGGCAGCCCCTGCCTAAAGATGCGGAACCCACGCCCACTCCTCACAGTGTGGCGGCAGCAGCTGCAAGTACCTTCGGCTCCCTGGGGCTCAGCCTCCTTGTGCCTAAGCCCTCCTTGGGTGGACACTGAGAACATCAAAAGGAAACACGGAGGAAAGATACTGCACTCCACAGAACCAACGTGACCAACACATGAGAACAACTTTTCTGTCCTGGAAGGATGTTTGAGCCCAAATAAGGTGCTTTAGGACATGAGTCTGCAGGAAAGGGCAGCCTTTGCTGAGAGTCTCCATTCTGGGAATCCAGAATCTTAGGCAACTGATCCTAGTTGCTGATATCAACCCAGCAGGGAAGGTTTTTTCTGGACCTGGAGGGAAAGGAAAACACACTTTTTTCTCTTAGAAATAGTTGTCAACAATCACCAATGAAAATTAGTATTTTCTTTCCCAACTGTGTACTGTTTTTATTTTTTCAAAATATTTTCAAAATAACCTTTCATTGTGGTATAATTGAAACACAATAGATATAACAAGTGTCACAAATTTAAAGTGTGCAATGATACATTTTACCTTTATGTATACATCCACCACTACAATCAAGATAGTAAATGTATCTGTCAACCCCTGAAGTTTCCTCATTCCTCTTGGTAACCCCTCCCTCCTGCCTCTTCCTGCCTGCCCCCATCATCTTCCTTTCTGTCACCATAGATTAGTTTGCATTTTCTAGATTTTTGTATATGGAATCATACAGGAGGCACTTCTTAAAATGGTTTCTTTCACTCAACATGATTAATGAGACTCATGTTGTCACATGTATCCGTAGTTCCTTTAGTTAAGCAGTATTCTCTTTGGATGGGTGTACCACAATTTATCCATTCAACTACTGATGGATATTTACATTATTTCCAGTTTTTGGTTATTACGAATACAGCTGCTATGAAAATTAACATATAGGTTTTTGCATGGACATTTCCTCTTGGGTAAATACCTAGGAGTACAATGGCTGGATCATATGGTGTTTGTCAAATTGCTTTCCAAAGTGATTGTACAACTTTATATCCCCATTAGCAGTGAATGCAAGTTACTGTTGCTTCACATCTTTGACAACACGTGGCCTGGTCAGTCTTTTAAACATTAGCTATTCTAATGGGTGTGTAGCAGTATCTCAGTGTGGTTTTAATCTGGCATTTCCCTAATGACTATTGACGTTGAGCATCTTTTTATGTACTTATCTGCCATCTACATATCTTCTCTAGTCGTGCATTCAAATTTTTTGCCCATGTTTTAAATTGGTTTTGTTTTCTTATTGTTGAGCTTTGCGAGTTCTTTATATATTCTGGATACACATCCTTAGACTTGACTTTGCCACGATTTTCTCATGGTCTGTGGTTTGTCTTTTGTCTTAATAATGACTTTGGAAAGTAGTTTTTTTTTCCTTTTTTTTTTTTTTTTTTGTGAGACAGAGTCTCACTTTGTTGCCCAGGCTAGAGTGAGTGCCATGGCATAGCCCAGCTCACAGCAACCTCAATCTCCTGGCCTCAAGCGACCCTCCGGCCTCAGCCTCCCGAGTAGCTGGGACTACAGACATGCACCACCAGACCCGGCTCATTTTTTCTATACATATTAGTTGGCCAATTAATTTCTTTCTATTATAGTAGAGATGGGGTCTCGCTCTTGCTCAGGCTGGTTTTTTTTGTTTGTTTGTTTGTTTTTGAGACAGAGTCTCGCTTTGTTGTCCAGGCTAGAGTGAGTGCCGTGGCGTCAGCCTAGCTCACAGCAACCTCAAACTCCTGGGCTCGAGCGATCCTTCTGCCTCAGCCTCCCTAGTAGCTGGGACTACAGGCATGAGCCACCATGCCCGGCTAATTTTATATATATATATCAGTTGGCCAATTAATTTCTTTCTATTTATAGTAGAGACAGGGTCTCGCTCTTGCTCAGGCTGGTTTTGAACTCCTGACCTTGAGCAATCCGCCCGCCTCGGCCTCCCAAGAGCTAGGATTACAGGCGTGAGCCACCGCGCCCGGCCTCAGGCTGGTTTTAAACTGACCTCGAGCAGTCCACCCACCTCGGCCTCCTAGAGTGCTAGGATTACAGGTGTGAGCCACCGCGCCCAGCCTGGAAAGTAGTTTTTAATTTTGGTGAAGTTTAGTATATCAATTTGGTGTTTTATGGATGGTACTTTTAGTGTTATATTTATTAATATCTAAATTTTTGCCTAACTCAATGTCCCTAAGATTTTTTCCTGTTTCTTCTCGAAGTTTTATAGTCTTATGTTTTACATTAAGGTCTATGATCCATTTTGAGTTAACTTTTTTAGTGTGAGGTATAGATCCAAATTTTGGAGGTTTTTTGGTTTTGTTTCTGTTTTAGGTTTTTTTTGCTTATGGATATCCAATTATTCCAGTACCATTTGTTGAAAGGCTATCCTTTTTCCAATGCATTGTCTTTGGGCCTTTGAAAAAAGTTAACGTGTGTGGATTTGTTTTCAGACTATTCTGTTCCTTTGGTATACAAAGTTTGTCCAGAAAGTATCCAGCCATTATTAATTTAGCACTTTGCAGACAGACTTCATATTTATCTTGATGATAATGCCATGCAGTTTTTATTACTATAATTTTAATCAGTGTCTTCTAAAATATACAACTGCATAATAATGTCTATATCAGTTTTGGATCTTTTTTGATTAATCTCATTATGGGTTGTGATTTCCTGCCTCTTAGCATGCCTAGTAATCTCTGATTGGATGCCAGGCATTGTCAGTTTTACCTTAGAGGGTACTGTATATTTTTATATTCCTATAAATCTTTTTGAGTCTTGTTCTGGGATACATTTAATTGGCCTAGAAAAAGCTTGATCCTTTCATGAGTCTTGTTTTAATGACATGTTAGGCAGGCCCACAGCAGTGCTCAGTCTCAGGCTAATTATTCCTCATTTACGAGGCAAGACCTTCCTGGACACTTGTATTAATCATGCATTTTGCTTTCTGTATTTTATGATGCTTTGATATTTTGGGGCCTTACTAATCCTGGAGACTGCCCCTCCCAGGGTTAGCTATTTCCTAGAGATAGCAAACAGCTGGTGTCACCAGACCAACCTATCCAAAGTCCATACCCCTAACCACCTAACTCACACACAAAGTCAGTATTTCTTCTTCTCTGAATCACCTCAGGGCCAGGGACTTGACAAGGAGATACCACCTCTATGAGACAGCCCACCAAAATTACCCAAACCATCCAATCCAAAACTTGCCTACCTGCCTCACTCATTCCTTCCAGTAGAAACCACAATAAAGGCTCAAGTCATGCTCCCCGCTTGCTCTTTTCATCTCCTGAGTCACCCTGGTTTCCCCATGTGGCCCTGCATGGTGCGGTATATATCCTCTTCTCTGGCAAACTGTAATAAAACTCTTCCTTCAAGGCAGTGTCTTCATGTCTGTCACCATCCTTTATCTGATTAAAACAAAATCCTGGGTAAACCCTCCTGACTTGAGACTGACCTTTTCCCCAAGAATCCATCCAGCCCAAGAGGAATGTCCTAAAACTAGGACATTAGGAATTCCCCCCGCCAAAAGCTCAATCTGATCATCTTACAAACACATATTCTTTTTAATACCCCACTCTTACAAAAACAGACAACCAAAGGAAGGACATTAACAAGTAATTCAAGAAAGTTTCCCAGAAATGAAGGATGAGAGTCTATTCTGACAGGGTTCATCAAGGGTATGGCACAATGCATGGAAACAGCTTTGCCAAGCAAGGACCTCACTGTGAAATTTCAGAACACTGGTGACAGAAGGGGAAAAAAAACAGTCACCTAGAAAGGATCAGGACTCAGAATGACTTCAGACTTCTCTAGATGACAAAGTAACAATGCCTTCAAAATTCTGTAGGGAAACCAATTCCAACCTAGAATTTCAGACCCAATCAAACCAAGTGAGAGAATATTTTCCAACATGCCATCTCTCATAAAGTACTTCCTGTGCACTCCTTCTACAGCAGGTACTTCCCCATAGTAAAGTGATAAGCTGAGAGGAAGCGGTTACAAAGACAGGAGATTCAACAGAGGAGAGGTGTGGGGACATCCCAGGATGACAGCAACACATTAGGCACAGGGGGAGACCAGGCCAGACTGGGGCGACTTAGGATTATTCTTGATACAACAGATGTGTCATGCATGGTCTTTAGTAAGACTGGGGTTGAATTAGTGACAGACAGAAAACTAAGCGCATAAAAATGTAAGAGGGTTACTTCTAGGGAAAATAAAGTTCTACAGTAATCTAGTCTACTACATGGCTTAGCTGTGATTTGAATACCCAAGTCATAACAATTTAACACTGAATTCAATCTAACCAGCATTACAGTATCAGGGAGATGGGTGAGCGGGAGTATACTTATGGTGAATAGGAGGAAGACAGAGAATTCAAAAGATAATACCTAAAATGGAAATATCAAGGAGTGGCCACACAAATATGCCTAAATTAAGACAGCAGAGTTGAAAGAGACTGTCTTGAAGCAGGGAAATTAGGGAAGAAAGGCATGCCAAGAGAAGAGGGCTGCTGTTTTTCATAAGAAACCATGCAGAACTACTTGTTTTCAATATATGCTGGGCTGATATTTTCTTTCTAAAATGCAGGATCTAAAACTGTTTACAAAGCTATGTATTTTAGGTTTTTCTTATTGTTTATAATACAACTTTTGAATTCTTACACTGTGAACATTTAATTAGAAACAAAACCATATATGAGAACCCCCTTGACTTCCGAGGATCTAGTTAGGGTCACAGCTAGTTTTGCCTGTGTGGAGAATCATGCGAGGCTGGTAATCCTGCATGGGTCCCGGGTGAACCACGTCAAAAGTCAGTTTCTCAGATCCAGGATGCAATTCATTACTATTAAGGGTGCTATTATTCAAAGTACTGTCTACTATAAAAGTATAATAAATTAAGTAGTGATTATACTAAAACAACATACTCTAGTATAGGGTCAAAATGTGGTCTCAGAGCTACTGCACCAGAATCATTGAGCTGGGGCACAAGGGCATTGCTAAAAATGCAGATTCCTGGGCCTCATTCCAGGGGTGAGCCTTGGCATCTTCATTTTTAACGAGACTCCTCGCTGATGCTGAAAATCCCTGCTCTCACTATATTAACAATCTAGTAGGCTTCATTAATAAGTCAGTAAATCAATGTCTGCAAACCAAGGCCCCTAGCAGGAAGAGGGAGAGTAATCCATCCAGGGTACTCGTGGGCAGCACAACAGCCTCTACCTGAAATAGTTCCATTTAGAAAGATCTCAAAGAAATCTACTCAGTGTACAAGTTTCTCTTCTTACCAGAAACAATATTCACAAACTAACTCTTGGTCAAATCTAAAACAAATGAATTCTTTCATTCCATTCACAGCGAATACATTCACTTGAAAGGGAGACTGATCCTGCCCCTCCCTGCAGCAGCACCGTCTGCGGGGACCATCAGCCCAGTGTCATCCGAATCCAAATGTGTCAAAGGGTGGAGGGTGCTGGAGTGTGAGACACCGGGGCTCTCTGGGGAGACAGTCTTTGAAGCCTTATACTTTAAGTGCCTGTTGTATCTGACCAACTCGCTGATGCTTATTCCTTATAAGTTCTTTATTATTAGAATACTGTAAGTTCTGTTACCTGTTGGTAGCATCATAATTACAAGACAAAACTTATTAGAAAATCACTACTTGATGCCAGGTCAACTGATGTGTTGGATTTTCTTCTTCCTGCTCTTACATTATTTGAACAATCTGTCCAATGAGCAATATTCTAAAGGCCAATAATCAATTACTTTTCCTCTTGATGGCTCATGCTATAGCTTCTGCTGTACTGAACCCTTGGCAAGACCTCTTTTCAGTATTTAAATTTTGCAGGCAGCTTCTCCAGTTTCTGTGTGTTTGTCAAAATTATTCCTTCTGCACACCTAATCGGCTCTCATTACCTGTTCTACGTTAAAAACTATGGAGGTGCCAATCAATGCTGAGATGCTCTGATGAGTCCACAAGAATCCATTCCCCCAAATCACCACTTATGTAGCCAGTACAAGAGCCATGGCAGCTGGCCACTAGCACACTCTGAATTCCTTTTTATTATGTGATTACTTTTCCCAAATGGCTGAACCACTAGGATCTGTAGGCCACAGAGGTCAGAGTAAGGACTTTTCATGGGCCAGGATCACCTGTGTTGTTAAAGCTGAGCTGATGACATCTCCACAAAGGCTAACTGAACAAAGCACTACATTAAGTACCTGTGTCTGCAGACAAGTAAGCACACTTTCTCCGAGGTGAAGTTTTCTGGAGCTTAACCAGCAAATGGCCAGGAACAGCTGCTTAAACACTTACCAATACCTGCACTATTTCAAAATACTGGCACTCTCCCGGGACATCTCCCAGGGTGTCAAAATTTAACCTTCTGCCAAAGCAAACTCTAAAATGAACATAGTCCTTATGTTCTTTAAAAAGAAAAAAAAAACCAAAAAACCAGATTTATTTACTTTAGTTTAACATTTCCCCTGATGTAAAGAAAAAGATGTCAAAAGAAAACCTAGGGCATACACACAAACATCCATCCCCACAAACCCAGATAACCTAAAAGAAAAAAGGGCAAAGTTCTGTTCAACAGAGAAAATTATCTTCGCTTCTGGAAGATGTTTCCACGTCCCATTCCACGTCCTCTTCCTCTTGCAGCCACTGAAAGGAAGGAAGAGAAAGGATGAGGCCAGGTCAGTGTGGTCACTGAATGCTCATGGCAAGGAGCAGCTCAAGCCCTAGGACATCAGCTGGAAGGGACCTGAAAGGCTACCTGGTCTAACACCACCCTGGCCATCACATTCCCCAGCAGGGTAGGGGCTGGGGACTGGCACCAGACAGCATTCCAGCATTGTTCTCTACAGTAGCTGGAAGGCAGGGTGCGAAGGCGAAGAAGGTGGTCTGAGAACCACAGAAAAGATGAATTCCCAGGGCTGGCCTAGGGCATGTTAATAAAACATTACAGATGCATTTAATTCACTTTTTAAATTCAGAAACAAATATAGTTAAGTGTTAACATCTGTGATATCTGGATGAGTAGTTTTATTATCTATTCTTTGTGCTTTTTGGGGAAAGTAATGTTTCATAACAGCAAGAAAAAAACAATACTCCTCATACAAAGGGCATGATAAGATTGTTGTTCCCTATAACCCAAGGATTCTGGAAAGCCAGCAGTTTTGGCAGACGAAAATATTCGGATGGTTACTCACTGGAGCCTCAGCCCTTTCTGCTTAGAGCTGTCCTGAAGAGGAAGGGAAGGCACATGAGAACCCACCCGGCTGCTGATAGAATCAGAGCAAAGGGTTGGGAGAGGTAGATGGTTCAGGCAGAAGTCAGGAGGCCCGGGGAAACCCACTGCAAGTGCCTTCGGATGCACGGCCACAGGGCCGTCTTCTGCTAAAGATGGTGCAGATGCACAGTGGCAGTGAGCACAGCCCTTCCCCGAGAAAGCAACAGCAACAGTTCTAGTCATGAAGCCAGAATTTCTGACAGTCGTTCCTTATAGGTCGGTTTGGGGAGCTTCTGGATAGGTGAACACAGGGAGCCTGACAAGAAGGTGAACAAGAACTCATCCACAAGCCAGGAGGGTGGCGTACCCCAACTCCACAGGGACAGAAGCTCTTGTACTTGGGGGACCGTTTCAGATTTCACCCTATGTATCCCTTTATCTGGTTGTTTATCAATATCCTTTGAAATATCCATTGTAATAAATTGGTGAACTTACGTGTTTCCCTGAGCTCTGTGAGCCACTCTAGCAAATCAATCAAATCCAGACAAGGGGACATGGGAACCCCAAACTGGTGCTGGCTGATCAGATGTTCTGGAGGCCCACACTTGAGACTGGTGGGAAGGACAGGGCGGTCCTGTGGGACTTACTGTAGACCTGTCCTCCGCAATCTCCACACCCACTCCATCCCTTCTCCCTGTAGCCTGGGAGATGCTGTGAGGCGACGGGGGCCTTCCCAGCCTTCCCTGTCGTGCCTCTTACAATCCCAGTCCCTGGGCTTACACAAAATCCAAGTGGCACTTTATAAAAGGGTCTAGGAGGGCTTTCCTTTTCAGAAGGTCTGCCCATGACGTCTGAGCATTCAACCTGTGGTTTCTAAGGCTATCTCCAGGTAGACAGAGTCTGAACTGAAGGATACCCAGCTGGTACCCCCTACAGAGCTGATTGCTTGCTTGGTGTGGGAAGAAACAATTTTGGACACAGAAGTCTTCTGTGTTGATTGTTGTGCTACAAGAGCAGAGAAAAACACAGTTTTGGGTTTTTTCCTCACACATATAAAATATGTATAGCAGCTAAAGATACTGATGGAGAATCCAGGGCCTTCTCTGATACAAACTTTTAAATATTTTTACCAACACTAAGACATTTTCTAACAACTATACTTGCTTTCTTATCTAATCAACATGGCATAACTTTTCATGGACCCAAATATAAAACCTGACTGGGCTAGTCCACATAAAAGACCAGACTAAGACACTGGGAAAAGGTCAGTCCCACTTTTGGAATGTATAAGTATAAGCAGCTTTGAAAATCCAAGTCCAGGCTGGGTACAGTGGCTCACGCCTGTAATCCTAGCATTCTGGGAAGCCGAGGTGAGAGGATCGCTTGAGGTAAGGAGTCTGAGACTAGCCTGAGCAAGAGTGAGACCCACCTCTACTAAAAACAGAAAAAATATACAGACACAGGCTGCTGTCAAAATAAAATAAAAAAAAAAAACAACAGAAAAAATTAGCCAGGTGTGGTAACGCATGCCTACAGTCCCAGCTACTCGGGAGGCTGAGTCAGGAGGATTGCTTGAGCCCTGGAATTTGAGGTTGCTGTGAGCTAGGCTGCCATGGCACTCTAGCCTGGGCAGCAGAGTAAGACTCTGTCTCAAAAAACAACAACAACAAAACAAGGGAAGTCCAGCCCCTGTATAGTGGGTAAAGATGGCTGAAAACTGCTTTATTTCTCATCTGAAAATGGAGCCCCACTGTCAGCATCTCCCCAAGTACATGCTGGGTGTCCACCCCTACTACCCAGTCTCTCCAGGAAATGCTGCTCGAATGTTTTCAAGAGTCAGCTCACCCACACCACGGTGTCTGCTCAGCAAACTACTCAAGGGCAAGCTGCCCTCAGACGTCATGGGCAGACCTTCTGAAAAGGAAAGCCCTCCTAGACCCTTTTATAAAGTGCCACTTGGATTTTGTGTAAGCCCAGGGACTGGGATTGTAAGAGGCACGACAGGGAAGGCTGGGAAGGCCCCCGTCGCCTCACAGCATCTCCCAGGCTACAGGGAGAAGGGATGGAGTGGGTGTGGAGATTGCGGAGCACAGGTCTACTTTATCCCCAGGCCCTTTTCTAAAAGATACAAGACAAGTTTGTCTTTTAAAACCAGTGCATGTGGCCGGGTACAGTGGCTCACGCCTGTAATCCTAGTACTCTGGGAGGCCGAGGCGGGCGGATTGCTCAAGGTCAGGAGTTCAAAACCAGCCTGAGCAAGAGTGAGACCCTGCCTCTACTATAAATAGAAAGAAATTAATTGGCTAACTAAATATATATATACACACACTCTAGCCTGGGCGACAGAAGTGAGACTCTGTCAATCAATCAATCAATTAAAAAAACCAATGCATGAGCACCTACCTTGGGCCTTCAGAATAGCAGCTTTTCCCCGGCCGGCCCCTGAGCCTTGATTTTTATTTTTCATGCTCTTTAACATGGGTGCATTTTTCAGCATGTCAGGCAAAATCAGAAAGCGGATCTTGCTGCCACGGATGTACACCTGCTCCAGCTGTGCCACTCGGCCATCTCTGTATGTGACTGTGATGTTGGACATCTGGAAGGAAACCACCAGTTCATCAGTAAGTATCAACTGCAGCAGCAGAGGACAGGGCATACAAAGGAGGGGGTGCCTTGACTGGTAGGAAGGGGAAGGTCCAGAAAGGCAGAGACTGACAATGTGAAATAAAGGAGCCAGGCAAAGCTGGTGAAATACCACAGCAATGTCAGCACTCACTGTGTAGGCCTGGGACTGCACCGAGCACTTCGCAGCAATGGTCCTCACACCTCCAAGAGGTACGACCTCTCCCATACTTAGATTAAAAAAAAACAGGGCACATGTCCAAGGTCAAACACCTGGAATGCAGGGACCCCAGGTTTGAACCAGCCATCCTAGCTCCAGAGCCCTTGCTCTGCTGTACTGCCTCCTGACCAAACACAGGAAGAACTCTCAAAGGTGATAAACCCCAACTGAACAGCTCCGAACTGCTTGTCCAAACTATGTCCTTTCCTGCATCCACCTGACATCCAGATGCATCCAGATGCAACCAGATGCAGTGGTGAGACAGAGCCCTCTGGCTTGGGCGGCTGGGCACTGAGAAGCAGAGATGGCACACAGTGCCTGTATGAAGGGCCTGCAGTAGCGGAGGGGTGTGAGGCAAGAGCTGGCAGTTCCCGCCTGGCACCCTCTCTTCTCCTACTAACAGGATACAAGGACTGGAGCAGCAGAATCATGACCAAGGACATGGCTGTCACTTCAGAAACTATGAGGGTTGCTCAAGCTTAAGGATGGGAAATGTCAGCAGGGTTAGAGGTAGCACTTTGAAAAGACAAATATGCCAACAAGGGTAGACTATGGGATGGAGCGTGGAGGTGAGACCAGCCAGGAGACCTGGTTGGCACAGGAAGGCGCACACATCCGTCAGCAGCCTTGGCAAGCGGAAAAAGCTGCTTACTTTACCAGTCCTTTGGATGGAAGAGAGAGGACTATAACTCACTCAGAACACAGTGGAGAGCTGAGCTGACTGCCCTAACTTCTGTCTGGCTTGTTGCCATCTCATACTCAACTCGTTCTTTTCTTCTAGTACTAACTGGTCACCTGGTCTCTGCCTGAAACTCAGTGAGAAAAGGCCAGGTGTGCTCTGCGGCTGCCCCTGCTGTATCTGCACAGTTGGAATGGGTTCCAGAGCTTCAAGCCTCTGTCCCTGTTCTACCTTCAGGGGCAACAGGGCTCCAGTTTCCCATAAACCTTCTACTCCAGGCTCCATACCCCAGTTCCTTAACAAATTTTCACTCAGTTCCAAAGTCCTTGCCATCCTGTTATTCCCTTGGAGAATTCTACCTCTGGTGCCAGAAATGAACACCAGGTATGGTCAGACCATACAAGAGAGAAACCCTGATCCAACCAAGGCTCATCAGTACGAGATACATGGTGACTCTGTAGAAGACAGAGAACAAGACTGAAGACCCATATGTGAGACAGGTCTACCATCTGTCAGGAGTGCACTCACTGAGTGACCCCCATAGTCTCTGAAGTGACTACCTCATCCTTGGTCACGATTCCACCACCCCAGTCCTTGCATTCCGTAAGTTCCCACCTGGCACCTTCTCTTCTCCTACTGCCAGCTCTTGCCTCACACCCCTCTGGTACTGCAAGCCCTAGATACAGGCACTGTGTGCCACCTCTGCTTCTCAGTGCCCAGCCGCCCAAGCCAGAGAGCTCTGTCTCACCACTGCATCTGGTGCCCATGCATGACCTTTGTGGTTTCTCTGAGCCTCATTACTTCACCTACAAAGTTGAGTAAAATAGAACAAAACAAAGATAATGTTTACGGAGGACTTACTAGCACACACTGGCCCGAGTACTTTCCCACAGTAACTCATGTTATACCATAAAATCCAATGAGACAGATGAGCCAGATACTGTGGCACAGCCTGTCAGAGGCAGACTCGTCCCTCAGCCAATCCCCTCCCCGACTCTGCTCTCCTGCCTGAGGTCACACTGCCTATACTTGGCCTGGCTGGGGTTTGAACCCAGGTCTATCTGACTCTAAACATATCCACTCTTTTAATCACTGCATCAGATCACTGGTTACTTCCTGGAATTGTTCTTTTTGTTTTTTTGAGACAGAGTCTCACTTTGTTGCCCAGGCTAGAGTGAGTGCCATGGCGTCAGCCTAGCTCACAGCAACCTCAAACTCCTGGGCCTCCCAAGTAGCTGGGACTACAGGCATGCGTCACCATGCCCGGCTAATTTTTTGTATATATATATATTAGTTGGCCAATTAATTTGTTTCTATTTATAGTAGAGACGGGGTCTCACTCTTGCTGAGGCTGGTTTCGAACTCCTGACCTCAAGCAATCCGCCCACCTCAGCCTCCCAGAGTGCTAGGATTACAGGCCTGAGCCACCGCGCCCGGCCTGTTCTTTTTTTTTGAGACAGACTCATTCTGTTGCCCAGGCTAGAGTGAGTGCCGTGGCATCAGCCTAGCTCACAGCAACCTCAAACTCCTGGGCTCAAGCAATCCTTCTGTCTCAGCCTCCTGAGTAGCTGGGACTACAGGCATGTGCCACCATACCCAGCTAATTTTTTTTCTATATATTTTTATTTGACCAATTAATTTATTTCTATTTTTTAGTAGAGACAGGGTCTCGCTCTTGCTCAGGCTGGTTTTGAACTCCTGACCTTGAGTGATCTGCCCACCTCAGCCTCCCAGAGTGCTAGGATTATAGGCATGAGCAACCGTGCCTGGCCTCTGGAATTGTTAGAGAGCAAAATAAACAAGACAAAATATGTCTAAATGCCATCTCGATTGCCTAACACATAACAAGGCTCAGTAAATGCTGAGTCTGACAGTCAAAATGTGTTTGGGGTGCACAACTGCCAACACTTAAAAAAATCATGTGGCTGCGTACAGTGGCTCACACTTATAATCCTAGCACTTTGGGAGGCCAAGACAGGAGGATCACTTGAGCTCAGGAGTTTGAGGTTGCTGTGAGCTAGGCTGATGCCACAACACTCTAGCCTGGGCAACAGAGTAAGACTGTGTCTCAAAAAAATTTAAAATGAATCATCTATGTTACTTTATTGGACAAATGATATTCTTTGTAATGTACCCTAATATGTTTAATTATAATTTACTTACCTTTACTCTAGATATGCTAGTTTTCATTATAAAAATAGCACTATAATGAGGCTGAGGTGGGCGGATCACTCAAGGTCAGGAGTTCGAAACCAGCCTGAGCCTGAGCGAGACCCCATCTCTACTAAAAGTAGAAAGAAATTAATTGGCCAACTAAAAATATATAGAAAAAATTAGCCGGGCATGGTGGCACGTGCCTGTAGTCCCAGCTACTCGGGAGGCTGAGGCAGTAGAATCACTTGAGCCCACGAGTTTGAGGTTGCTGTGAGCTAGGCTGATGCCATGGCACTCTAGCCTGGGCAACAGAGTGGGACTCTGCCTCAAAAAAAAAAAAAAAAAAATACTATAACCTTCCATCAAAAAAACCCCAAAAAACAACTTACAAGACGTCCTAAGTGTTTGAATAGTGATCATAGCTGGGCCAGAACACTCCTAACGTTCACTAAAAATCTATGAGGAAACCTCTGGGAACCCTTCACACTGGATTTCTAATAAAATCCAAACCCATAAAAGTTTCCCTCCAAAGGCTACATACAGTCTAATCCATGAAATAAAATTACGACCTTATTCCTACTCATTATTCTTCATCTAAAGCACCTTTTATGGTTTTTAAAAAGAAGCATTCTTAAGAAATAATTTTTTCTGATTTTGATGATGAAAATAATTCCTTAGTTCCCTCATTGACACTATATAAAGACAGGTGCTTCAGGCTCATGATTAAGTACACATAGCCAAGAACAGAAAATTCCCCATTTGAGGGCCTCTGGCCCTAAGTCATCCATCCCCAGGCTGGGCAAAGACTGGGGATATCCCATTTCTGCTACAAACAAAAACCAGCTAAAAAGGACCATGTGGGCCAGGTGTGGTGGCACATGCCTATAGTCCCTGCTACTCAAGAGGCTGAAGTGGGAGGATCACTTGGGGCCAGGAGTTCAAGGCTGCAGTGAGCTGTGATCAAGCCACTGCACTCCAGCCTGGAAGACAGAACGAGACTGTGTCTCTTAAAAAAAAAAAAAAACAAAATCAAGGGACCATGTGACTCTCCATAGGAGGCCCTTAGGGTATGCTCATAGCAACAGGAATAGGGCACCATCACCCATAGCTGATGCTCCGTCCTGCAGCACCAGATGATGTTTGCCTTGCAGGGGGGTATGAGGAGTCAGAGAAGAAAGTTCCTGCCCGCCAAGCCTAACATGAGATATACAGAACTGCCTACACTCTCTGACCCAATAAGCACCATCTCAGGGACCTCAGCCTAGATTCACACACATATATTTCACATTTTCAAATGTCAAAAAATAAAAATTGCTACGTTAACAGGCTATCTTAAAAATACCCAAGGGACGGTTGGTCTGAGTACAGTGGTGTTCAAAACTAATTGATCACAGGCCAGGCACAGTGGCTCAAGCTTGTAATCCTAGCACTCTGGGAGGCCGAGGCAGGAAGATCACTCAAGGTCAGGAGTTCGAAACCAGCCTGAGCAAGAGCAAGAGCGAGACCCTGTCTCTACTAAAAATAGAAAGAAATTAATTGGCCAACTAATATATATAGAAAAAATTAGCCGGGCATGGTGGCGCATGCCTGTAGTCCCAGCTACTCGGGAGGCTGAGGCAGCAGGATTGCTTGAGCCCAGGAGTTTGAGGTTGTTGTGAGCTAGGCTGACGCCACGACACTCACTCTAGCCTAGGCAACAAGGGACTCTGTCTCCCCCCCAAAAAAACCAAACAACTAATTGATCACAACCATTTACAGATTCCTTTGTCCTTTCTCTACTCCCACTGCTTCACTTGACACCCCCCCAAAAAAAACAAAAAAACCAAGAGACCATATAAGATGGTGTGTTTTCTGTGGGGATGTACACCATGACCTATTTGTCTATATTTATCCTGTCATATAATTTTTGTAAACCATCTCTAACTCTTTTGAAAGGGAATAGAATAAAAGGTAATCACCAAAACCTCAAAACACATTCAGGGAAGGAAGTCCATGCCAATAGTTGTGGTGGGATTCTCTCAGCTGTTTTCCAAATCTCTGTGGTGTTCCACCCACCCCACTTTTATAAAAGAAAATGTTGGCTAGGCACAGTGGCTCGTGCCTGTAATCCTAGCCCTGTGGGAGACTGAGGCAGGAGGATTACTTGAGCCCAGGAGTTTGCAGTGAGCTATGATCACACCACTGCATGCTAGCCCAGGCAACAGAATAAGATCTGTCTCAAAACAACCCCCTCCCCAAAAAAAACTCCACTAAATTCCAGCTGCCCTGTGGCCAAGAACAAGTAAGGAAAGTGCTTAGAGGATGTCCTCATTCCTAAAGTTCACTGACTGAGGCCAGGAAGGAAAAATAGCCCAGGGAGCACTGTTTTACTGCCCCTGGGATGCTCAGGAGTGTGAATGAAGTAAAAACCATGTTCACCCACCAGAGGGTTTAGCTCTGCCACAGATTGTTGGCTTTGTTTTTTTTTTTAAAGAGATGGGGTTTCCCTATGTTGCCCATGCTGGACTTGAACTCTTGGGCTCAAGAGATCTCCCATTTCAGCCTTCCCCGTAGCTGGGACTACAGGCATGTGCCACCTCACCCAGGGCTGCTGGATTTTATTCAATGTGCTCAGGTTTGGTAGATATAATGAAGCCTTAGCAGACCCTTCCTCCATAGCCCTCAGAAGAAACCAGCCCTGCTGACACCTCGATCTCATACTTCTAGTCTTCAGAACTGTGAGCAAATAAATTTGTTGTTAGGCTGCCCAGTGTGTGGAACTTTGTTATGGCAGCCGTAGTAGACCAATACAGGTTAGAAGGCACGTGGTTGGCCCCACCATTGGTCAGGCATTTGGCACAAATTTACTCATATCCTCTGCACTTTGCTTCTGAGGCCAAGGTACTATTTTTATCCCTGATTTAGAGGAGGGAACAGAGGGTGAGGGAGGTTCAAAGCTCAACCCAAGTTACACTAGGTGGCAGGCTGCAACCTGATGCCAGGGTCTGTGCACTTTTTTTTTTTTTTTTTTTGAGACAGAGTCTTGCTTTGCTGCCCAAGCTAGAGTGAGTGCCGTGGCATCAGCCTAGCTCACAGCAACCTCAAACTCCTGGGCTCAAGCAATCCTGCTGCCGCGCCTTCCAAGTAGCTGGAACTACAGGCATGCGCCACTGTGCCCGGCTAATTTTTTCTATATATATTAGTTAGCCAATTAATTTCTTTCTATTTATAGTAGAGACAGGGTCTCGCTCTTGCTCAGGCTGGTTTCGAACTCCTGACCTTGAGCAATCGGCCCGCCTCGGCCTCCCGGGATGCTAGGATTACAGGTATGAGCCACCGCGCCCGGCCAGGGTCTGTGCACTTTGTATCTTGTCAGCTGCATCCCTAAGAGACCACTAAGGTCATCTGGTCAGATACCTTTACATTACAGATGGGATGTCAGAGGCCCTGGAAGCTCAGCAAATTGTCCACATAAATATGGCTAGTGGAAAAAACACATTCAGATTTATTACCCCAATTCTTACCTTCTATTCACCAAACTAAAATGCCTTAAAATGGATGAAGATGCCTTAAGCCAGAGAACTGGATCTATGAAAGTGACACCACACAAAGGCAAGGAGTACTGCGGGCCAGGCCCTTTAAGGCAAAGCCAGCTGCACCTCTCTGGGTCCTCCTGCTGAAGGAGACCAGGAACTACAGGACATTCAGAGAGCCTACATCGTCCATCTCTATGGCACCGACAGTGAAGAGATAAACCTGAATTACCAGCTGTCTGCCTTGTCACATGCCAGGGAACTGCCTGAGCTGGTCAACCTGGCAGGAAAAAGACAAATTCTCAAGGCTACAGAGAAATCACAAATAAATGCATGAATCCTGCAAAGCAAAGGATGGTCAGGATACCTGACCTGTAGTGTGACTTGAGTAAGGCAGTTTACCCCTCTGACTTTCAGTTTTCTCACCTGGAAAACAGTGACAGGTACCCTATGTAGACCACTTACAAGGCGTGAGGCAATGAGCTAGCTACTGTACACACATACCTCATCTGATCTTTGTAATAGTCCTGGGGTATGGGTGTTACCCCTGTGCCAGTCTCAGGTGCATGCTGCTCAGACATCCCTTCCAGATAGAACAGGCTGTGAGGAGTGCAGAGAGTTGACAGCCTCCACCTGTGGCATCCATGACAGTATTCACCTTGAAGCCACTCTCTCCCCAGTGTACGAGCCAGTGACTGACCACAGTGGGGGTACTAGAGCTAGGCTACTCTGCCCACGCTGGACTCCTCTAATGAGTAATCTGTTTAGCCGAAACTTCTTCAGCTACACTGCGGTGTGAGGCTCCTCCTGCTCAATCCTCTTTTCACCAGTCAGACCAGCATCCTGGAGTGAAAGCTCTCCTGACTATTTCTGTTCCCTTGCTCCTTTATCTTTAACTGTCATTTCCCCAAATAAATCTCTTACATGTCTAATCCTGTCTTGGCATCTACATCGCAGGGGACCCAAAATAACATCACCCCCATTTCACAATTTAGGAAACTGAGTGACTAACATCCCTAAGGTCACAAAATTAGGATTCAAACACAAAATTAGGATTCTGACCCCAAAACCCAAGCTCTTAACCAATGGCTTAAAGAACAAAGAAAGTGTGCAAATAAACTTTGTAAAGTAATGCTACAAAAATCCTAAGCAAAAGGTAAAGTGGTGCCATAAGAAGAGGATCATGTCAGGATCCTGCTCCATCATTTATCAGCAGAGAGATAGTCAGTAGATGAATCCTTTATATATATATATATATATATATATATATATATATATATATTTTTTTTTTTTTTTTTTGAGACACACTCTCACTCTGTTGCCCAGGCTAGAGTGCTGTGGTTTCAGCCTAGTTCACAGCAACCTCAAATTGCTGGGCTCAAGCGATCCTTTTACCTCAGTCTCTCGAGTAGCTGGGACTACAGGCATGCACCACCATGCCCAGCTAATTTTTTTTTCTATATATGTATATATTTTTTAGTTGGCCAATTAATTTCTTTCTATTTATAGTAGAGACGGGATCTCGCTCTTGCTCAGGCTGGTTTCGAACTCCTGACTTTGAGCTATCAGCCCGCCTCGGCCTCCCAGAGTGCTAGGATTACAGGCGTGAGCCACTGCTAGATGAGTCCTTTAATCTCATTCCCCCTATTTCATGGATGACCAGACTATCAGTAAACCTGCTTACCTCACAAGGTAGTTGCAACAATCAAATGAAACTCCTCCTCCAAGAAAAAAGGCAATCAAACACAGTATGTCAGTATAAGATTCTGTTAACTGCAAAGCATGTGTGTGTGGGGGGCCATATGGATAACGGCCCCAAACCCAAAAGATTCTACCAAAGCGAGTAGCATCATTCCTCCCACGTAGGCCCCCAAAACATGGGAGAAAATAAAGGGCAAAGTTAAATATTCCAAACCTCCACATGGCTTTTCTACATCAAGACTATGTGTCTCTTGTTCATGCCCACATACCCAAAGCCTATAACAGTGCCTGCCCTGGCCGCACTTGGTGGCTCTCGCCTGTAATCCTAGTACTCTGGGAGGCCGAGATGGGAGGATCATTTGAACTCAGAAGTTCGAGACCAGCCTGAGCAAGAGCGAGACCCCGCCTCTACTTAAAAAAAAAAAATGGAAAGAAATTAGATGGACAACTAAAAACATATAAACAAATTAGCCGGGCATGGTGGTGCATGCCTGTAGTCCCAGCTACTGGAGTGGCTTAGGCAGAAGATTGCTTGAACCCAGGAGTTTGAGGTTGCTGAGAGCTAGGCTGATGCCCCTGCACTCTAGCCCAGGCAACAGAGTGAGACTCCGTCTCAAAAACAAACAAACAAATAAACAAACAAACAGTGCCTGCCCTGAATTGGGGAACTCAGGAAATAACTGCTGAACAAGAACAACTTCCAAAAGATCTCCAATCACCATCTTGTTGTCCTCTAAGACACAGGCCCATGCTTCCCCCCCAAGTCTCAAGTGCAAAGCAGGGTACCTGGCAGTTCATATTGTCCTCAGCTTCAATGAGCTTCCCTCGATATACCTCGCCGGTGTTTGTCTCACATGTTACGATGTGGCCCTCGGCCTCATGCAGGACTTTAATCGGTACACCAATAGACATCTTGGCAGGAACAGAGTTCTACAGAGAAAGAGACAACAGCCAGTTCATATTTCAGAGCCTGAGAAGGCATGTGGCACACACCATGCCTGCCTCAAGGCCTGACACTCCATACAACTTACCAAAGACGCAAAGCTGCAATTTCTACAGAACAGAAACTTAGCTCCTGGCTTGGAGGACCCAATCTAGCAAACACATGCAAGATGTGGGATGGGGAGGAACAGTGGGCTTGACAGAGGGGAAGCAAATGGAAATGAAAGACAGTACCTCCCAACTTCTGTATGTCCCCTTATTGTCATCAAAACAACCATCAGCCAGTACTGTATACATGTTGGGGAAGAGGGGTTGGAATGCATATACATTTGTCAACATACAGTTATCAATGATTCCATTTTGAGAACTATGATATAGACCTGAGCTATCCGATACAACAGCCACTGTCCACAGGTAGCTAAACTTACTAAAAATGAAATAAAATAAAAAACCCAGTCTCTCTGTCACACTAGTGACATTGTGTGACACTACGACCATATTCCAGTGCTCAACAGCCACATGTAGCTAGTGGCTAGTGTACTGGATAGTGTAAATGTAGACCAAAGGACCAGGAGACAAATCCAGGAGATGAGGCTGTATTTTAATTCAGCCTTTTGATGCTTCTCTTACTTTACCAACAATGCTAATGAGAAAATATCAAAGTATTCACAAAGTGACAACATGCTATATGCTGGAAATGCTTATCTTGAAGGAAAAACAATCAGGACAAGTACTTGACTTGATCTAACTAAAACAGACAAGCAGTGAATATTTTATCCTAAGATGAGCAAAGACTCAAGGTTGGAACATATGGTGTGTTTAACAGAGAAAGGAGAACATGAGGTTGGAAATAGTCACACAAGCTCTCTTGGTGAGGACCCTTGACTTTCAGCCTTAGGAGTCTGGATTTTATGCTGAAGACTGTGGGAAATCACTGCAGAATTATAGGTAAAGAACGATCCAATGAAAAAGTAGCAGCAATTACAAAATGGATCGAACATAGTTTTGAAGCAGCGAAACTTGGTAAAATTTCTTCAAGAGCGTGGAAAGCACGAAGAAACCAGTGCTTGAAAGGGGGTCGGAAGCAGAGATGCAAAGAACTTTGAAAAGGATGACTCAGATAGGATTTGGGGAAAGGAGGTAATCAACCAGAAAAGATTTAAAGACTATTGCCTGGATGCTTTGAAAAACACCGACCCCGGAAGGGCGAGGTGGCTCAAGCCTGTAATCCTAGCATTCTGGGAGGCCAAGGCGGGAGGATTGCTCAAGGTCAGGAGTTAGACACCAGCCTGAGCAAGAGTGAGCTCCTGTCTCTACTAAAAAAAAATAGAAAGAAATTGGCCAACTAAAATTATATAGAAAAATTAGCTGGGCATGGTGGCACATGCCTGTAGTCCCAGCTACTCAGGAGGCTGAGGCAGCAGGATTGCTTGAGTCCAGGACTTTGAGGTTGCTTGTGAGCTAGGCAGATGCCACGGCACTCTAGCCCAGGCAACAGAGCGAGACTCTGTCTCAAAAAAAGAAAGAAAGAAAGAAAAACACTTACCTGGAAATGTACAGAAAATGAGAAGAATGTAATGTGGGGAGAAGCTAAAGGACTCACTTCCAGGAGTTAGCGGACTGCGCTGATGTTTGGGTGACCAAGGTTTCCCGCTCTCTTCCCTCCCCGAGCCCCACAGAGCTCTATGAAGTGCGCCCTTCTCTAGCCCCTGGGTCCCCACAGGTGCCTTGGCTTTCCCTCGTCTGTCCCCGGCCTCTCCTCACCGGTTCCGGCTTTCTCTTTCCTCTTCAGTGCCACGAGAACGGTGCGAAGGCGTGAGACCAAGCGAATGGCGGGCTCTGAGCTCCCAGAATACAACGCGTTCCCAGAATGCCACGCGCAGGGCCCGCCCCCTTCCTTTCCCCAGTGGTGAGCGTGGTCTCTCCTGTGCTTCCTCCTCATTCAGCCGGCTGGGAAACGCGGGCTGCAGTAGGATAGTTCCGGCACCGTAAGAGAAGGCTGACGACTGGGCCTGGTGGCCGCCGGAAATACCAACCCTCGGGCCAGCAGGGGGCTGGAGAGGGGGCTCGTACTTCTAAGCACTCCACACCAAGGATGGGCTGGACGGTAAGGCGGGGATCTGGGGCCTGGGCTCTCGGATCGGGGGCGACAGGAGGTGGGGCTGAGGGCCAGTACCTCCCCTCACAATGTAACGTTTGGATCCCGGCACCTCCAGGTAGGGGGCGCCCTGAGCGAGGCGAGGCATCTCGTACGGACAGAGAGACTGAGGTATAGAGTAGAGCAGGCGCTGTCCCAGGGTCGTCCCTAACGGAGTTGGAGTAAAGGGGCATGGAGCCTCGGCGATGCATTGGCCAGGACCAGGGTTTTCACCTGAGGCTGGCAAAGGTGCGGGGCCTGGCAGAGGCGGAGCTTGCTAAGGGAACATCCTCTGGGGAGCCTATGTTCGCGAAATGCCAGAGCCTCGGGGCGGGGCTCAGAGAAGGGGCGGGGCTTCCGGGGACGAGTTTGGGGGTGGGGCCCTGCGCAGCGGCGCGAGGATTGGGCAAGGGGACAGGCCGCCAGAAGCCGACACTGCGAATGGCCGAGGCGGGCTCGGATCCGGAGGCTGAGGGCTGCTAGGAATCGCTGTCTGGGGAAGGGAGGGGCGGGGCCTAGGGAAGGGGCGGGGCCTCTAGGTCGGAGCCCTGATTGGGCCGGGGTGGGGCTTGGGGCCGCCCAGCAGCCGCCTCGCGTTTTCCTTACCGCGGCGGCGGCGGCGAAGGAGGAGGAGGAGGAGGAGGAGGGGGAACTCTACGGGTTCCGGCCGCGCTCCTGCCCCAGCCGAAGCTGACGCTGTAGCCCGCTCTGGGCCGGGGCCATGGGCGCCCCGCGCCGCCCGGGTCATGAGGACGGAGGCGGAGGCAGCGGGCCCGCCGCTCGAGCCCGGTCAGTGCCTCTCTGAGGGCCCAAGCCTCACCCGGGGAATGAGGGGACCCCGCCCTAGCGGGGAGCTGGGTCCAGCTGCGCGACCTTGGGTGGACTCTCGCTCGCGTCCCCCACCCCGCCCCAGTCAACTGGGGTTTCCTTATACTCCCAGGCTGAGTTCCCAGTCTGCATGACGGGAGGGTCCGGTGGCAGGGGTGCCACCTCCCCCAGAAGCGAAAGCTGTCTTGGGAGATCCCGTGCCTTAGGGGAGCTGGAAGGAACTGAGGTCGAGACTGTCAGGGAACTGGCCGAGAGCACAGAGCAGTGGAAGGGCCCCTTCCCCTGACCACGCAGACTCCGCGTTTTGTCTTGCTCCAGTTCTTCACCCTCTGGTTCCTTCTGCCCCGCGGTAGCCTGAGCCCCTTTGGAGCGGAGACCAAGACGCGTTCAGTACCTTGGGCTTTAGTTTGCTTGTCCAAGAAGTAGGGGAGGAGGAAGACGTGATTCCTGCTCTGCTTAAGGCCCAGGATTGATGAGAAAGGGCAAGCGCTAGTAAACTCTTAAGGTGAGGAGCCAATTCCTGGGAGAGGTCAGGAACATGTGGGACCTAAGGTGTCAGTGGGACCGTGGCATCACACCCAGGGAGTGTTCTCTTGTGTTTGCAGCGTGGACTAGAGTCCGATGCTATACTAGGGTTTACATTCCTACTCTCTTACACAGATCTAACTCTGTGATCTTAGACATGAGACTTGCCTTTCGGATCCTGGCATTTATAGGGAGCTTTCTATGGGGCAGGGGCCATGCTAAGTTGTTTACATGCAGTATCTCAATCCTCATAATGCCTCAGTGAAGTAGGTTACCCCAGCTGTTTGCACTTTTGCAGATGAGCATACTGAGGCTGAGAGAGGTTAAATAACCAAGGTCAGTGGACTACCTTCCTACTCTGGAGAGATCCCCTAACTGAAGCCAGGCCAGGGCCTTTCAAATAGACCATAGCTCTCATGTGGGCAGTCCCTTGTCCAGGCATCAACATCCGGCAGCGGCTTGGGCTCTGAAGGCTAAAGTTGTTGGGACAAATGCCAAGGCTTGCCTACCCTTATCATTCCCCACAGAAGCATATCCAGATCCAACCTGCTCATGCCAAGGCTGGGGATGGCAATGCGGGTATGTTGAGCCCTGTGGGGCCTCAGAATTAAGGTGTTCTAGGGCACAGGGCAAGAAGAGGAGGGGCATCTGAGTCACTGAGGGCCCTAGAGGGCAGCTGTCCTGCATCACATTTTACTGCTGGGCATAGGGGAAGGCATGGACCGAGTCAGCCTGGCAGAAGAAGGCCCAGCTAGTTGGTGCCACAGAGTAAGGAGGGAGCCTTAAACAGAGGGCTGTAGCCTGGGGGGATGGAGGGAGGGCGAGCACTGCAGTGACAAGTAGCCCCAGGTATCTCAAGGGATAAGGTCCTTTTAAAAAATGCCTTCTATTCAACCAAGCATGTCTGAGTGCCCACTCTGGGTTGAGGGTTAGGAGGAGGCAAATGCAACCCTGTCTCCATCTGCCACCCCAAAATTCTCAATCTGTCTAGTGGGGAAAGCAGACGCCACCTCAAGGACTCTCCTGAGAGGGGGACAGATCAGAGCATTGGGCGTTCAGAGATGGAAGACAGTGTCCCAGACCAAGAAATGTTCAAGAACAAAGACTGGGGAATAAACAGCCTGAGTAGAGAAAAACAAAGGCAGTGTGTGGCTGCAGTGAGGGGTTCTTGAACAGGTAGGCTTCACCATGATAGCACAATACCCTGCATAGAGCTCTGCCATTGCTCAGCCCATTGCAGGCAATTATTTTAGAATATGAGTCCCTTAGATCATACTGGTTTTATAAAAGACAGGAATAAAAGGTAGAATATGAGTTCCTAGAGGTCAGAGCTTGGGTCTTTTGTTGCCTTCGTGTCCCCAGAGCCTAGCACCCAGTAAGTGCTTACTAAGTTCACCTCAGGCCAGGCGCGGTGGCTCATGCCTGTAATCCTAGCACTCTGGGAGGCCAAGGCATGAGGATCACTCAAGGTCTGGAGTTCGAAACCAGCCTGAGCAAGAGTGAGACCCCCGTCTCTACTAAAAATAGAAAGAAATTAACTGGCCAACTACAAATATAGAAAAAATTAGCTGGGCATGGTGGCGCATGCCTGTACTCCCAGCTACTTGGGAGGCTGAGGCAGGAGGATCGCTTGAGCCCAGGAGTTGGAGGTTGCTATGAGCTAGGCTGACGCCACAGTACTCTAGCCCAGGCCACAGAGTGAGACTCTGTCTCAAATAAATCAATCAATAAATAAGTTCACCTCTTCCAACAAATATTTATTGAGTTACTACTAAGCATCAGGCACCAGGCACTGAGAATAACAGTAAACAAGATTAGCAAGGTCCCTGCTCTTGTAGTCCATTTGTGCTGCTATAACAGAATACCCAAGACAGTAATTTACAAACAATAGAAATTTAATTTTTCACAATTCTAGAGGCTGAGAAATCCACGATTAAGGTGCTGGCAGTTTCAATGTCTGGTAAAGTCAGATAGTGCAGTGCTGTCTCCGTGTCCTTACATGATGGGTGGGGTGGAAAGGAGATGAATGCTGTATCCTCACATGGCAAAGAGGAGAAGGACAAAAAAAAAAAAAAAAAGCCTAAGCTAGTTTCCTCCAGCCCTTTTATAAGACACTAATTCATTCATGAGGGCAGAGCCCTCATGACTTATCACTTCCCAAAAGGCCCCACCTCTTAATACTATCACAATGTGGATTAAGTTTCAACATGAACTTTGGAAGGCACAAACCATAGTTCCTGCCCTTAGGAAACTTATAGACTAGCGAGGAGACAGAGTGCCTTGTTATTGCTACTTTTGCTAAGTACTGCGAAGGAAAGACTCCAATGACAAGAAGGGGCAGCCTTGAGAACAGTAAGGGGGAGAGAGTTCCAGACAGGGAGCCACACATGCAAAGGCCCTGGGGTAGAATAAGGGCTGATGGGCTCACAGGGTAACTGGAACACAGTTGACAGCCAAGATAAAGCTGGAGGGGCCCAAGTTGGGCAGGGCCCTGCAGACCACGGTAAGGGGTGAGAACTGTATTCTAAGAGGAGTTGGAAACTGCATGAGATCCCTCCATCTGCTGTGTGCAGGGACAGGAGAGGGCTAGGAGTGGAATTTGGGGCAGAGGATGGGCAGAAGTCAGGCAGGACTGAATCTATGGTGATGGTAGGAGACGAACATGTGAGGGCCTTTAATGAAGGGCCTGGTTTCCTTTTAGAGGCACCTGGGGTAAGGGGAAGGAAAGGAATGAAGCCTCGGCCCAGCCTGGCTTAGCGTCCCAGTCCCCACCTGGGGAGCAGGGTCCACATCAGCACCTGCAAAGTACTTTTTACAGCACCCTGAGTGCTGGCATCTACAGTGGCCCATTTCATAGAGGAAGAAGCAGGCACAGAGAGGTCGGGTGACTGCCGCCCATGCCGTCCTGCCCTGCTGCATGCCCTCAGAGGCAAGGAGTGGAGGAGAAAGAGGCCAGGAGCAGGCACGGGTCCCTGTCCTGTGAACATATAAGCAGCCCAGTGGGGCACAGACAGCTCTGTGCCAGGGTCACACACATCCTGTGAGCCAAAGCGTGAACTCAGGCTGAGAGGAGTGCAGATGAGGGAAAGGCCGTAGCCAGCCTAGGATCAGGGGAGGCCCTGAAAGTGGTGGCATCTGAGCCAAGCCTTGAAGGCTGGGGAAGGGCAGACATAGGAGACTAGGCACAGGGACGCAGACAAAGGCTGGCAGGTCAGAGAGGCCAGAACAGACTCCAGGACTAGAGAGTGGCCCTGTTGGGTGGTGCCTGTGGGGGAGTGGTGGGAGCTGTGGCTGGCACAGCAGGCGGGCTCCTGGGTGGCTCTTCCTGGAGTGGTCACGCAGGCCAGGAGAGGCCCCAGGGACTCTCGAGACAGGGAAACGATAACAGGCTGGGTTTTCATGTGCTGAATGGGTGTCATGAGTGAGTAACAAGTGGTGGCAGACAGAAAGAAGTCCCTTCTGGTTCTTTAGACTCTGAACTTTGTCCAAATTCACAGCATGGCTGAGGAGGGTCCTGCATGCCATGGGCTTGCTTGCCTCCACCTCAGGGCCTCAGCACGTGCTGTTCCCCTCTGCCTCGTGCTCCCTGGCTCGCACCTCTCTCAGGCACACCCCCACCACACCCCCGCTAGCACGGGCCCCTGTTTTTCTCCTATGTTTGTTTGTTTGGGGCATCCATCAGGACAGGGATTTTTTTTTTTTTTTGGAGACAGAGTCTCACTTTGTTGCCCAGGCTAGAGTGAGTGCCGTGGCATCAGCATAGCTCACAGCAACCTCAAACTCCTGGGCTCAAGCAATCCTTCTGCCTCAGCCTCCCAAGTAGCGGGGACTACAGGCATGCGCCACCATGCCCAGCTAATTTTTTCTATATATATTAGTTGGCCAATTAATTTCTTTCTATTTATAGTAGAGACGGGGTCTCGCTCTTGCTCAGGTTGGTTTCGAACTCCTGAGCTCAAACTATCCGCCCACCTCGGCCTCCCAGAGAGCTAGGATTACAGGCGTGAGCCACCGTGCCCGGCCAGGACAGGGATTTTGCATCACCGCTGTATCTCTAGTATGCGTGCCAGGCTCTTGGGAAATATTTGTCAACTGAATGACTGAATCAGACCAAAGTCCCCCTACTTTAGGGATGGCCAAACTCAGTCGAGCAAGGGGAAGTCAGCTGCCCAGCCCACAGCCAGCCAGTGGCAGAGTTAGGACTGGAACTCTAGGTCGGGCCCTTTCTGCTCCACCTCACAGCCTGGCAATGGCAGACCGAGAGGTCACCCAGGGACGGTGGGGGACAAAGCTTGCAGGAGCATCCCATGTACCACATAGCTTACACAACAGTCCCCACCTTCTGGCTGTGGTCTTCACACCCTGATGGTCCTGCGGTCTTTGGAGTCAGGGGAACCTCCAGGGAACTCATGAACTCAGAGACATGTATGTGCTGAGTGCTGCCTATGTGCTGGTCCTGGCATGAAAACAGAAAGCAAAACAGCCCCTGTCCTTGCTTCCTCAGAGCTCCTACCAAAAAGAAGGTCTCTGAGCGGGAGGCGTGGGGACTGTGAGTGCACATAGTAGGGCACCAGGCCTGAGAGAGGTGGCACCGTGGAGAAATGATGTCCATGGGCAGGAGTTAGCTCAGGCACCTGGGGGGCCAGGAGCTTCCAGGCAGAGGGACCAGGTGTGCAAAGGGATCATGACAGGTGAAGGTTCTGCCTGAAGGGTGGTCTGCCAAAGGCGAGCAGTGGCGAGGAGACGGCAGGTGCTGGGCAGCAGCCACCAAGATGTTGTCCTAAGAGGTGAGGGCCCCAGCCCACTGGAGGATTTTGAGCAGGGCTGACCGGCTTTGGCTCGTGCGTGGGGAGATGGCTGCTGTTGTAAGGAGCATGGGCTATGGGCTGAAGGGCTGTGGGCAGGCTCCTGAGCAACCCTGCAGGCAGGGGCTGCAGTGGGAGCGGCCGTGGCAGGCTCTGTGCCACAGGTCTGTAACCTCCCTCTGTTTCCGTGCAGGGGACTTTGTGCAGCTGCCTGTGCCCATCATCCAGCAGCTGTACCACTGGGACTGCGGCCTGGCCTGCTCCAAGATGGTGCTGCGGTGAGTGGGCGGCCCAGGGCTGGGGGCCCAGGACGTCCCCATCCATACCACCTGCTCTGGCTCAGGGAAGACACAGGGAGGGATCTGGGTGGGATTCATTGTGCACATAGCTGGTCGGGTGGGGCTTGAAAGAGGCCCAGTTTCCACCTGGGCCCAGTCCCATCTGCAAAAGTGAGGAAGGGGTATAGTGGGCCTTCCAGGTCTCTACTCTGGTAATGCCTGGGGACTTGGGGATGCCCAGGAAGTCCCAGGTGCCCAGGTTTGCCCCACAGAGCAGCCTCATGGCTGGGACAGGGGGCCCTCCACCCTCTTAGCTTTGGTCTCCTGGGAGACTGGAATGCTGACCATCCAGCTGAAGCTGCATGAATGTCACAGGGACCTTGACAGTCAGAGCCAGAAGGGACCGTGGCCATCACCTGAGTTTTCAGTTGACTGCCTGGAACCCCAGACCAGCTGTTCCCACATCTGTTCTACACCATGGAATTCCTTGCAGGACAGGGCCAGCCAAAGGGTTGTGTGTCTAAAACTTTGAAAACCATCGATGTGATCCAAGGGCCTCATCTTAGAGACAAAGCCAGTGAGGCCAGAGAGGACAGTGACTTGCCCAAGGTCACACAGCCCACAAGAGACAAGAGACGCCAGAAGCAGGATCCAGGCCCTCGAGTCCGTGGCCCTGATAGTCTCAGGTTGTTCCCGGGCAGATTATGGACAGGACATGGGGCTTCATGATGAAGGAGGCAGCCTTCTGGGAACGGGGGCTCTGACAGCGGCTCCTGGGCCCACAGGTGGAGTGCAGTCAGGCAAGCTTCCCCTTGAGAGCGAGCCCACCTCTGTGTCTGCCCACAGGTACCTGGGCCAGCTGGACGACGGTGAGTTCGAGAGTGCCCTGCAGGAGCTGCGGCTGACCAGGAGCATCTGGACCATCGATCTGGCCTACCTGATGCGCCACTTCAGCGTGAGGCACCGCTTCTGTACCCAAACCCTGGGCGTCGACAAGGGCTACAAGAACCAGGTGCGCAGCTGGCCTCTGCGCCTTTCTGCGTGGGGCCACGGGGAGGCATAGGCCACCCGGAGCAGCTGCAGATGGGCTATAGGCAAGATTTGTGAGCCAGTCAGAGCAGGTGACCTTGATATCCCGCCTGCACAGAGGATCTGAGCATCGAGTCCTAGCTCCTGCCCACCCACCTTCTGCCTTCCTCAGCCCTCGGAGGATGTGCAGAGGCCACCTTCCCGCGTCCTTCCCCACCATCCTCAACACAAGGCAGGCCTAGGATCTCAGAGCATGTCACTCTGACCTCATTTGGCCATCATTCGCCCATTTGCTTCCTGCTCATCAGGACAGCCAGCTCTAAGCTGGGTAATTGGTATTCTGGAAGAAAACCAAAAATCCTGTCTTTTCAGCCATGTCAACAAAGTGTGTTGCAGGGAGCATGCCTTGCTGAGCCGAGCTGTGGCCGAGCCACCCAGGTCGGCTCAGCCTCACCTCACCGCCTAGCTCATTTGCTACTCCTGCCCGCCAGCATCCTAGCCACACTAGCCTCGGGCGGCTAACCTTCCCCAGGGAAATGACCTTTGTCCAGCTGCCCTCCCATCTCTTGAGCACACTCCTCGTGCCTCTGTGTGGTCCTGCACACACCCGGATCGGGACAGCTCTCTGACCAGCATGCTGATGGGCTGTCGCCTGCGCCTCTGCCTCTGTAGTATGCTCTTTGCTTCATCCAAAGAGGGCGAGGTGGCTGAGGGAACAGCCAGGTCGGTGGCCGCTCCGACCTACCCTTCTCTCTTCAGTCCTTCTATAGGAAGCACTTTGATACAGAGGAGACCCGGGTGAACCAGCTGTTTGCACAAGCCAAGGCCTGCAAGGTGCTGGTGGAGAAATGGTGAGCTCCATACCCTTCCCCACCAGCCGTCCCTCACCTGTCCGCTCACCTACAGACTTGCAGTGGGGGAGGCCAGGGGTCATGTCTGGGAAAGGCTAGGACTTGGGGGTCAGGCAGAACTGGGGTTTCCCACCCAGGTGGCTGTGGACACTGACTTGCCCCTCTGAGCCTTGGTTTCCCCATCCATAAAGTAGAGATCAGTGGGGCTGCATGACCCAGGCTCCAGCCTGGGCTGGCTCCTGAGCAGGTGCTGGAGGACAGGTCAGCAAAACAGACTGTGGCCAGCCCTCAGGCTGCTCATGGAAAGGTAGCATGGGACAGACACAGGAGCCTTAATGAGGGTGACAGCCTAAGGAATGTTCTGGTACAGTGATTGACAGAACATAGCGGGAGGAGCCAGCATGTGGGCTGCCCAGGGAGGCCTGGCTCCCTGATCTGCACATGAGCTGCTGTGACCTCACAAGGGCCTTCCCCTCTCATGAAACACCGAGGCTGGATGCCAGCAGACCCTGGAGCAGTTCGCACAGGTGTGGGTGGCATTCTCCAGGCTCACTGTGGGGGCCAAGCTCACGCCGGCTGCCTCTAGTCCCTGGTCAGGCTCCCCTGGATCACTCTTCTCAGATTTCTCCTTTCTTCACGAATTTACATTTTCATCATTAACATAATGTAACCACAGGGTAGGTAATTTGGAAAAATGGAGGGACATCTCCACTCATCCTTTGGCCCCATGAGCACATGCTAGAAGGAAAGGCAGCAAATGTTTACTTAGTGGCCCATGACAGAAGCCATTTCTCAGAGGAGGAAACTGAGGATGGCAGAAACCCACCCACAGTCACCCCCACGTCTTGGCCGTGCCCTGATCTGAACCCAGCATTTGCACACTCCACTCCATGAAGCCTGCAGCTTTCCTTGCAGCTTGGCCCTGCTCTTTCTCAGAGCTGAAATCTGCTCTCTTACACACCAGTGGGAGCCCAGCCAGCTATTCTGTTTCAAAGACCAAATGGGAAAATGGCATGTTTCCTTGGCCAAGGCAGCAAACCAAACTGCCACGTGATTCAGCTGTGGCCAGAGCTGGGCCAAGCCACGAGGTGCTGACGCTGCCACTCCGGGAGAAGGCCCAAATGGGTGAGCACAGTCACCAGCAAAGATGGGGGAGCCCGTGGCTTAGGGCCCCCAGCCCCTTCTGCTCCTTCCAGGTTTTTATTTGAACTCACTGCATACTGGAGGGCACAGAACGAGACAGCGCCTATGAGTCTGCCTCAGAGTGGGGGTGGCGGCTCAGGAAGCATCACTGCTGACCCAGGGGTTTCCCTGGAAGCACTGCCGACCAGCCCTTCCTGGGCAGCCCCTTCTGCCACAAGGGGCCTTAGAAAAAAGAAAAATAGCCCTTTCAGAGAAGCATTTGGTTTTGAAACTGGCTAAGCCGTGCTTGGCTCAGATTTGGGGGATGAGATTGGGCCAACAGTTTCAACATAAACTCCACACGATTTAGGGCAGAGGAGAGACAGGGCTTGGCAGAAAGAACCCGGGGCTGGGGTTCCATGTGCTGCTCCAGTGGTTCTCTGCCAGGCCCACCTGGAGCTGACTTCCAGCTCTTCCCGTAAAGGGCATGACAGGGTCAGCTTGTCCTTGTGCACACTCAGACACTCACCCCCACCCCCCACCCCACCACCAGGCTCAGCCCAGGCCACAGTGACACAGCAGGGATGTTCCCACCTGCATGGAGCTCAGGGTGAAGGAAAGAGGAGCTGGGCCCCCGAGCTTTGTAACATAGGGGACTGGGGCAAGCAGGGACCCACTGACCCCTCCTGCCCACAGCACAGTGAGCGTGCAGGACATTCAGGCACACCTGGCACAGGGACATGTGGCCATCGTGCTGGTGAACTCGGGGGTGCTGCACTGCGACCTGTGCTCCAGCCCTGTCAAGTACTGCTGCTTCGCCCCCAGCAGCCACCGCTGCTTCTGCCGCACACCCGACTACCAGGGCCACTTCATCGTCCTGCGTGGCTACAACCGGGCCACTGGCTGTATCTTCTACAACAACCCCGCCTACGCCGACCGTGAGTGCTGGGTGGGCGGGGCTGGGCTGTCTCCATTCACTGTCCCAGGTGCCTGGACCCATGACTCCCTCCCATTCAACCTGGTGTGGCCAAGACCTCCCTCCTGTCTTATCTCCAAAGCCCCTGCTCCTCCTGGGCTCATCGCTCTGGCCATGCAGGCAAACCAGCCACAGACCTGCAGCCAGGCTGGCCTCGTCCCCAGCCTGGCCACCCCCACACCACTGACCAGGTCCCCACCTCACCATCTCGTGCGACACAGGCTGTAGCACTCCTCCTCCCTGCCCCCAGTCCTCCCAAGACAGCCAGCACCGTCCTCAGAAATGAAAGTGACCAGCCCCAGACAGGCCTGCCCACTGGCCTGAGGGTACGGGAAGGGCAGCCCTGATTCACCCACGCTTGTCCCATCAGTCTATGTGGCCCTCAGCATGTTTCTTCCTCCCTCTGGGCCCCACTCTCGCCAGCTGCTACACTGGGGAGGGGTCAGAGGAAGCTCATGAAGGCCATAATAGGCAAGGAGGGCTTCTAGGGGGGTAGAGGACTTGAGCAGAGAGGGTGGCCACGCAGGCGGGACATAGACCTCACCCGGCTTCCCTGGGTGCCAGTGGGGCGGGTGTTCTCCCCCAACCCACTGACTGCTCTGCCCTCCTCGCCCCTAACAGGAATGTGCAGCACCAGCATTAGTAACTTTGAGGAGGCCAGAACCAGCTATGGCACAGACGAAGACATCCTCTTTGTCTACTTGGACAGCTGACAGCTAGAGCCTGGTGTGCCCAGGCCCTCAGACCCCACCTCTACCGCATCCGGGCCCACTCAGGACGCCCTGGTCCAGGTCCGGGGCTGTTGGAGCCGGGATGCGGAGCTGCAACCTCAGCCTGTCTTGCAAAGCCCCAGGCAACCGTGGGAGGTTGTGGCAAAGATGCTGTGTCCACCAGCGCTGTGTGTGGTCAGGCTGCTTACCCTGAGCACCTGCTGGGTGCGGGAAGCGTCCCCAGAGCATCTGAGAGGAGCCTTCCCCCAGGACCCTAGTTCTGACTCCTGCCATGCCCGGAGAAGTCCAGCCTCAAGGGTGCCCTTCCTGCCTTCGAGCTGGACCCAAGACCAGGGAGAGCCCTACGCTAGTCTCCCCACGGACAATGGGACTGAGCCTGGGGAGAGAAGTCGCTTGACGGATACCAGTTGTCAAGACAGCATCTGGGTGTCGGAGACAGTGTAGCTGACTCAAGACCCAAGAGGGGACTGTTCCAGGCCCCTCTCTCCTGGAAGTGCTGCAGACCCCATATGCCCCACGGTGGATGCCACTGGGTCCTCCTGCTCCCAGTGAGCCCAAGTGTCTATGGCTGGTTATGGGGCCTCTGGCATAGACACCTCACAGCCACTCTGGCCTGCAGAGCCCCAGCTCCTGGGGACTCTGAGATTCCCTCCAGGTCTTTCTGCTGTGTGGGGTGGAGGGCCCTCGGGGGTGTGGCCTGGGCTCAGCTGGTGGGTCTGATGGCTGGCAGCACGGAGTGTGCTGTGGGAATAAATAGCTGCCTGGGCCCCAGAGAGCCGCCTGCACCCAGAAAGCCTCCTGACACCAGCCGAAGTCCTGACAGGGTCCATTTTCTGACCTCAGGGTATGGGGAGCCACACGCTCCTCAGGGCTGGGGGCTAGGGTCTGCGCTTCTGAAGCTACAGGCAGGGGCAGCTGCAGCTGGTACCCAACATGGTCCTCAAGCCAGGACCTTTCTCACAGCATGCTGGCGCTCTCCTGTTGTGACCAAGAAGAGGGTGCCTGCCTGGGATCACACGACACAGCGTGTAGCATAGACAGCTGTTTCCTTCCCCCTTTTCTTTTGGTTGGGTGTGTGTGTGGGGGGGGTTGTTTTTGGTTTTTTTTGAGATTTGAGTTTTCATTTTTGAGGGGGTGAGGATCACCTTCAAGTAAAACAATAATAGCAAAAGTGAAGGTACTTTGGAACCACTAACACCTCTTTTCACCCGGCAGGTAAGCTGGGCCAAGTTCTTTTTCAAAGGGAAGGGGGCTCGGCCGGCAGTCTGAGTAGCAGGTCTGGGTAGAGTCTGCCCAGCACAGTGGTGGAGCTGGGTCTGAAACCCATGTCTGGACCTAAAATAATAAGGGAAAGGGATCATTCCCAAAGGGGCTGGGGGCACCCACCCTTCATGGCCTGCCTCTGGCAGAGGAGCAACAGCAACACCATCCCTGCACCTCTGGGTCTGGTCTTCCAGTGCCCAAGGTATGGCGCAGTGGCAGCTGTTGTCCCCACCCATCAGCTCACTCCTCCCCTACCAGGGTGTGCTAGGACAGAGATGGGCTCTGCTAACAAGGGCTGTGAGACCACCTAGACATGTTGCTCCTCAATGCCAGATGCAGCCTTTGGCCAAGAGGGAAGTGCTGCTGGCTGAGCAGCACCCTGGGTTTCAGAGACTGGTGTTGGCTTCAGACTGGCCTCATCTCCGTTGCCTTAATGCTGGGTGGGCCGGGGTGAGGGAGCTCTGGCACCAAGCCAAGGAGTACCGCACAGAGCAGCTGTGGGGTGTGGGCATCCTCAGGACACATTTGGGCAAAACCATGGTGAGAATAGCTGCGTGAAGGGAACCGGTGAGAGGAAGTGAAGCTTTCAGGCTGGCTGGATGTGAATGGGGCAGAGTGCACATGCTGGGCGCTGTCGCGGGGTGTAGTCTCCACGGAGAATGGTCACAGCACCTCAGTCCATCCAGGACATTTAGAAACGCTCAGTCCCTGGGCCCGGAGGATGGCTTTTCAGGGCAAGCCACAAGTTAGAGGTCATCTGTAAGATTAATGAAAAGCTTGCTCATTCCTAAGACCTATCTGCCTAGGGAAGGTCATGGAGGCAGAAATGTAGGCCACACTGTGGCATTCTTGCACAAGTCACGAAAATGAGACTGGAGACAGAGCCTGGATGTCAGGGACTTTTGCCCAAAGCATGTGGCATCCACAGCTGCTCAGCCTGTCTGCACACCGGGGCCCGGCACCGTCTCAGAAGCCACGAGGCACAGTGGGCTTTGTTCACTCGCCAGGGGGATGAAAGGGATCTTTTGCATTGCAGAGATTTTATAATACATAATATATTTTGTTTGTAATGAGCCATTCTCAATAAATGTTATTCCTGTTGTAAAAATGGTGGCTGGCCTTCTGGAAGCTGCATTGATCAGCACAATTCCTGTTCCCTTCCTGAGTTCTCAGCACAAACACATGGGAACCCAGGTTCTTGACTCGCATACCCAGGCATTGCTTTCTAGGCTCACATTCATCCCGCTCAGGCCCTGATGTTTGTGCAAGTGATGATGCAGGTACAAGGGCCTCGGAGCTCAGCTCTACCAAATTATACCAAATGCAATTATGGAAGATGAATGAGGGAGGTGTTGAAGCAGGATAGACAAAAAGTGAGACAGTGAGTCTGGTGGAGCTGGCTGCCCAGCACACGCAGGGTCAGGACAGTGAGGGACAGACCAAGGACCCAGATTAGTGGCCCCTCCTATAGCTTCTCCTCTTTCTTAGTCTGCTCTGTGTTGCCATAAAGGAATACCTGAAGCTGGGTAATTTATAAAGAAAAACGTTTATTTGGCTCACAATTCTGATGGCTGGAAAGTTCAAGATTGGGTAACTGCATCTAGTGAGCGCCTCAGGCTGTTTCCACTCATGGCGGAAGGGGAAGGGGAGGCCATGGGTGCAGAGATCACATGGTAAGAGAGGAAGCAAGGTGGGGGAAGCGCTAGGCTCTTTTTACAAATTTGCATTTATTTACTTTTTAGAGGCAAGGTCTCACCGTGTCACCCAGGCTGGAGTTCAGTGGCACAGTCATAGCTCACTGCAGACTTGAACTCCTAGGCTCAAGTAGTCCTCCCACCTTAGCCTCCCAAGTAGCTGGGACTACAGGCATGCTGTAGTCCTGGCTAATTTTTCTATTTTTCATAGAGTCAGGGTCTCACTATGTTGCCTAGGCTGGTTTTGAACTCCTGGCCTCAAGTGATCCTCCACCTTCAGTTCTCAAAGCACTGGGAACACAGGCATGAGTCACCACACCACAGGTACTATCTTTGTTCTGAACTATCTTTTCATGGATGTTTGCATAGCAAACACCCTTGGAAGACAGTGATAGGGTCTCCCTTTGGAGCAAAAGACAGGCAAATCTACTGCCCATTAGAAAATATTCAGGTTTTGTTTTGTTTTGTTTGAGACAGCGTCTCACTCTGTTGCCCAGGCCAGACAGCAATGGCACAAAAATAGCTCACTGTAATCTCAAACTCCTGGGCTCAAGCGATCCTCTTGCCTCAGCCTCCTAAGTAGCTGGGACTACCAGTGTGCATACCACCACGCCCAACTAATTTTTGGGTTTTTAGTAGAGATGGGGTCTTGCTCTTCCTTAGGCTGGTCTTGAACTCCTGAGCTCAAGAGATCCTCCAGCTTTGGCCTCCCAAAATGCTAGGATTACAGGTGTGAGCCACTGCGCCTGGCCTATTACAGCCTTTTGCAAGTACAGGTGTTCCCTGGCCTCCTTGGAAATTGTGGCCTGAAAAATCAATGAAAGAAAATGCTGGCACTCTGGCTACTGCTATTGCTATGATAAACTGTCCTTTGTCTCTGACCCAGGAGTATTGTCTCTTCTTTCAGCATCCATGAAACTGTGGCGGGCTAACTTTTAAGTAAGACCCTTCATTGTTCTTGATAGTTTTGGAGACAAACATGGGATGCTGCCTGAGACATAGGTTCCTGGAAAAAGAATTAGAACCTTGCAGGCCAATAAATAGGAAGTCCATGGAAGCTGGTAATAAACTTATTGACTGTGTGGTAATGGGCAATGTATGGTCCTTTCCTTAAGTGCCTGTTAATAAAGAATTAGGGAGGAGGTTGCAGGCCAAGTGCCAGGATGTAGGTTCAAAGACAGCTGCTTGATGGTGCCCTAGTTGTTGCCAACCCTCCTCAGGCTGGGGCATGGCCAGCTTCATGTCCTCCCATTGGAACTGATGGCACTTGATGGTTCCTCGATCCTGCTGTATCCTGACCTCAACTGCTTTAGGGAGAAATGGTTAAGGATGGGGCTGACGTCTCCCCATCTTCAAGGGGGACCAAAGTCCATGTGGACATGTCCAAGTCATGCTGAGGAACTCTGGAGACAGGAGGGACTCAAACTGTTATGGCTCTTTTGAATATGGAGGCCTAAGTCATCCTCTGGTCTCAGGGGGAATGGGAGTTTCCAAGTTCAACTGATGGGGTTTGGTCAAGTTTCACAGTGGTATGGCAGGAAGAAATATTGAGTGCCTGGGGCTCTTCGGTCTAATTCAGTGCATTGTTTTTGTTGTGTCTATATCTGAATGCACGATAGGAATTGATATCTGTCCTTCCAGCCCTGAAGTGCCAGAGGGGTTCTTCCAGTCAGGAAGTGCTAGTGGGAGAAACTCTCCTGCATTTGCCCCAGTGGGTGGGTCCCTCTGCCCTCTGATGTCTAGAACTTTCACCACACATGTGATGCCCTGTGGGATGGCAAATCAAAAGTCTCTGCCTCAGAGCCTCTGACCATAGTGTTATCACACCTCCACCAGCAGCGGTGACAGATAATCCCTGACAAAATTCAGTTTCTTGGGATTATGTGGCAGACACAAAATTCTTAATCCTTCCACAAGTCAAGGAAAAGCCGCTCTCTCCTCCTGACCCTTCCAGCCCTCCACCACCCCAAAAGAGGAGGCCAAGCACCTTCTTGGACTCTAGGTATTGGAGACAGCATATGTCTCATGTGGGCATCCTACCTGGTTCTTTATATTGGCTAACCTGCAAACCATCATGCTTTGAGTGGGGCCCAGACCAACCCGCTGCGCTGGAAGCCATCCGGCAAGCTGTGGCCCACTCTCTACCTTTGGAGGTATGCAGGTCTAAGGACCCTTTAAGCTATGTGGGCCTTTGTGACTGATAATTGTGCTAATTGAAGCCTCTGGCAAAGGGAAGCAGATTGTACCCAAATGGGGCCCTTGGGGTTT